AAAACAAACGATTCAGGTTTCAAGATCACAGTCCTACCTTTGTCGAAGCTTTCTCTCCTTGGGCCATATAAATAGTGACTGCAAACAGCCACACTAACGGAGAACTGCATACGTCACAAGCCGTCAAGTGGCTCCTTCATGGGCGTTCCCGCGAACTCGTTGCAGCTGGCGGGGAGTGGACGTTACTGTAGTAGTTACTTTGTCATATAACTTAATGCACACGAAAATTATTGGTGAAAAAATCTATCTCGATATTTTGACAGAAATCTCTTCATTCTGTCGTACGTCATAATTCTAGAAACAGCCCCTGGAGACAGTCATGGGCGCAGAAATATAATTACTTATTTCGATGGTAACTAATTCTGGTAAATTCAGTAGCCTAGATTTACTGAAATGTAACGAAAGTTATTGTGCTTCGACATATTTACATATTAAATCTTACGAATAGGTATAAGATATAGAAACCAAAGGCATATAAGAAGACCGTTTAATAATGGAGAAAAGTGTTACATACAAGATTTACAATAGTGTGATTATAGGTATGATCAAGAACCAGATTTTAACTTTCCTAGTAAATAAATGCATTAAAAATAAATATGTATAGAACCATAAAGAACGATTTTCAGTATAATGTGACATGACGCCTAAAAGCCGGAATATGACCATACGCTAGGCAACGAAAAATAGACCGTTGCTGGACAACAATTTGGTAAACAAATATTCCCGTGGCAATGGATATGTAGATTAATACAAACGAACCGTTCAAGTGTGTGTTCTGTTTGCGGTCCGCATCAGGCCGTAAAAGGACACGCAATTCATTCGCAGGAGCCAGTCGTACTGGAGAGTCCGCGAGAGATTCGGACAGTAGTGAGAGATTCGTCAGACAGACGAAATTCAGGAGTTCAATGTGTGAGCTGTTATAAGTGACTGTAATTGTAAAGAAGTGCCACTAAATGCAACCATCAAATCTAGAACCCATTATTATTAGTCACGCTAACCCCTTATGCGTAACAATATATAGTGTACCAAAATTCGAACGCATCTCTTCTGAGATGTTCAGGTTCTCACTGCAGTGGCTACAAGAACTGAATTCTGGAATGAGATCTCGTGTAGTCTGGTAGATGTTCACTGATGTTTCGGAAGAGCGCGCTGTGTCAATATTTAAGGTCAACCCTGAAGATGGATGCAGCACACACCTCCGAAACCGCAGTTAACATCTAATCATTTACAACGTCTGATATACCAGAAATCCTCTCTTGTTCTTCTAAGAGCATGGAAATGGGCCTGGTGATTTGAGACTGCGACCCCTCGAATGTAAATCTACAGTGACAGAAATTTCGTGGGGATAGTAATGAGGAAGCCTGCTATTAGGAGCCTCCACTTTTCTTCCTTGGCACTACAGCCCCAGTGGGCCTAGGCCTACCTCCATGAACTTCTCCGTTCACTTGGGTTTTTCTAAATCTTACACATTCGGTAGGACTCCTTGGGCGGGTGATTAGCTCGTCGCAAGGCCTCTACCTGTACACACACACAGAAAAACGCACACACACACAAATTAAATATCCATACCCTGAGTTGGATTCGAACCCACGATCCCGGTTTCGAAGCGAGCGAAGACAGTACGAGTACATGCCTTAGACCGCTCGGCTACCGTGACCGGCCCGGAGCCTCCACTTAGGTTGGTCTAATTTTAAATTTCATAATAAATGTGCATCTACACTGAGGTACACATGATTTTAAAATTTCACAATTGAGGAAATCCACTCTGGCTCATCAGCTTTCAAAATCTCACAGCATTTGAATGGCTTGGTTTAATGTCAACCGATTTCAAATTACACGGCAATTAGTTGCCTCCACTTAGGTTTAGATTTCAAAATACCTCGATTACTGAGTGCCTCATTCTAAGATGGTCTGATTTAAAATTTCACAATAATTGAGTGTCTAACTTCAAATGGTCACATTTGAAGTTTAATAACAATAGGTGTTTCCACTTAAGCTCGCGTGATTTCAGATTTAACAGTAATTGAATACCTTTATTTAGCTTGGCCTGATTTAACAATAATTTGGCACTTCCACATAGCATGGCCTAATTTAAAAATTCACAGTTAATTGGATGCCTCCCTTAGGCTACCCCTATTCCAGATTTCAGAGTAATTGGGTGCCTCCACATGGGCTCGTCTGATTCCAAATTTGACAGTAATTGAATGCCTCCATTTTAGTTGGCCTGATTCCAAAATAATTAGGCATCTCCAGTTAGGATGGCCTGGTTTCAAATTTCACGATAGATATGTCCCTTCATTTAAGTTACCCAGATTTCAAATTTCATAGTAACTAGATGCCTCCACTTGGGCTGGTGAGATTTCAAGGTTCCAAATTGTGGACGGTGATTTTTTAAATCCACTGCTAGCTGTTCATACCATGTCCACATATGTACACGTGGTCTAGCCACCGCGAGAGGCGTAGCAGTAGAAAATAACTCGACACTTCTCCAAACAATGCTTGTTAGAAGAAGCTAAATAGTTAAGGCATAACCCCTCTCTTAGCAGAGATGGGGGGAAAACATATCAGTCCAAAATAAATCAGACGAAAATTTGGACTACACCCAAATGACTCTTTCTAAGCTTCTTTTATTTCACTTAAACTTGTACAAGAAAGTCACGTGACATATTTCACACATTGTTGATCCATGAGTGTGACGTCGTCAACTGTCGAGGACATTAGAAACGCAACATTTTAAAATGAAGCTAAGAAATATAAATAAATTGTGCTACTGACAGACTCTCACATAATATGGGTGGTTAGTTCTTAGCGAAATTACTTTTAACATAACAGCTGATTAAATAATAAAATGGTGTTGAGGAGAGCACTATGTGGCCAGACAGGAAATTGAGAATATAATAAATAAATAAACAAATAAATAACAAGTGAAGTATATTACGAGTTTTACTGCACAGTATATGTATTCATCTGATTATCTTACGAAGTTGGAAAATGGAGCATTAATTAACATACAAACATAGACACAGCAGCTTACTGCTTCATGCGTACCTGACACTTGAAACAGATTATTTGTTCTTAAGTTGCAGACTGTACTCTTCCCAAACCAAGACTTCCAGAGGCCGGTCACGGTAGCCGAGCGGTCTAAGGCATGCACTGTCTTCGCTAGCTCGGAAGCCGGAATCGTGGGTTCGAATTCCACTCAGGGCATGGATGTTCAGTGTTTGTTATTCTATGTTTGTGTACAAGTAGGGGCCTTGCGACGAGCTGATCACCTGTCCAAGGAGTCCTACCGAATGTCTAAGATCTAGTAAACCGAAGTGAAACGGAGAGTTTCAGAGAGGTAGGCCTAGGCTCAAATTGGGGCTGTGTTTTAGACACATTTAAAAAAGAAACAAATTGGTGTTAGCGGTATCGCCTCCACTTGTGTTTGGGAAATGTCCCTTTCAAACCTCGGCCGCGAACATTTGAGTACCGTAACTGAGATTCTTCGTGGGTTTCCTCAGGCTCTCGGGTATAATACCGGAATAGTACCTTAAATTAGGTGACGACCTCTTCGATCCCCGTCCTTTCCAGTACATTATTCACTATCATGATATCATTTGATATAGAGTTTGAATTACTGACAGTGTTGTTCGACTACATATATTTAGGTTCGTTTTACAAAAATTCTGAGGCGACAGTGTGTTACGGGCCTCGCTGTAGCGTAATGGATTGAGGCACTATGCTACAAGCCAGACGGTCGCGGGTTCGATTCCCGATGAGATCACTGGATTTTTCAATTGACCTAATCTTTCCAGCTGCACTATGGCCCTGGGATCGACTCAGCCTCTAACAGAAATGAGTGCTAGGAATCTTCCTTGGGGTAAAGGGCGGCCGGCGGGTGAGACCGACAACTTCACCACCATCTGTGAGCCGACTGTATAGAAAATATGGGAGCCTCCAAGTCTCACAACCCCATAGGCCACCACGGTCTGTTACGGGGACAGCTTTACGTTTACCTGGCAGTGCGCTTTACGTGAACACACATAAAAAGAACAGATTCCAGTAATAATTATTCTACGGCTACGCTAAAAATTTAATGATCTCACTATATTTTAGTCCATTTCGAGCAATTTATGGTGTGTCACTTGTCAAGAAACCTTAATTTTTGGAGTGTTTACTGAGAAAAGTTAAAAAAGTGTGCTTATTAGAGGCCCCACAATCCATCCTTTGGCCCTTAACAATTCGAGAAAAGTCAAACGGTTTTTCACGGATATTTACACTCGGGAGTTTTACCAAAATCTATTCCAACATCCCAATTTTTACTATAATCAGAAAACAACAACAAACACTTTACATGATGACCAATATGTATTACTGCGCTCATACAGAGACTAACTCGCGAAATATTTATCGGAGCGAAAAGGGTTTCAAACAAAAGTTGCAGAAAACTTAAAATATAGATATTTTGTCCAATGTATTGTTTCCAAAAGGCTTGCAGTTTTGGGGTAATTAAAAGGAAGACAGCGAAAAGTGCCAGAATTGTCCTGCTCTGCGTACATTTCTTAACTTGTTTATTTTCACTGTGGCGGGGGGAGAGATTTTCATTTTTATAGTACAGTGCNACAACAATATCAGAGCCCCGAGGTGGCAGCCTGAAGAATTTTCGAATTAAAATACCGTAGCGCCATTCAACTTCCACTAACTAAATAAGAGTTTGAAGAAAATGTTCATAAATCGGTGTGGAAACGTTGTTTCAGGATCATTTCGCACTTAGCGTCATCGAATAGAATAAGGTAAATTCAACGTTGTTTTAATAGTAGGCTATACTAAGTCGGAGAGATTTCTGTCAGTTCAGAAAATGTAGCATATATGGCATAATGCGATTGTTTTTGCTACAAGCAGGAAAATACTAAAAGTTTGATCTAATTAAAGAAATGAGAACAGTAGAATTCAAGCAGATACAATGATTGCAACTTAATATAACAAAGTAATTACGTAATATTTAAAAGTGAACTTACACACTGATTTTGCGTGTCCTTATTGTTGAAATGGATCAGCATAGGATCAAGGAATGTCATTCTGAAAACAAATAAAGGTTAGAAAATTATTTCTAATGTCCTATAAGTTTCATAAAATTATTCACAATTCATCGGGGTGATAAGCAGAAGTTCTGCTTCAAGAAGAGCCGACACTAGCGAAGCGAGATAATATTCTCCTAATGAGAATGTAGCCCTTCAAACTATGTGTGACTTTGTGCGTGGCATTTAATAGTGGAGACGTCCATCGAAACTTAGAATTAAATTATTTATTTCGTATTTTCATCCCTCTATTTATCCCTTCGATGGTCACGGTAGCCGAGCGGTCTAAGGCCTGTACTGTCTTCGCTCGCTCAGAAGCCGGGATCTTGGGTTCGAATCCCACTCAGGGCATGGATGTGTGTGTGCGTTTTTCTGTGTTTGTGTACAGGTAGAGGCCTTGCGACGAGCTGATCACCCACCCAAGGAGTCCTACCGAATGTGTAAGATCTAGAAAAACCGAAGTGAACGGAGAAGTTCATGGAGGTAGACCTAGGCCCACTGGGGCTGTAGTGCCAAGGACAAAAAATTTATTCCTTCTCTTTATTCTTTTCTGATCTTTACCTCTTTCCCTCCTTTATCTCTTTCTCCTTTAGAATAATGAATTAAGTTACATCCGTGTCCTTCAGATGACAAGCATCCAAACACAGAACTGCCACCCATGTATGTATATAAAAGCTAGTAGGGTGAGAGAAGAACGTGAACAATCAGGTAATACATATTCAGGGCAACAAAATTTATCATATTTCATGGTGAATATACAATGTGATTCTAAATTATTATCGGAGTTTCCGTGGTCTATAATTTTCAAACCTGAAAAAATAAAATAAAACTGCTGGCGGAATATGAAAGTGTAATTAAAAAAATATTTATTATTTATAGAATCAATACTACAGAATGCTAAACAACTTCAACATGCGCCCCTTTCATAGCACCCCCACACTGGGATGTACTGTCCGAGAATTTCTTGACATGCATTTTCCTTGGCGCTGAGTTGGGCGTGATGGACCAATCCCGTGACCTCCGCACTCAGCCGATGTTATGCCACGGGCACTGTTTACAAGACCCCTGTGACCTCCCTCGATGAACTGAATCTCAGAATTGTTGCTGAGACTGAAACAGTTACACTGCAAATCCCGGAGAAGACTCTGAGGAAAACTGAAACCCGCTTGGACATCTTACGTGCCACGAAAGTTGTGTTGCGTTCTGCAGCATTGATTCTATATGTAATAAAACTTCTTCACTTACATTTTCGTATTCCATAAAGATTTTTATTCTATTTTTTTCCGGTTTGAAAATTGTAGGCCAGGATACCCCGACAATAATTTAGAATCACCCTGGTTACTGATTTTTGTCAATACCTGTCGTTCTGCCACAAGAACCAGATATCCAATATAACGTACTTACTGAAAATTCCTTTGCTGGCGACCAGCATGATGAAAGAAATTTTTAGCTACCTGCTCGATATCTGTTTGCATTCAGTTCATAGACGATGTGAACAAAATGTAGTTTACTCACGGGTAAGACAATAACGTTCTGAAATAAACGTCCGTACTTTGACAATCCCTGCTGTTCCAGTGCCAACACAGTCACGTGAATTGCAACTGAATGGCAAATACGCAGCTTCTCAACTTTATATTCAATTAACAATTGCATAGAGTGCACGGCCTTATCGTGCACACAGCATAGGATACTTTCTCTTTTTACTCGCATGGATTCACTTCATCGGTAATGGAGACTAAAGGCATGCAAGATCAATAATATCAGCACAGGGACGAACAGTACAGCCTTAGAGATTACACTGACAAGGCAGCAAAGAAGTGTCAAAAAGAACCCATTATAACAAGAACCTCCAAAGAGAGATCATGGTCACCTGGAAACCTTGGCGATTCCATCAAAGCTCAAGTACTACAGAGTTGGGCAATTCTGGGCTTAACCTAAGTGAATATTATTAGGCGGCCCATAGACGTAAGAGTCTGGCTCGCGAGTCCGGCTCAGTGAGGAGCAGGGCTTAGATTAATTTCAGCACACACGTATGAGTGTGGCGACCCACACAAGGACGAATTTGGCTCATTGGGACCCGAGCCGAGTCGGACTCACGAGCCAGACTCGTACGCGTATGTGCCCCCTTACTGTATTAGCCGAAATATAAGGCGAGATCATTTTTTCCAATACTGCTCTTTAGAAAGACGTAGTCGTCTTATTTTCAGGTCTTTAAGAATAAATTGCCTGCCACAGTATCCGAGCGGTCTAAGGCATGTACTGTCTTCCTTCACTCGCTCAGAAGACGGTATCGTGGGTTCGTATCCCACAAAAGACATGGATGTTTCGTGTGTGTATGCGTTTATTCTGTGTATGTGTTGCCCTGTGTTTAGGTAGAGGCCTTGCGACGGGCTAATCACTAGTCCAAGGAGTCCTACCGTATGTGAAAATGATCATGGAACGGAGAAATCAGTCCAATGTTCCAAAGCGGGAGCTAGAGGATGAAAAAGAAAAAGGATAAATATGAAGTAGATGATTAAGAAAAATTTAATTGCCAATTCTAACGATAGTCTATCTGTAAAACCAGCTAGAATTATATTTAAAGCATTAAATTTTAAATTTATTGTTTCTTAATAGCATACATCGTACCTATGGATCTGACTGAGGATAGGGACCAGTGAACGGCTCTCATGAAAACGGCAAAGAAACTTCGGGTCCCATAAAATGATGGAAGTTACTGAATAGCGGAACAATTGGCGGCTTCTCAGGAAGTGCTCAGTTGCATGAGTGAGTGGTTTCTTTTTTTATTGCTAGTGGGGTGGGACTAAGTCCCTTGTACTGCGGCCACTTCTGGCCTATTGTACCAGCCCCAGATGATAGGTGAGGATGATTGTGGAGCAATTGGTGGAATGAAGATTGGCAGGGGATACCGAAGTACTCGGAGAAAAATTGCCCTAACGCCACTTTGTGCACCACAAATCCCACTTGACCAGACCCGGGATCGAACCCGGGCCGCCGTCGTGGGAAGCCAGCGACTAACCGCTTGAGCTATGGCGCGGCCTCATGAGTGAGTGATAGTATATATCTATTTTTCTGTCAATTTCGTTTAAAATTGTTTTTTTCTGATTCTGTCTATGGACAAATAGGGAGTCGCCTTGTATTCGGGATTATACGGTAATTTATTCCAGTCATTTTTTATCATTCGTAAGTGTAAAGTGTCTAATATTCCAGTGCTCTGGGGATATTTTATTACTCACATATCAACTGTCTTAATATAAGGAAATACAAACTCGTCAATTCTAATTAAATATTAAGTCTACATTTTGGGGCGGGGGATGAATCCCGTAATTCTAAGAAGGGTAATGATCGAGATGTCATTATAAGCAGATGAATCTACTTACTTCAACAGATTATGCAACGGCATTACCATAAACTAACAAATGAAATATTTAGGAAGGACAGTAACAGATTAAAACTACATTCACGAGATAAGTTTCGGTTAGTGCACGAAAGTGCAGCACTAATACAACGCCATTAAGAAGTGAGATAGCCATCCGAGGGAAGCTGGAGGGTTCGTACGTCAGAAATCGCCAAGACGTCCAGAGACAACCAACGGAGACAGAAGCGCATTTGACAAGCATTTCTACGTAGCCCGCTGAAGTCGATTAGCACAGTAAGCAAGCAAATGAAATCTTCCCCAGTCCCCAGTTCCTGACGTTGTTTACGTTTATGTTTCCCACCCCCCTTGGCACTACAGCTCCAGTGGGCCTAGGTCTACCTCCATGAAGTCCATGAACTTCTCCGTTCACTTCGGTTTTTCTTGATCTGACACATTTAGTAGGACGGGTAGGAGTCCTTGGGCGGGTGATCAGCTCGTCGCAAGGCCTCTATCTGTACACAAACTAAACATCCATGCCCGGTTTCCAAGCGAGCGAAGACAGTACATGCCTTAGACCGCTCGGCAACCGTGACCGGCAGTGTATAAGAATAATATATAAGAATTCAGTTCGTACCTCACAGGAAACAGATCCGAACCCACGATCCCGGTTTCCAAGCGAGCGAAGACAGTACATGCCTTAGACCGCTCGGCAACCGTGACCGGCAGTGTATAAGAATAATATATAAGAATTCAGTTCGTACCTCACAGGAAACAGATCCGAACTCACGATCCCGGTTTCCAAGCGAGCGAAGACAGTATATGCCTTAGACCGCTCGACTACCGTGACCGGCACGTTTATGTTTACTCACGTAAAAATAGCTGTAGCGGTAGAACGTCAAACCAGCCGACAGTGACTGTAGGAAGAGACTTTGTCAGGAAATACGGCAGACAATTGATAGTGACGAGATCTTCCTGGATTCTGTGTATTTTCTCGATGGGACAACATTCCAGTTGAATTATGTTTGTGAAGAGACGTGTAGCTGCATAAATTGGGGTAATCAGCTACTTCAAGAAATTATGGGACACGCAAAAGGTTAACGTTTTGTATGGCACGATGACGCAGATCTCAGTGACTGCGCTCGCTCGAACGCTGGGATCGTGGATTCGAATCCTACATAAGGCATGGATATCTGTGTATGCGTTTATTCTGTGTTTGTGTTGTCCTGTGCTTAGGTAGGCTTTGCGAATGGCTGATCACTCGTCCAAGGAGCCCTACCGTCTGTGTAAAAAAATATTACGAAACTGAAGGAGGCTCAACAAAGGGCTGTAGATCCACTGATGGACGAAATGAGGGAAAATGGCACCATGGAAGATCGCATAATGGAACTTTTTTTCAAGGAAGAAACTGCGGCAAGGCATTAGTACCTATATTTGTTAGAACACAGTACCACAGTTGCCTTGTGATACGGCAGGATGGAGCATCCCCACATTTTGGAAAGACTGTGCGTCAGTTTTTAAAGAATGCTTCCCAAATAAGTGGATTGGAAGATACGATTTCCTAGCATGAACCCAAAGATCACTAGAACTAACACCACTGGACTTTTCCTTCCGGAGTAATGCGAAGAATATCGTCTATAGGGAGAACATTGGAGACCTTCGAACTTTGCAATATCGCATAACAGAGGCGACTGCAACAGTGACAGAAGTTACTTGGTGCAAGATAGAATGTTGTTTCAACATGTGTAGAGCAACTAATCGTGTTCACATTGGAACTTCCTAGATGACAAAAAAAAAATGTTGAATTTTATGCTACTGAATTGTGAGATCACTTCCGTATAATAAATACTTTTCCACGTACTAATTTTTTTGTTTTTTATAAACATGTTCGAAGTATAGGACAAGTCGAAGACAGACACAGAAAATGTAAGAGGCTTAAACTTGGCGGTGGTCATGCTTAAACCTTTCAACTGATAAAGCTGCCGTTGTAGCATAATATACGTAAGATATGCATTATCTGCTTTGCAATGCCTGTACTGACAGAGGACTTGAATACAATGCAAATGGAAAAAAATTCAATTACATGTTATATGTGCGATACATACGCTTGACGAAAGGACAAGAATATTCATAAGAGACAAACCCACCTTCACGTCAGAGAGGATGTTACATAAGGACTATGGCCGTCAAGGGTTTAGTTGAAAAAAAATCTGGTTGTGAGTCTCAGGGGGCTTGACGCCAAGACGAAATGATTAGTGGTAAACCGCCAGTCGCAAAGTAACTTTGACTCCGACTTTGTCAGTAGGAATTCTGTACGGGAGAGTGCGAAGAGGGGACCTGAGCGCGTGAAACTGAAGGATCTCCACTGTTACAAGCCGTTGCCAGGGAACGGCTTGTGAAGACACTGCAGGCTGAAAGAAGGTTAGCTGGTGCTGTGGTGATTTGTGAACTGTGGAGTTTAGCGGTGGCGTTGTAATGCTTGTAGTTCCGAGCCGTGTGTATAATTGGTCAATAAATCCATTCATCAATCCAAACCCCGTCTAGAATCACACATACACGTAATACGAAACAATATATATTATTATATGACATTTCAGTCCTCAAGAACCCAAGCCTGAATAGCTTTTGATAAATCAAAGGGGACGTCTGCTACATTACTGCATCATGTTCTTACGGACCACGTTGCAACACGGCGCAGTTTGATACGTGGGAACCAATGTTCCAGGCGAAGTGGACGGATATCCCAGAATATAAAAAAAAATGTAATCTTTACCCACGGGAAGAAATCAGACCTCATGCGGTAGGTTTATGCTAAAATCATACCTGAGAAGACAACTCCTGTGTAGGTTTAACCTGTTTAGATAGAGCATTTAAACATTTCTAGCACTATCATAGCAGAAAGATATTTTCTTTAAGGTTATTTTGGTCAACAACCTACTCATCCTACACACATTCCACGAATTTCGATGGTAGTCATTGGTTCACTGGTTATAACATCTCCGCGAGATAGGGACACCATTGATGTAGCAGAACGTTGTTGTCAATGCAGAATCAAAAGATGTCAGCACAATTCCCGCATCAGAAACAGAGGAGTGACAAAATCCGTAAAATCAGCTGTGTCTAAATGGTTTAGTTCGCAAATTTATTATATTTTTAATAATGACAATCGTTAGAGGATATAAGCACCGCATAATTCTGCTCAGCATACCCTAATTATGCCAAAGAAGGAATTAAGGTTGTGTATCATGTGTATTTACAAGTATCGTGTAACAATGAGCCTGATCATTAATCTTATAACCTCTACACGTATTAATGCTAATAAGTTTTAAAAATATATAGGGCCATTTCTTCTTTGTTCTAAAATTACACCTTGAATTCTTACAAGTGACATGTAGGTCATTTCCTTTTCCTAGCCGACCATTTTTAAATAGCCAAGGGAAGATTATATTCTTTAGCTTCAAGACTATCCAAATAAATTTATGCCGCACATTTTAGGCCATTTGATATTACATTACAGCATTACCTAGTGACTGAATAAAGAATCCCTTATTGTTCCATTAAACATGTTATCAAAATAGAAATAATCTGAAGAGGAAGCTCGAATTCAAACGTTTTTCTGTTTCCTACAGAGTGCCTCCTATATCTTATTGTTCCATCATCTGACACAGTCTTTCCAAATTAGGCCGTAATATAAAGCCTCGTGGAAGTCAGATATACCATATTTGATATTTTTAGCTGTTGGCGGCCGGCGATTTTAATCTTGTTTTAAATTAGCCACGATCTTACTCATTTGAATTTCAATTAATCCTTTCATTGTCAGAAACTTTTGATATGTTGTTACTGAATAACAATGTCATGTTAGTAGCTACTTCAGCGTGTATTTCAGTAAAATTAATGATGTAAGTGAAAAATGTACACATATTCGAGACATCTTAATTTATTAAATTAATGACTAATGACATTCTCTTTCCTGGGTGGATAAATAATTTGAATTATGTATCTTTATTCACAGAATGCTTGAATAGTAAATTCTGAGTGATCATAATTCCCATTTTTTGAACTCACGGGAAATGAAGGGTATCTAAAATTTGCTCTCACATATGAAACTGGTATGAACTGGCATATTAAGTACTGCATAAAAGTGAGTTTTGTAACAGAGACATATTTTGAAGGCAGTGTTTCATAATGTGGTGGACACTTCAGTTCCTCCAAACTCTACAAACTTTTTGTAAAGAGCACACAGATTTAACTAGACAGGCATTTCTTGAACATGAAAAAAAATTTAAGAGAAAGAAATAAAATGAAGAGTATTTGATTTTAAGCCTTCATAGCAACAGTATAAAAGGAAACCTCAGGCAATCAGCCATGCCAATGTGGAGCTGGGAATCCAGTGTTTCATAGATTGTCACTGTTTTCATCATCAGGGTTTGAGATTATGGGTGTTATGTTCACACTTTGTATTTATGCAAGCAGCTGTCGCCTTTCCCAGCCCAGATTGCATGGAGAGTGGTGAGTGGAGTCATATAGTCAGGAACAGATGGTCAGTCATAAGAACTGATGTCGATAATTGTTGTACCTCACAATGTTTCATAATTTCTCTTTCATATAATGTTCATGGCTGGGTACCTTGAACTGATAATTTTAACGGAGATATGGGATTCCTTCTAAATTGTCCTTTGTACCTGCCATAAACATGATAAAACAGACGTGACAGTGGGAATCTACACCCTTTCTGTACATTTTGTCCTGAGGAGGGAATGTTTTGTGCAGAATTCTCAATTAGTTTTACACCTATCAGTGCAAAAAAAAAAACATTCTAGATACAGGGGAAGTGGAATGACGCCAGGTTTAGTAGGGAAGAAACAGGCTAGCAACCAGACCAAATTCAAATATTAGAGATGAGGGACTATGCTACATATACCTACAATCCAATCATAATGTCCAATATTGGAAAAATAAAAGTCTCAAGAACCACTTCTAAATAAGCATTACAAGGTTATTACACTATGCAAGGCAATGGTTTATCACCTTGCTCGCTCATGGAGCTGAGCCCATTATTAATAAAAATTTTAAGAGCTGATGACAGGCCACTGTTGGCAGAATTAGTACTATCAGTACGCAATGCATGCAGCACTCTGTCACCTGATCTCACACAGCAGCATAATGATATTATTATAGAGAGATAAGTATATGAGAAAAGAATCTCTTAGAGCAGGAAACAGAAACACCTACTATAGGAAAGACCTGGAATTTTATCTTCATTTTGCTTACAGTTTATCTAAAATTGTTAGATATTATTCCTGTGCAAAATAGAGCTATATACAATAGATACAGAAATTCATTTTTATTTTCATACATTTATCTATCCAAATACTAACTTCCTATGACAGTACTGAGGTTGTTAGATCCTTAAAATAAAACACCCTATCAGAATAATCCATATTATTATTACTATATTTGCAATATTCTAGAGGTCATACATGAAATCAATGACAAATTTTAAAAAATTTTAAGTGTTATTTTATGCTTGCTATCTCAAATATTGTTCAAACATTTAATTTATTTTATGTATTTATGGTTTATTTAATTATGCTGCCAGCTAGCTCAGACTATAGCATTCAATGGTATAGGTAAAGGTAAAAGTAGAATTGTCCCTGTGCTTAACTAATTAAGCACTGTGCCTTGAATATGTATTAGGGAGTGGATGTATAAATCTATGTATTCTTGACCTTGGCATTAGTTGGATAGTAGGCTCATCAATGCATTACGAACTGTAAAGGATGTGGGTGGACACAGTTTGGGCTATTTGAGTACTGTCCTAGCATTTACCTGAAGGCACTGAAGAAAACACAAAAACCTCGGGATGGCTAGTGTCCCAGCTGAGATCTGAACCAGGCACCTCCTGAAAACAGATCAGTAGCATTACCACTTAGAAAACTTGCTCAGCCAAACCATGAAACTTTGATGGAAATCAGACTGGCTATTCCAAAATGATGAGTAAGAATGCACACCTAATTTAACATATGTTCTATGTTAAACATGAAGAATAAGAGGAGCTGTAACACACAGCGTGTGGTCTCTTGCTGATATCATGGGTATTTCTGTTGTCCTTTAGTTGGGTAATCCTTATTCCTCCCTCCTCACTTTTTTATAACAGCCTAATTTTTCTTACACTTTCAAAATAGCTACATTTATGTTGATGAATTGTGAACCTTTGCATTTTTAGTAAATTCAGGATATCTCATTTGGCTTACTGTTAGTTAGAATTCACCGAGCCATTTGGATTCAGATGCCACTGCCATGTTTTGTCTTGGCACATATAAATATTTGCTGACTTACCACTGGCTTACACAGTGGTTAAAATTACTGATATTAATGCAGTTCTTTGGTAGTTACACTGCGTGGATGCAAGCAGTGTTGCCTGCATTGCAAAGGTACCTGCTACCTCTGTCTTCAGCGGTAAACTGTCCCATTTTAATTTATCAAACTGCAGCAACATCATGTACATCCACACCGTGTAGCCACCTAAGAATACCAACATATAAACAGTTTGTTTATATAAGACAAGCTTTGTATCTCAGCGCATCTCTTCTGTCCATAATAGTGAAAGAGTTAACCAGTGATTGTATGTGCCAGTTACTGAGTAAAGGTTTTTGCAGTAGCAAAAGCCGGATATGGGAACGAGATCGGCGAGAGAGACTGAATGTTTCCTTCAACAACCTGAGTGCCCTGTTGCCCAACTATGACCCTGCTGCAACGCTGAGCAAAGTTGAAATCTTGCAGAAAGCAGCTAATTATATCCATGAGTTGCAACAAGAAAATCACAACTTGCTGCATGGTAGCGTGGATGAGTTTGCTTGTAAGTACATATTGATGTGACATGATTCCTGCTAGTCAAGAAATTCCTACAATGAAACCTCAAGGCTCATCACTGTATTCACAGAAAGTCAACATTTGACATTATTCTTAGCCAATTGAATCCAGTTTACAACTTAAAAACTTATTTTAATATTATGCTTTCATCTCACCTAGCCTCTGTGACCAAATGCCAGAATAGCAAATTTAAATTTCCTCCTTGAAAATCCATTGTACGCTCAAAATCATCTCATATCATCTGATGCTGTATATAATCTATGCAGTTGAGTAGTGTCATTAAATGAATCTCCCACTTTGTTTTTTTAATTAACTGCTCTAAGATTGTTAGGAAGTCAGCAGGTTGGAATTGTGGCTGGATTATTGGCTATCCTGGCAGATTTTCATAGTTTTTCTAACTCACTTGAAGTGGATACCAGGATAGTAAGTTCTGATAAACTGAAAATGTATGCTTTCATGTTTAGTGAGTAATGATAATCTAAAGAAGTTAGGAAATATATGCACAGTGTAAGAATTCTGATGCATCTGTTCTCTTATCAACTCCAGGCAAATTTTGTTGAAAGCATTTTTCTGTCCATAAGATTTGAGACTTTCACAGTGGTGGCTATGAAGAGGATGAGCTTCTCAGATGCAATGCCGTGTATTCTGGTAGTATGTCCTGACATTTCAGAGGAGCATATTGCTTCCTTCCTCAGGACCGAAGATAAAGTGAAGCAAGCAGCAGGCAGAGGACTACCTCCACTCCTTACAGCTTACTTGGCTTTCTCTTCAGTCCTGAAAATGGAAGCAGTATACTCCTCTGAAATGTTGGTAGGCTTCTATCAGATTACAATGGTGTCACATCCCAGCATATAGCACACTTCACATTTTTCTCTCATAAATATTTAGTAAGTTACACATGAATTGCACTTGACCTGCACACTGAAGGTCATGTTGGTCCCATAAAATGCTTGCTATTGTTGTTAAATTGTATTTCAAATTGGAATATGGATTTTAGTAAACCTCCTCGATATCAGATTTAAAGATAATCTATTGAACAATTCTTAAGTTGTTACACATGGACAGACAGATTCTGTGAAGGTAATACATGATTTTTTGCAATTTTCTGATGTGGATACATAAAAGGGTATTGAGGATATTTTCTCTCTTGCCGCCACCACCTTGCAACCCAGTGTAAGAAAGCAGAAGTGGAAATGTGACTTCTTATGGATACTGTTCCTGGAAGTAAAAGTTAGAAGACAGTATTTTTGTTCTTAATATTAAATAAGCCACTGAATTGTACAAAAATCATTACTGTCTTTTCATTTCCTGCACTGAGTATAGGAAAATATTAATTTCACTGTAATGTAAATAAGATTCTTTCAACAGCAAAACAAATGCAGCATCTGAAGCAACAAGTAGAAGAGTTGGTGAAACGAATTCAACAGTTGGTTAATCTTCTTCGGGATGCCAGAATTTCCATTCCACCCCATTTGGCAGTGGATTCATCACGTCCACTGAGGTGGTCCAACAAGTTTAACCAGGAGGATGGTCTTATGCTATTTGAGAAGGCAAAGAAGAGTAAGCTGAATTTATTTACATATTGTAGACTGGCTGATTTACCAAAATGATAGCAAACAACTTGTCAAATGTGACATTTCATGACATACTAGTTTTTTATGATGAAGTTGTTAGCTTCCTGCCCAAAATGCAGGTTTGAGGGCCACCCCGTGTCAACTGTATGTGACTGCTTATGCGCGGTGTTTGCACTTATCCATATCTGGAAGGTTATTTCATTCATGCATAATGTGAGAATATGCTGTCTTGCTGTAGTGACAACACCCACTTTCTCAAGTCACATAGTTATATTAATTAATTAGATGTCATGCTGAAGGTTGGTCCTACACTGTTGCAGAAGGTGGTGGAGAGCAAGTGACAATTATTTAACTGTTATTGGTTGGCTGAGTTATTAGAATGATAGTTTATTATTCTTAGGGCATATTATTTATTATTAAATTTAGCTATACCAAATTTCAATCTCTGATATAATAAAGTCATAATTTGAATTCTCTGTTAATTAACTCAGAATATTCTACAAGACAAAGTAATTCAAATTGATGAAATATAACGAAATGATCCCATACAACCATGCAGACCCCTAGCTAGACTTTCTTGCACAAAAACTAAAAAACTAAGCAATAGAAATGATTTGTTGCAGTTATCTGATTGTACTGTGATTAATAAATTACAAAATTATCAAATAGGTAGGATTCAGAAATTCACCCTGTGCTAAATAGACCAACACTTACATTTCATTAATATTTAACATTGCGACTAAAGAGCATCTGTGGTGAAGTTATTTATAATACAGGCAAGTACTTTTGGTGTTCGCCTATCTTAAGAGTGTGTCTAGTCCACTCCCNTTCAAATATATTAAGATAACTGTACTGTGAAAGAAAAGGGGAAAGGCACTTTCCTTTGGGTTATAATGCATGTTGATACAATTAGGTTATTATTTTAATGTTTATATGACTTTCTTCCTCAGAAAAGGCAGAGCAGAAGAATGCTAAAATTGACTTAAAGAAAAAGAAGAAATTGAATAGAGTTCAGACCATAAGAACAAATGCAGCAGCACCTCTGAAGCCAATAATTAACAACTGCTCAAAGGTGACTCAAATGAAGCAGATCACAAATACCTCAAATATCCCGTCCATTCCAAAAAAGAAATCTACAGTATGTAAAAAATCCAAAGACAAAATTAAATCAGGAAAACCAGCTACAAAATTATTTGGTGACAAATTACCAACAGTGGCACAACTTCTGGGGTTGACAATGAATGACATTGATACATCCCCAGCAGCAGGCCACATTGATTCAACAACAATATCAGTACATGAACCATCTAATGTTGCCAGGTCTACTTTAATCAATACAAGTGCTCCACTTCCACCTGGCTTCATTGTAATTCAAGGTAGCAATGGAGTTCAACAGACATCCTTACGTTCTACCTCTGTGATGAATCATCACCAAGCACAATCATGCATTGTGATGCCTACAAATCCTCAAATAGTAACAGCAAAGAAAGTGACAAAATCATCAACTGTATCACAGCCAATTCCTTTCGTTCTTTCAAATTCTACCTCTAATAATGCTGGAATCAACAAACGGAAGCTAAACAGTCTAATTTCAGTAACCAAATCCCATCTATTAACTGCACCAGTAGTAGCCTCTGGTATCCAGACCTGTCCTCCACCTGCTGTTCTAACCAATCACAGCACAGGACTTGCGGGTTTGAGACCTGGAACACTAATATTAGCAAATGGAAACATTGTGCCTGTTCTTCCTCAACCTCAGACTGTGCTAACAGCGGCACCAACACAATTCATCGTCAATTCGAACCCACTTCCACCTCCAGCAAATCCTCCAGTGTTAATGATGCACCAACAGAAGAATGCAGTCACAAGAACTACCTCATCAAATAGTGTTGCCTTGGTTACATCATCATGTTCCAAACCTCAGCAACGCTCTTTTCCAATGTTAGTCCCCAAGGTGTCAAAGAAACCTGCAAATTCAGATACTACAGTGACTACATTTGCGAATAAAGTCCCCATCCCAGCCTTAACATCACGGCATCAGCCTGTTAAGTGTCAACATATTCAAGCTCCAGCCATTAACACTCTGACAAAATCTCCAGCCAAAGCTAAAACTAAAGGAGATAATGAAAGTGTTAAGACTGCTAATACTGATTTGCCTGTGTTAATGAATGACAGAGTCCGAAATTCTGGAACCAAAAATACTACTGCATGTAAGGGAAGAGAGAGGCTGGAAAAGATTATAAATGCAAATAAGAACAGTAAGCAGAGGTCACTGGACAGAAGTACTGTGAGAGTCAGTATTACAGATGTAAATGTGGACAGCTCAGGAGCCAACAAAGATGATAGCTTGCAGGTAGGAGCAGAGACAGATGGAAAACTTTCAGAAAAATTCAAGGATAAGGACGTGAAGAGTAATGGGGCAGACAGAACTCTCATATCTCATAATGTTACAAATAATGATGAAAGGAATTGTGAGCAGGTTAACAATCTGGATGCAGAAATAGAAGATGGCAATAAAGACGAAGAAGAGGGACCAGCTGGAATATGTGAAAACCCTGCACCTGTTAAAAGAAAGAGAGAATGTGAAAAGGAAAGCAGTGTAGAGACATGCAATAAGACAAAACAGTGGAAATGTGACACGGAAAATCAGGAAGCAAGGAACACTGACATGGAAACAAATAATTCAGCCACCTATGAATTATGTTCTGCAGTATCAGACAGAACATCACCATCTGCTGTGGCAGCCCTTAAATCTTGTAACTCTGGCACCTACACAATTGATGTTCTGTGCATGACAAAACCAGTTACATGCCTCAGTATTAACAAGATTTCAGGAGAATCAACACGTACAGAGAGTAATGTTGACATAACAAATCCCATGTGTTCTGAAAAAATCATTCCATCAGAAGGAGACATAAAATACTGTAGCCAGAAAGAACATGATACAGTAAAATTAACAGCAAAGGATAGTAGTACAGTTTCAGAAGTCTGTAGGTTGAATGCACAAGTTGTTTCAAAGGATAGTTCCAAGCCTGTTACAAGGTCTGAATCACAGGTGGCTCTAAAGAGTCCATTAAATACTTGCAGTGCATCAGGTGTTTGTCAGCATGAAGTCAGGGATAGAACAGATAAACAAAGCAGTTCAACTACCTCAGATTTTTCAGTTCCCCAGCAAGTACATGACATGCATATCACTGTTATTAAATCACAGCTTTTCAAAGGAACAGAACTGAACACACTCCCACAATCACCCCAACCTCAGAAACCTCTGGAGGTCACAAATCCAAGAGTGGATTTCAAGCCTACAGTAAAAGCTCAGCAAAACAATGTGATAAAAGCATCTAGTGATTCTTTTTCCTTGCAAAATGAAGGGAACATTGAAAATGAGGGCATTGGAACTTCACTGCAGAAATCTACTGAACTACCAAGTTCCTCAACCTGGCATAAAGATAAAGAAAGTGTAGTAGAAAGAAATAATAGCACAAACTATCATTCACTAGCAGCTGATCAGGCTTCCCACACAGAGCAACAAATTACAGCTTCAGTATTACCACAGCATCATCATGAAATCCGTGTTGCTGCTACAAAGGAGCATGACTTATGTAATGCACATTCAGTTGTAACCTGTACATCATTAACAATCCCAGAGAACAAACTGGTTAGAGTCCAAACAGAATCTAGTGAATTATGTTTAGATAAAGCACTGCTGCCAGTACAGTCCAGCAGTATGTATCCTACATTTACTAGCTCAGCCATGGCAACGCACTGCAGTGAAAACACATTCATACCCATCACCAGTAATTCAGCAGACATTGATACAGGTTCAAAAACCACAGATAGTGAAGCTAATATTAACAACTCATTAAATATATCTCTCCAAAATTCTGAGTTCTCAAGTGATCTTTTTGCTTCCTTGCAAGTGCCCTCAAGTGGACAGCATTCAGAGTCTATTTCCCCAACTGCAGCATTCCTGCTTGCATTCCCTCTGGTTTCGTCTTCCAAAGTGACAGAAATGATAGTAGACCCACAGGAAGAGGTTGGCAGTGACAGCATGCAAGGAGCATCCACTCTTCTGCAAATTGGGAACATTGAACCTGATCCTCCCCATCACATGTCTAAACCCCCTCACTCTGCTGATGTAAATGTTCCAACAGAGACAACGGAGACAGTTACAACCAGAACACAACCAAAAATAGCAGTGTCTTCCTCAAGTGCTATTGCAGATGGAGATAATGTGAGAGCCGTATCTTCTGGGTGCAACGTGCCAAATCAGCAGCGAGTAGTTTTATGCAGTAATCGCGAGAGAAAAACTGAAAATTCAGTTCAGGAGACCCAAAATTTGGGAAAGTGTTCTTCCGGCATGACATTACCTTTAGAAAATTTCACAAAGGCCAGTGATAAGCAATGGCCAAATGTTACAGAACACAGTGTTTTAGAATGTGGAGACAAACTTCATCCCAGAAGGAGAAGCATTGGAACACAATCAAATATCTTTAATAATCTTGAATTGAAGTCATCAGAAGCAAACTGCAGCCAGACATCATTGTCATCAACCATAAAAACTTCTTTAGCCATAGATGCTAGTGTATATAATATTTCACTGGATGAAGAGAAAGACAATACAAGTGGAACGTGTTTTCAACAGAAAATGGAGACTGAAAACACAGCAGTGTCTACAAATAACACACCGCAGCATCCTGTCTCGAGCTCACATTCACATATCACAATATTCAAGTCTGGTCAGGAGCATCAAGAGTATCATTCTTCATCAAATTCATTTCAACTCCCACCAACGTTTGGATCTGTAATTTATAAGAACGTGTTAAGTGAAGATAGTACTAAGAAGATAACAGGGAGCTCTAATACATTCCAGCCTATGGAAGAATTATGCATGAAACCACAGACAGCTGTTACTTCAGAACATAATAGAACCTGTGCGAACACAAATTTCACACAGACATTCCATACAAGCAAGGAGTCCCACCACACTTGTGAAGACTTGCCACATAATCACACTTCGGGGAATACAGTGACTGATCACAATGCAAATCAGAATTCTTTCCCGAAGATGCATCCTTCTCAAATGATAACTGAACAGGGCACAATGACAGAAGAATCAAGAGACCATGTTGGTTCTGCCAACTACAAGCCACTTACATCTTCCACTTCAGCAGCTTCATCTGTAGGAGAAGTTATTAAACACAATTTCTCCAACAACGTGACAAATTCTGCTTCACATGCAGATATGTCTGTTTCATACAACCATGTACTAAGTTCAACACCTGCACAGACATATCCATATAACTTGTTCAGCAATGATTATTCTTCAGTGCCTTCACAAGTGACATGTACAGCAACATATATCCAAGCTCCCAACAGTAATGATCAAAATAAGACAAGTGCTGCTTCATTTTCTGTTGCTCATAATTCATCCAATTTCAGTATACTGTCATGGACCACTCTGTCACCAATGTCTGCACCAGCTAACATTAATCAGTATGAAAACTTTAATATCCCACTGCAGAATACATCTGCAGACGTACCTCAGCACAATTCTACAACAGGTACATCATTACAAAAGGAAATCTCACAAAATCAATCCAGTAATAATGCTGCAACAATGTCCAGTCCAGCTGTCAGTGAAATGCAAAGATTAGTCCATAGTAATAACTGTCAGAAACAACGTGAAAGTAATTCAAACGTTGGAAAATCCATGAATGATGAAATTCACAAACTGACAGGGTCATTTCCAGGTTTGTACACTAGTGAAGAACAGCAGTCCTTGGGAATGTCTGATCGAGATACAGCAACATCTCACATGCAGTTCCATCATGTAAATAATGAGAACCAGGTTTCAGTTCCACAGGAAGAAGGTGCAAATAATGAAAATTTCAAATTTCCTCTGCCTTCTGTTTCTGATGTAAAAAGTCGCCAGACTGCAAGAACAAATCACTCAACTGAGAGAATGAAAGTGTCGCAACAGCACCGACCTCCAGTGAACTGGATGACTACACCAGATATTCGCACAAGCAGCACCAGTTGTTCTGCCATGAGTTCAACATCTTCGTCTGCTGCCCCTATTGGTCAACCCACCATAAGCCATGTACCCAGTGCAGCAACATCGGCTGCGCATTCTGAAACAAGTTCTGTTCAGATGAATAAGGAATTTGAATTCTGTAGTAATACTTCTAATCACAATTTATTCATGGGTAATTCCAGTGTTGCTTCTCCCACATTTGATGGCAGAAGCTTTGCTGGAAATGTAGCATTGTATGGGAACCATGTTCTTCCTTCACATAGCAATTTGTATACTAATAATAGGCAGTCATCCCGTTTATCTTATCATAAGGAAGAAACTAGAAACATGCATCATAATCCTACTCATCAAAGGCTTACAAATTTACCTGTGCATGGACAAAATTATCATAATGAGGCCTATTCATTATCATGGACCCCAAGAAAAGTTCCTTTCACATCAGCATCCGTGATGGCACCAGACATGAATGGTAACAACTTTGTTCCCTCCACACTGCCGACATTAATTGGAGATTTAGCTTTAGGTACTAATTATCCAGTGTCTGGAAATGATGACAGTAACCATAACAAACCATATGTACATTCAAATTTTGGTAATGGAGAAATTAATAAAAAGAATGCATCAGTCAACACATTGGAAGACCTGTCAGGAAAACACATTCAGAGTAGGCATGTAGAGAAGGAATCAGGAATAAACACTGACATTGTTGGGAGTAAGGCAAGGAACAACAGCAACCAAGTCTGTACTCAAGATTATCATGGTAGTGCTCAGTCAGAAGGTGGGTCATCAGGAGGAACTTCAGCTGTATCAGGAAACTTCCTTTCTGTAAGTCAGCTAGTTGATCAAGTAAAATCAGGTGTTGGATCATCGAGAACACAAGTGAATGCTTCAGCAAGGAGGAGCAATAATAACAGGAATGTTAGTGGTGGGAACAAGAACAGTACAGCCCAGTCAAGACAGCATGTTGTAGCATCGTCTTCCAACAAAAGGAGTAGTACTACACAAAATAACACTGAAAGGGATAGCAGCAAGAAACAACAGCAGGTGGCAAACGTAAGTTTTTCAGTTCCAGAAGGCACAAATGCCATGCCTATAACAGGAGATGGCATCAGGAAAGCAAATGATGGAAACAGGGATAGTCATTTCTCAACAGAAAATGCCACAACTCTTATGCCACCTATTTCACAAAGCAGTGCAAGCTTTCCCATGCCTGTACATGATATGGGGAATCAGCCTCCATCATCCATTGCTAATAATCAACACCACTGGCCATTAAGCAGAGGGAAACAAGGCAGAACAGGTTCAGCATCTTATAAAGCACCTGTTAGCAATTACTCTGCTGAGGCTCTCATCGGATTGAGTAGTAGCACCCTGCATATTGCAGACACAGCTCACCTGTCTCAAGAATCTACCAACAATAAAATTATAAGTCTGCCACCTCCAATGGTGTCTGAAAGATTTTGCCATAATCAAAACTATCATCACCATCCTCAAACTTCACGATCCCTGCAGATGACAACATCATTTGGTAATGAAGCTATCATCGCAGGGAATTACTTTCCACCCGTTGACTTACCATCTTCCCACCATCAAGATGGACATGTATCAGGCATACCAACCAATACTCACCATGACAACTTTACCCAAACTCCTCATCAGAATCAGCAGTCATACAGCAATGCTTCTTTCAGTTACCCTGCTGGTCCTGCAAATATGAATGGACAAGGACCAGCCACCTTATACCCTTCAGCAAACTTTATATCCAGCTCAAATAGTGGACACACTAATGCCAGTATTCCACCTGTCTCATTGCCAACAGGGTTCCTTACTGAACTTACTGGCAGTAATACCTTTCCTGGTGGGATAATTCCATCAGATTCAAATAACTCCCTTATTTTTCCATCGCCTGTAATGAAAAGTGTACCTGTAAACCGAAACAGTAGCAGTCGACATAACCATTCATATTTACAGTCATCCACATCTGCCTCTGCCCATCACCATGATCAGAGTGGACAACAACTGCAAGCAAGAAATGACAACTCTTCAGGACAAGTGGGAGAGACAAACAGAAGTGGTAGTACTAACATGACGTCTAATGATGGCCATGGAAACCGAAGGCTGAATGGCCATGCTGGGGGACTTCCACTGCATCACCAGACCAATAACCTAGGTGGAAGCAGCAACACCAATTGTTCTTTAATAAAACAACGCGGAAATGGAAGCAGGAGGAGGAACGCAGATCCTGTCTCCTCAACTTCATCATCTACTTCAGGAATTACTGGTTTGGTTGATCTGGGATATTTGCCTATGCCACCTGGGATTGGCTCTCCTATGCTGGGTGCTGATGATGGAGCTTTCTTAAGTCATCATACCAGTGGGACATTCTTAACACCCCCAGGACCACAGCTATATCCCCCAGGTCCTACACCAAATCCTCAAGGAACCCTTTATCCTCCAACACCCCGTCCACCAACACAGATGACTTCACACACCAACCAACATTCAGGCAGCCATCTACCTCCATTTTCATCATGTACACCAGTACAAGAAAATTCATCACTGTCACGTGCCGCACATCATCAACAGCAGCAGCAGCAGCAAGCCAGTACTTCACCAAATGCTACAAATGGCAGTGGTAACACTCTTGCCAACTTTAATCTCAGTACAATTTTCCCTGAAATCAATGACAAAGTAAGTTGCTTTGCAGGTGGTATTTTGTAATGATACTAATAATAATTATTCATAATTTGATAACTGGTGTAGAATCTGAGGTTCTCACAGCGGTGGTTATGAAAGGTTACATCTTCTGGGACATAACATGGTGTGCTGCATTGAAATTCAACAGACAATTTTGAGGGACTTGTAACCTCTGTCTTCAGAGTAGCGATGTGCTTGCTACCTGCTTCATGCTGGTTTCTTCCTAGTCTTTTTCTTTGACCCTAAAGATGGAAGTGACATATTCCTCCAAAATGTCAGTTGACTTTTAACAAACTACATGGCAATACATCCCAGAAGACAGAGCTCCAATAATTGGTGTTTCCTTTCCCATGCTGAATTTGAAGAACTTACACTTATCAAGTACATGTATTCATAAACTGGAGGCCAAATTTCTTTATGGATTACATATAATTTGTGAACATGGATTTTATTGAAGAAAGCAGTCTTCTGGGATTTGGCACTGTGTATATGTTGTGTTAACCAATGTTTCGGAGGAACGTATTGCCTCCATCACGGTCTCTTCGCTTGTGGATTTCTTATATTTTTCTTTGTACCCTGAAGATGGATGCGATACATTCCTCCGAAACTTCGGTTAACACTACATATACACGGTGCCAAATCCAAGAAGACTGCTTTCTTCATAGTCACCGCCGTGAAAGCCTCAAATCTTACATGGATTTTATTGATTATAACTACAATATATTCATTTTCTTTGCAGCAAATTCCATCTGTACCTTCTGTGATTGGGTTTGCAACTGGGACAAAGAACCTGGCACCAGAAAGCTCATCTTCTAATAATTCTCATCACCATTCTGCACTTCTACCACCTGGTGGTAGTGATACAGAGTATCTGCATCGTGTTGTCCCACCTCCATCTACTGTCCCCAGTAACTGCCTTCCACCACCTCCTGTCCCACTTCACACCAATTTTAACAATCTGCTGAGTCATGCTTCATCTCAAGTAAGCAGGATGCCATGGCCATAATAAAACCATACGGTTTACAACAAAACATCAAAATCCTGTTAACAGAATACTTTGTAACTGACTTTCATGTTCTAGCAATCATTATAATAAAAATGCACAACACTTTTCACTCTTTGTTAGAATTAAATGTGTCAGTTTACATTATTATGGGGATCTGGTGGATTGGGGATACAGCACTGGACTCTCATTTGATGGTTCCAAGTTTGATTCTCAGTCAGATTTGTATGCAGACTTCTCTGAAACCATTCCCCTACAGAAGATATAACTTTGGAAATGTGAAGAATACCAGCTTCTCCTCTCAGACTCAGCGTCCATATTAAGCTGTAGATCCTGTCTGCCTACCATCTGTATCATGACCACCCTATCATTGAGGTAATGAGATCTGCCCACCCATACCTAGGTGGACAGAGCCCACAAAGCTCAAACAGACCATACATGGAGCACTAGAAACAACAGAGAACATTTTTATTACTAGCTGCACAATTGGCAGGTTCTCAAGAAAGGCTCAGCTCTGTGAGTGGGTGATGAGTGATATTTTGGGTACTGGTAAAAAAAACTCTGTGGCCTGTAGTCAACAAGTGAACTACAACAACCGAGCAACCATCACTTGTCAGTGAGGTTACTGTCAACTTTCAACTTCAGCGGATAGAGGGTGTCACGTGTTCAGCACAACAGATCCCCACAGCCGTTAATCTCAGTTTTTAGACAGGATTTGGGTACTGGTATAGATTTTTAAATTAGCAAAGCTAGGAAAGGGAAGAACATAAGGAAAAGCAAAGGTCTGCTAACATTCTGATGCAAAACAAATACTAAGGATTGACAGTTATCTCAGTGACAAGAAAAAGCATGTCTTACTCATCTGACCATTGTGGTATTCAAGTTCCCTGTTACAGACTTTAATTTTTTATTCTAAAGGGTTCTGACGATGGTGGATAACACACAGACTTACTTTTTTTTTTTGGACTTTTTCCATTGTCTGGAATTCTAATAAATAAAAAACATGACATTTCAGAAACTGGATCTGTTTCCATCTTCAAGTGAGGAAGGAAGACACCTACTCAGTTGGGCCCCTTAGAAAGAGCTAATCTCAATCACTGGACAACTCCTGTCAGATTTACCCAGCTATTTCAACATATAACACTAGGCTAGTTCAGCAGGAGATAACAAGAAACCATAAGTGCATGCTCTATCACGATTTTTATTTTATGGTTTCTTCTCTGGCAGGAAAATAATTTAATTTTTTTATAATGACCCTAAAATGAAATAATTACAGTACTTTATTTACGTGGGTAGGCTGAAAAGTAATGCACACATGCTTGTAGAGCGCGAACAAAAGCAAATAGCAAGATCGGGCAAAAAGTATATTAAAGTACAATTCTTAAGTTTCAAAAGCATATATTTATTTTTCAACATAGTCACCGTTAAGGCTAACACATTTCTCCCAACGTGTAACAAGTTTTTTCATTCCATCACTGAAAAATTCTTCCGACTTTTCTCAAATCCAGGACTTGACAGCTGCCTTCACCTCATCGTCCGAGGTGTAATGATTACCCTTGAGGTCTCTCTTGAGTAGAGGAAAAAAATAAAAATCGCAAGGCGCAAGATCGGGGGAATAAGGAGGGTGTGGAATCGGCTCAAACTTCAGGTTTTGCAGAGCCTCTTCAGTTGCGCGTGAGGTGTGTGGACGAGCGTTGTCATGTTGCAAGATTATTGGCGCCAGGCAGCCTCTAACACGACAAACTCGATGCCGGAGGTGTTTTAGAGTCTGTATGTACTGAGAAGAATTTACCGTTGCCCCTCATTCCAGAAAATCGGTCACATAAACTCAGTGAGCATCCCAAAACACAGTCAAAAGAAGTTTTTTGGCGGATGGTTGTGTTTTGAACATTTTCACCTGAGGAGAAGACAGATGTCGATATTCAGCGCTCTTGTCTTTTCTCTTCCGGGTCGTAACGATGGACCCATGACTCGTCCCCCGTCACAATATTCAAAAGAAAGTCGTCTCCTTTGTCACGGTAGTGCTGCAAAAGTTGCTTCCAGCATTCCAATCGACGCTGTTTGTTCTTGTCTGTGAGACGGCGTGGTACCCATCGTGCACAGATTTTACGGTATCCCAGTTGTTCAATAATGAAGCCGACACGTTCCTTGGATATTCCAATGCGGTTTGCCATATGCTTTTGAGTGATTCACCGGTCATTTTGAATCAAATCGTTGACGAGTTTGCGATGATTATCGTCTGTGGCAGTGATCGGACGTCCGCTGCGTGTTTCATCAACAATTATGGCTTCTCCAGGCTCGCAACCACGAAATTTTATTACCCATCGATTTGCAGTAGACCTATCAACAGCATTGTCACCATAAACAGCCTTTAAACGACGATGAATCTCAGTAGGAGTCAATTTTTCAGCAGTTAAAAATTCGATAACAGCACGCTGTTTAACTCACATTGACATAGCACTAGAGCACGTCTCCATACTTCCCCCTTCGAAATACACCGGATGAACGCAACGACCTCAAACCTGCGCATGCGTGTTGAGGGGGAATGTTACTTCCACATGCCACCTGGCGCACTTCTGAAGGTCATTTCGTTTGCTCTCTACAAGCATGTGTGCATTACTTTTCAGCCTACCTACGTATAAGGGCCTTCATTGTTTTCAAATAATTAATAATAATTTATAGCAATAATTATAATAATAATAATTTTTAAGCAAATTTTGCTTTTACAGGGTCATTCAAGGAATTGAACTGGCGCACTATTTGGCCACAAGAAGTAAAAATTCTGTCAAGCACAGATTAATTTTGTCATAACTTTTTTTTTTTTTGCAGAAAATGTAATTTTACTTTGTATTTATCAGACAATAATTTCTTGGATTCATTACCATTACTGCTGATGCTTCAGTTTTTTTTTAAATGTAAAGTACTGTTCAATATCAGTCATTAATATTAACTTTAGCTATGAAGAGTTCAAAATCAGTTATCAAAGTACAGGGGCATAACCGACTTCTACAAACTCTTTGAATTGACTCTTATAAAGGTAAATTTGTCCTTGTGCTTAAATGATTAAGCACTACTTTCTGAAGACTTATGGGAGAGTGGATGTATAGATCCACATTTCCTTGGCCTTGGCACTAGTTGGAGGTGAGTGGTCAATTTCATGTTCTGACTGCTTTACCCATGGGGAAGAAATCCCTGGTACACATTGGATAGGAGGCTGGGTAGGCCCCAGAACCAATCTGGACGGCATGGAGAAGATAAAATTCTCGACCCTGCTAGGACTCAAACTCCAACCCCTTGGCTGTAGATGGGATAATTTTTTCATGGTTCAGTGGTAGATTACAAAATTAATATCTAAGACCATTCTCTCTCTCTCTCTTTTTGTGAGGTAAATGTAATATAAGTACGGGAAAATTGTTAGGAAAATGTTATTGAGAATAATAATATTCCATATTACACAAAATGGGTTGCTGTATCATCTTCCATCTTATGCAGGGACTACAGTGGGCCTTGGTTAACTTGTGTGTTTTATGTAGGTTAAATAGCTAATCTGAGGTTAAGTGGTTACCATTCCTGCTTCATATTAATGAGATTCTGGATTTGAATCTCATCCTGTAGGTTGACTATCCTGACTTATTTGTACTTTTCTCCAGATCTTCCTAACAAATGATGGAATAATATTTTAACATATACCACATCTGAAATTATCATTCTCATTCATTCTCTTATTTCATGCATTGTAACCTATACAGTTACAAAAGCATCGTTGAATGAAGTAAACAAAGATTTAAATGTATATTATTTCATCAGCAGCAGCAAAACAGCACTTTTGGACCATAGCCTTTCTTCAAAGATTCTGCCAGACCTGTCCAGTTATGAAGTAGACCATCTGGTTTTAACTTCTTTCAATTTTGCAACAATATTTTTTTTTCAGAGCAAGGGCATCAGCCTTGCACCTAATCCCCAACATGGAAGACCATGTCTCTATATTTATGGCCCCCAGGAACCGGATTCCCTTTCTGTCACCTTCTATGACTCGCAGGACTATGTGGAGGTATTCTAACCTGCCTCCACACAGGATTTTACTCTATTTCAGTCTGACAAAAGGTCAGGAACTGTATGCTGATAATCATGTCCAATGCTGTTGCCTGTAATTTCCCTTTAGAACTCTGCTCCAAGCAGTAACACTGTTAAATATTATACTTCAGCTGGCAGTGCCTTTTATAGTTCTTTATGAACGGAAGTATATTAATAACGGTAATTGAAATGAGCAGAGATATATAATTGGATACTGAAATGTCTGTATTCTTTCAGTTTGTAGAAGAAAATATGTTATTATGTACATCAATTTGGCTTGTTTTATCAACTTCTAAAAACAGCATGAAGATAATGTTCTGTTACAAATATTCTTTTCCAGACATGAATGGCATTATTTCACTTTATTAAAACAGTGATTTGTTATGAAAATAAAAGAAAACATATTAAAGGACTATTTTATTTTATAATTTACATGTCAAATAGCCGTTTTTACACTGCAAGTACTACAACTGTATTTAATCAGAGAAGTTTTTAAGACATCTGCTGCAAACATGTAGATATGTATCCCTTAACTTCTCCACAACTGCCCATAACTTGACAGCCATTTGTGAATTACTTTCGTGTTTCCCACAAAAAGTTCCTCACGTATATGACTGAATGATTTTTCTCTCAGAGTACATTTTTATCCAAAAAATTTCAGTCCACTTACTATGTAACACCTGAAACATCTTTAGACCTTCAGGTATACTGATGAATTTCATTGTTCAGTGTTGTTTAAGATACAAGAATGATTATGCCCTTTTATGAAATATGTCTGTAACAAAATTTATATATCTGTGTAAGTTAGCCATATGGTTGCATACATTTATGGAATGTAAAATTTGTTCATACTTCATGTATCCTGTTTGACTTAACAGTTGTCACTGACAGCAGACTAGCCACTGCATAGCAGCAATTAAACAAAGTGATGTGAATTGGAACGCAGCTAACAAGAATATTTAAATGTGATAAATATGACCTTACATCATATTTCCATAATATGTTTATAATTTCCCCATTTACATACTGTGCCATGTTCTTGCTATCTCCATTTCAAGAACTGTTCAATAGTACCAGTTTGGGTGCTGTCTGCAATATATATTGTAAATAACACTGAAAATATTTTATAGTCATGCAGAAGTAACTATCATAATACTGATATTCAGCTTACAGTTTATAGGGAGACACATCATCAACAGATAATTATTTATAGCATGGGTCAACATAATGTGCATGACATGAATGTAAACATAACATTACAAAGTAATGTGAATAATTATAAACACTTTGTACATATTTTCAAAAGTTTTGTACCTGATCAATGAGATGTAAGTAATTCATGAATAAAGGTATTTAATAATAATAATAATAATAATAATAGCTGTAGTTTCTAAATTTCCTTTTGTGATTAATTCAAACCATGAAATGTGACCTCCATTAAAGGAAAATTTGGATGCGATGGAAGGAACTGGATATTCTTTGTGGAGTACACTGAGAATGATAAATTGTTAAGAAATTGTGAAGCAAGCTTATATGCAGTAGGCCTATTGCTATGAAGAAATATTATTTCTTACATTGAGTCTTGTGCTCACATATTCAAGGGGGACCAGGTATTTTGCATGAAACTGTCTCCAAAATTCCTTCTTTCCACTAGGCATACATTGGGTGGGGGGCAAAATTTGCAGACAGATGTGCATGTAAACCGTTTAAGATTGTTTTTACTAACTGACCTAGAGTATCCATGACAGAATAATAGCTAAAAAAAAAATAACTTTATTCTTCTGTTACTTGATATATGAAATATTTTATCCTTTTGAATTCTGATTCTTTTTCCTAAAACCCAGGGGCAGGGACGATGTATGATGCCCCATTGTTGCAATACATTAAAATTAACTATGATATTCCAGTTAACTGAACAATCTTAATATTCATCTTTATTTTCATTAAGTTTCACAGCAGAACACAACTTACCAAAAAAAAACTAGTGCTTCTTTCTAACAGATTCAAGATTACATTTTCTATAATTTCAGAAATAACACTGCCAATAGGAGATGATTGGGATCATAATTACAAGATTCAAGAATTGTGTTTTATGCAGCATGGTGCAGACAATTAAATGCTCTTTATCATTATATAAATATAAATATTCATCTTTATTTTCATTAAGTTTCACAGCAGAACACAACTTACCAAAAAAAAACTAGTGCTTCTTTCTAACAGATTCAAGATTACATTTTCTATAATTTCAGAAATAACACTGCCAATAGGAGATGATTGGGATCATAATTACAAGATTCAAGAATTGTGTTTTATGCAGCATGGTGCAGACAATTAAATGCTCTTTATCATTATATAAATATCTTGCAGACAGTATCATGTCAAATTTTTGTTGTATTTTATGCCAGAGAGAGTCGTAATACCCTGGCTACATACTACTGGGAAAGGAGGTACAGAGGTGCATAGCACTTGGTCAGAATGCGTATAAGGCAATTTTATATTGCCAATATAATATTAAAATATTATTAGATGAACAGAATTCCATTTTTTGACATATACTGTCAGGATAACCAAATAAAAGTACTGGACAATTATATCCTGCCATACTAACATGAAAAATGTTGACTCCACCACTAACAAACAATATAGACTAAAGACAGGAGGTTCTTTGTGATAACAGTAAAACGTAACTTGCAGGATCGATGATAGGCCTATTAAGTTGCTGTGATAACTTAATGTTTGGAAAAATTTAAAAGCTGTCAAAAGCTGCAATGCACATATTTAAAAGAATTCTGAGTCCACTTCAAATTATTACTGTCTTGACCACTTCATTAACATAATGTTATCAAATTAACAGGGCATGCACTACAACAGGGAACAATGGAGGGGACACATTCTACAAACCCCTCTCTTATTTTTCCTTTTGATAAGTTACGATGTATGTCTCATGATATTTTGTTCACATTATGACCATTAATTGGCTGCAGGAGGTTGAAATTGCTGTTGCGAAGTTGAAAAAGTATAAATCGCCAGGTGCTAATCAAATTCTGGCAGATCTGATTTAAGTAGGAGGTGAAATGTATGGTTCTGAGATGCAGAAACTCATTAATTCTGATTGGAATATGGAAGAATTCTATTAGCATGCCAATTTATAACAATGATGATAAAAAACTATAATAATTATCAAGGCATATCACTGTTATCAACTTCATAGAAAATTATTATTCAGTATCCTTCTTTCAAGGTTAAGTCAATATGTAGACAAAATGGTTGGGGATCTTCAAAGCATGTTTCAACATAAGGGATCAACTACTGATCAGATTTTTTGCATTCGTCAGAGACTGGAAGGAAAAAATGGGAGTGCATCATCATAGATTTTAAGGGAGCCTACGATTCAGTTACGAGGAAAATACTGTACAATATTCTCATAAGAGTTTGGAGAACCCATGAAACTAGCTGGGCTTATTAAAATGTGTTTAAATAAAACCCACATTAAAGTCTGCAGCCACCTCTGTGGTCTAGTGGTCAGAGTTCCCAGCTACAGATCCAGAGGTCCCGGGTTAGATTCCCAGTACTACCAGATTTTCTGAGAAGTAGTGGGTCCACTCAGCCTCATAAGGATAACTGAGGAGCTATTTCAAGGAAACAGTGGCTCCGGTCTAGAAAACCGAAGTCAGCAGCCATGGGGATCTGTTGCGCTGACCACGTGACACCCTCTATCCACAAAAGTTGGTACAAACTTCGCCAACAAGAGGCAGTCACTCATTTGGTATAGTTTGCTTGCAGACCACAGGCCACGGAGTTTAAATTCTGCATAGGTAAACATTTGTCTGACTTGTTTCCTATTCAAAATGGTCTGAAACAAGGGGATGCTTTATTGCCACTACTTTAGAATGTACAATTAGAAAGGTCCAAGAAAACTAGGTGGACAGAAATGAAATGGGGCACATCAGCTTCTGGCCTATGCTGATGGTGTGAATTTACTGGGGGATAACACAGATACCATAAAGAAAAATAGATACTTCAACTGCCACTAGTAATAAGATTGATCTAGAAGTAAATGCAGCTGTGTTGTCACCAGAATGCAGGCAAAATCATGACATAAAGACAGCTAACAGATCACCTGACAATGTGACACAGTTCAAAGATTTAGGAATAACAGTAACAAATCAAAATATCATTCAGGAGGACATTAGGAGGAGATTGAGTTCGAGTAATGCTTGCTAACTTTTATCTTCTTGTGTGCTGTCTTAAAACATAAGAATCAGAATACACAAAAGTATAATTTTGCTTATGGTTCTGTATGGGAGTGAAACCTGGTCTGTGATATTATGGATGCAACAAAGACAGAGGGTGTTCAAGAACGGGGTGCTGAGGAGAATATTCGGACTGAAGAGGGATGAAGTGACAGGAGGTTGGGGAAAACTGTATTATGAGGAGTTTCATAACTTGTAATCTTCACCAAGTATAATTAGAATGATCAAGTTAAGGAGGGTGAGATTGGCAGGACATGTAGCATGAATGGGGAGAAGGGGAAAGCATATAGGATATTAGTGGGGAAGCCAGAAAGAGCAGGAAGATAATGATGTAGGTGGATGTATAATATTAAATTGAATCTTACAGAGACAGCATGGGATGGTAAGGATTGGATTGATCTGGCTCAGGACAGGGACCAGTGGAGGGCTCTTGTGAACATGGTACTGAACCTTTTGGTTCCATGAAATTTTAAGAAATTCTTGTGTAGATGCTCAACTGGCGGCTTCTCAAGAAGGGCTCTGCTCCATGAAGTCAGTCAGTGAGTCAGTTAGGTATGGTACTTATGTTATCTCCCAACAGATTTACACAGTAGCTCTGAATGGTACTAGGAAAAAGGTTGGTCCAGATGTAAACACATAGAAAATTAAGTATATGTTGATGTCTTGTCACCAGAATGCAAGGCAAAATCATGATATGAAGACAGCTAATAGATCCTTCTAAAATGTGGCATACTTCAAATGTTTTGGAATGACAGTAACAAATCAAAATTTGATTCATGAGGAACTTAAGAGCAGAATGAACTCATTTAATGCTTTCTACCATTCAGTTCAGAAACTTTTGTCTTCTTATCTGCTGTCTAAAAATGCAAAAATTTGAATATACGAGACTATAATTTTGCCTATAGTTTTGTATGGGTGTGAACTTGATCTCTGACATTTGAGGGAGCACATAGAGTGGAGGTATTTCTGAACAGGGTGCAGATGAGAATATTTGAAGAGGGAAGAAATAGTAGGAGTTTGCATAAGAGTGCAAAAGGAGGAGATTCATAACTTGTGTTCTTTGCCAAATATAATTAGAATGATCAAGTCAAAGAGTGTGAGAATGATAGCACATGTAGAATGCATATAGAGTTTTGGTAGGAAATCCAGAAGGAAAGGGACTGCTAGGAAGACTTAGACATTGATGGGAGGACAATATTAAGATATGTCTTGGAAAAATAGGATAGGGTGGTATGGACTGGATTCATCTGGCTCAGTATTGAGACCACTGGAGGGCTTTTGTAAACATGGCAATGAACCTATGTGTTATATAAAATACTGGGAAACTCTGAAGTAGCTGAGTGACTGGAGGCTCCTCACGGACTCAGCACCATGGAGTCAGTAGTTAGTTGATCCGAACACGTTATATGACAATTTGAAAGAGGACTGTTTTGCAAATTAAAACACCAACATAACATTTCACCATAGCGAAGTTCAGAGAAAGCAAATGTTGGGGGGGGGCAAGAATTGGAATTCCTCTTCTTTTGGGGTGACATGGTCTCGCAAATCAGTGGTATAATTTCTACAGAGACTACGATTATGCACATATCCGTAAATCGCAATTATTGGGGTTCACTACAATTTGAACTAAGGTTATAGGCAACTAAGTGGCTGACTGACGTATCCTCAGTAATCGGGATTCGATTCCCGGCAGAAGCCGACGTTTTCTATTCGCTACTGTGTCCATATAGAGCCGGAGTACCGTAGTAGATATAGCGACTGGCTACGGGCTGGACGACTGAGGGGTCGGAGTTCGAGTCCCGGTAGGGTGAAGAATTTTCTCTTCTCCACGGCGTCGGGGGGCCACCTAGCCTCCTATCCAATGGACACCGGGGGCTCCTTCTCCAGGGGTAAAGCGGCAGGGCCGTGAAACTGACCACACATCTCCAACAAGTGCCGAGGTCAAGAATACACGTATGTGGATCTTTTACCTTACCTTTTACTATATCCATATATGCTCCGGAAGTCCACATGGCCTCCTATCCAGTGCGTAGCGGGAATAAAGCAACAAAACCACTACTTACGAGTAATACTACGGTTAACGATACACCTTTACGGCACAGTGCCTAAGCATAAGAACAATTTTACTTTTATAGGAACTACAATAACATTTTATGGAGAAAGATTTAATCGCAACTGACTCTTGGATGTGTTTAAATGGGAAAAAAAAGAGGAAAAAACGGAAGTACCACGTGTTAAACTAAGATCGAAACCCCGGTGCTTACGATTACGCAATAGCAGTAAACTGCGTGATGCGTGATCTTACATTCAACAGCACGCGATGTTTACCGTGTGCGCAATGCTGTCGGTCTGTACTTGCAAAGAACTTCAAATTGGGTAATTCAAAAAGGCGATATACACTTACCATATTTTCTAAGAACTGATTGAAGTGAACCTCTTCTGCCTTTAAGAACGACTCTCAGCGCGCAAACAAGTTTTTAAACACTTTCTAAAGTTTATGTAGTATCGTTCTGAATTGCTATTCCTGTATTCAAGTTCCTTCAGAGATTATAATTGCATTTACTAAGATCACTAGATAGATTTAGGACACCGAAGCCTTTGGCTATTTGTTCTGCTCTCATGCACCTCACATAACGATATAATGGCCCCAGACTTCTCAGAAGTATATGCTGTAGCATATCTCGCAGGAAATACTCATATTGCCTTTCTTCGGCTGTCAATTCGTTGAAGGTAAGACTGCACAAATCCCCCATATACCGCTCATATACGGATCTCAATTCCCAATTTGCCGACAAGAATCGAGGGAGAGGGAAGGCGCAGATGATACACTGCCCACTTACAGCACGAAACAACCCAATTGTTATCTAAGTAATGGCGTTTCTTGCGTATAATGATGATTTTTCTCCCCATATTCATATATTTTACATATCGACATTGCCACCAATGTAAAACCATGCCTCATTAGTTTTGTACAATAGCAGCAGATCCACAAGTATCAGGCACACTTCCCAGCAACCAGTTGAAAATTGAATTCCTGATATATGATCTCATTGTTTCATCCATGATTGCTACCTTAAATGGGGGGGGTAATTAATTAGCTCTGGTGACTGAATAAGAGCTAGAGCAGCTCATCTGATACTGACTAGGCTGCAGGTTGAGTGACTGAGTATTCAGCATTCAATTTCTGGCAGAGTGACAAGATTATTCCTCCCCATACAGCATCTAGATCAGCCCTGGGGTCCACCCAGTCTCCCAGCAAACATGCATACAGAGCTCCTTCTCTAAGATAAAGTACATGCAGTACAAAGCTAACTTTCACCTTCATCCAGTGTCAAAATTAAGTATGTCTAGAGCTATACCTACAATCCCCCAAAATTCTTCAAGACAGTGCCTAATCAAGCATAGGAATAAACTTCACTTTTTACTTTACCTTTGGCTGTGAAAAAACACCAATGAAATACCAGTTTCTTGCACGAAATGTCTTAAAACTTTGCAAAGCCAGATCTCTAACCATAACTGTATATGTGGAATTTTTTCTTCAGTTAGCACATTTATTTAGGACTGTCACTATTATTATCATTTATTATTATTATTACTTGGTGGGGTGGGACTGAGTCCACTTGGTACTGCAACCACTTCTGGCCTATTGTACCAGCCCCAGATGATAGGTGAGGGTGATTATGGAGCAATTGGTGGAATGAAGATTGGCAGGGAAAACTGAAGTACTCGGAGAAAAACTTCCGCAGTGCCACTTTGTCCACCACAAATCCCACTTGACCAGACCTGGGATCGAACCTGGGCCACCGCGGTAGGAAGCCAGTGACTAACCACTTGAGCTATGGCACGGCCCTTTTTGTCACTAACTAAACCTGTGTCCTGACACATTCTGACAAGCTTCAAAACATCTGACTTTGTGTGAACTGGGTATTTATGAGTGAACCTCTGAATGTACTTGCACTTCCAAGTTTTCTTTCTGACAAAGGATTCAACTACAAAAGTTTTCTATTGAATTTTTCTTTACATCGTTCCAAAATAACAAATTCAAATCTTAAGGCAATATGATATGAGCTAGTAGAACCTTCATTCACTACCATACCGATCACATGTCTGCTGACTGCATGAATGACTGGTAGCAGTGGCAAGTATGTAGTGACTGCAGTAGAAGGATCAACAGTATTCCCACTGCTAACATATTTTCATCTCATTTGAACTCCCTGTAATATAATTTAAAACAAAGGCTTAGGATATGTGCTAGTCACAGACAGGTTCTTGAGAATACAGTAATGAACCTGCAGGTTCCAACAGAGAATATTTTGAATAATTGTGGGACTGTTAGGGGCACGCGGTAGCATAGTTGCTTGAGGCACTATGATACAAGCCAGAAGGTCACAGGTCCAAGTCCCAATGAGGTCAATGGATGTTTTCAATTGACCTAATATTTCTGGCCACACTATGGCCCTGGGGGTCTACTCAGCCTCTAACAGAAATGAGTACCAGGAATATTCTTGGGGGTAAAGGGCGGCTGGCATGTAAGACTGACAACCTTGCTGCCATCCACAAGGTGATTGTCTAGAAAATGTGGGAACCTCAACATCTCACAACCCTATGGGCCTCCACGGCCTGTTACAGGGATAGCTTTACTTTTTCTTTTGCGTGACTGTTGGCTTCTCGAGATCTCTACTCCATGAAGTTAGTTTAGTTTTGCTTTTAATTCACAATAAAATAGTGATTACAGAGCACTCTTAATTTTTGAGCAGATGAATAATTTGACATGAAATAAAGACTGCAGGAAAGAGGGCAGTAACTAATGTTTACTTTACACCAATACTAGAACATGATGATGAAACAAGAATTTCACAAAGAAAAGTTGGAAGTAAAGTCCAGGCTGTTGATAAGAAACTCCTAAAAATATGATAGGACAAGCAAAAAGAAAAGGAAGGAAGTGGAAAGAAAAGTATATGATAAATTAGAAACAAATAGACCTTGGAAACAGCAATTAAAACTTACTTACTTATGAAGGTGTGCCCTTCTTAGGGAGAAGCCAAATCTGCAGCTACTCAACAATTTCCCAGCATATTATCGAACCCAAAGGTTCTTTACCATGTTCACAAGAGCCCCCCACTGGTCCATATCCTGAGCCAGATCAATCCAATCCAATCCATATCATCCCATCCTATCTCTCTAAGATCCATTTTAATATTGTCCACCCACCTATGCCTTGGTCTTCCCAGTGGTCTCTTTCCTTATGGCTTTCTCACCAATATCCTTAAATGTTTCACAGAATTCCTAAAATAGAAATGTGATAACATCGGGGAAAAATAATCGGATGGTCAACGTATGAACGGATGGATCACATGACAGATCATGTACTGCAGTGGGAAAGAGATTTGAACAAAGTTTCAAGTTTACTCACAAGAATCCAGTACAAAGTTTATGCCAGATCAACATGTGGACATGATTTACACAGNCGACTAGTACCACACATCAATATTACTGCCAAATTATAAACCTTCCAAAAAAACAAGTCTTATAAATCTTAAGCACCATTCAATGTAAGTAAAATGTTATCAGTCATACTTTAGAATTATTGCTCCACCACACAGAGAATCCTAATATTCACTTATTCTAAACTGTCATTTCCCTCTCACAAATAGAATTTAGTGAGTGTAGACATTACAGTCTGAGATCCATAAATTCACTAATTCTATTTGGCATGGAGTAGCATAGTTGGTTGAGGCACTATGCTACAAGACAGAAGGTCATGGGTTTGAGTTCTGATGAGGTCACTGGATCACTCCACGCACTTAATTTTGTTACATGGTTGGTTACATATAATGTAACTACTTCTTGTCTTTCTTTTATTATCATGCGCACAGAGCATAAAATAGACTTGAAAATCACACAAGAACATACCTGTTCCAACCATCTGTAGAAAATCTCAGATGTGTAGTTATGTAAAGCTCACACAGAAGTACATTCCTCAAAATAAATCAAATATGAAAACTCAAATTCTGCCATAATTAGAACATATAATCTGTACCTGCTTTTCGAAGCAAAACTAGACTTTGATTTTGATATAGACTTCACATTGTAGTCTTCATATGCTGAAGTCTCATTGGTAGATACCAACCTCAGGTGGAACATACATAAGAAAAGCAGAACAGCATTACAATGAGGAACAGAGCCCTTCATTACAACAATCTGTACTGTACACCTGATGATGGCCGGTTAGGCCAAAACATGTAGTAACAATAAAGAGAAGGCCGCACCATAGCTCAAGCGGTTAGTCGCTGGCTTCCCACCACGGTGGCCCGGGTTTGGTCAAGTGGGATTTGTGGTGCACAAAGTGGCGCTGGGGCAGGTTTTCTCCAAGTACTTTGGTTTCCCCTGCCAATCTTCATTCCACCAAATTCTCCAACATCATAATCACCTGGGGAATGTGCAATAGGCCAAATCAGTGGCTGCTGTGCCGTGTGGACCCAGCTGGATTCCACCACCCAATAAGCAAATTTAAAATTTTTTTTAACAATAGACAACAAGAGAATATTAACCAGCATTGTATATAGATGGCAAAAAGTGGGACACAGAGTCAGACACATTTTCTTCTACCCTTAAAATGGAGTCACTGTCTTCCCCTAAAGTAGAAATACATGTCATGAACTTCACCTCAGTCAAAACATCAAATCTTATATTGCTACATGTATGGGCACAACTTTATGCACTAATAGTATAGCTTAGAGCCCTGATAAACTTGGTTGTTTTACGTTCTCAAAATACAGAAACTGACCCCACCAATGCACTGTAATCAGAATTCGGCCTGGGAGCATTTTCAGTTGTTCTTTATGATTGATGACCCTGGGAATACTGCATTGCAAAGATGTGCTAACCATATGGCAATTAAATATAGTGCCATAATGTTTCTTTGTATACAATGACATCATTATAGTAAAGGGTGAAATTATGAGTGTGCACACACTGGTTGCAAGTATACTAATTCGGCCAATATGTGGATCTGACATTTTTCTGAAAAATGCTTATACAGAGTGCTCCTTAAAACATGCATTTACTTTCCCAATATTTAAGGTTATGATTGGACTGTGAATAAGTCATGTGGTGGCCCTAGCACATATAATATAATTATATATTATATAAGAAAACAATAATTATAATTATTGTTTTCTTAGTTTTAAGAGAAAGTAGATTTCTGTTATTCCTTAAGTTTCCATTATTACTTCTCCGCTGTGCTTAGAGGCAGAGGATAGTTTAAACTCAAATCTTGACCTTCAGAAAATATACTACAAAAATATGTAGTTATAGTTGTGACACAAAATGACAATTCTGTTGGAGACACGGTATCCACAGACATCCAGCTTTAGCTGATGACAGTCACTTCCTTGTGCAGCACAGTCTATTGATTCTCTAGGGACACCTGAGAAAGAAGAGAGCCACCAGGATGTTCGGCGAATTGCGGAGAAACTCAACGTTGTGGATGTATCAGCGTCCTCTGGAATGACAAAACAAGGATTGGACACTGTGGAGGGGTTGACCCCTTCTGAAACGGAAAAAATGGAATAGTGCATGGTGGAGGAACCGGTAACACAGAAGCACCGACCTCCCCAGCTAGAATGAGTGAATGAGCGATGAATGAACGAGAGACAACAGGAATCAAAAGTTCTGGACCATGGGAGTGCTCGGGACAAGCATCGCTGAAGGAAGGGACAGATGTGGTAGAATGAACACTGCAGGACACACGAAGAATGGCGAGACCGAATGCAGACACCGCCAGCAGAACACCAAGGGACATCTGGAAGAAAGGAAGAACTGTTAGGCTGTTTGGGGATGAACAACCTTTAGAAGGGAGCAATGTAATGTGTTTGGAGTAGATACTTCCATGGTAACGCAATAACAGTAGACTGCTGCATAGGAATATCTGTAGCAACGAGTGTTCGTTGCGTAACAACGCTCCCTAAACACCCCTCCCCACTAGGCTGTGACATCACGCAACAGTAGTGTGTCTATTGCTAGGCAAAGCATAGGTAGACACACCTGACAATACCTGATATCTGTTGCCGAGCAGCAGTGTGTTCTCTATGTGGTCCGTGCCGTGCCTATATAAAGAGCAGTGAACACTATTCAGCAGTATTGAGTTACGAGAGAGTTACTAGTATGGAGTATTGAGTTGAGTATTCAGTATAAGTTGGAGTCTTAGTATAGCCGCTGTCAGAAAAAGTTGAATGGATTTGCTGAGATAGAGTGGAAGCAGTAATTGTGATACTGCAAGTGATAATAATTGTGAAGTGTGTGAGTGGAGAAGCGAAGCACAATAAATATTCGCTACATCCTTGACTTACGTGAAGTTATTTGTCACGTGACATACCCAACACGTGACCATATAAAGTATCTATATATTTCCTCTTGCTCTCTTTTGAATCTAAAAAGTGGGCAGAAATGAGTCATCAATTATGTTAGTATTTCTTTTTATTCTTAGTGGGTTGAGACTTAGTTCACTTGGTACTGCAGCCATACTGGCCTACTGTACCAGCCCCAGATTATAGGTGAAGGTGATTGTGGAGCAATTGGTGGAATGAAGATTGGCAGGGGAAACCTAAGTACTCAGAGAAAACCTGCCCAAGTGCCATTTTGTCCACCACATATCCCACATTACCTCACCTGGGCTCAAACAAGGGCTGCTGCTGTGGGAAGCTGGCGACTAACTGCCTGAGCTATGGAATGGGCTGATTACGTTAGTAAATATGGTTGTTAAGTCACGATTATGCACAGCATTACATGTATACCACCACATGATACAAACAATATATATATTGTAAAATGTTTCGTTGCTGAAGACGCTGTTCGGATTGTTAATTGGTTTATTTAACAACATACAATTCTCGGCTACAATTAATTATAACACTGTTGTGGGGTTGCACACTTTATAACCCTATTCACAATAATTTCTTCACGCTATCTTCAGTAGTCTACACGTATTCACAGTAGGGGAGCTATGTAAGTGTCCTTGTATCACACACTCCCAATTACACGATTACACACATGTCCAGTTCTTCTTCCCACGACGGCTGCTATACTCCAACTCAACTCGTAGGCTGCTGCCTTGAGAACTGTTGATCACACACTAACTCTCGCTTGCTGCTCAGCCGGCTTTTATTCCGTTCGCTGTTGCCTGTTGCCCGTGTCAACAGCGGTGTTGCATTGCGGTGCCACGTCACAGCAGGAAGCTGTGCCACGTCACTGCTTGGGAGGGAGGGGGTGTCCTCCATTGCGCAACTCGTCACAAAATATATATATATATATTACAACAAAACATAAGTTTCATGGAATGTATATTTCAGGATTCTGGTCAGTTAAAATATGCTGGAAAGAACCCTTTAAACATGACAGGCCTCCATGTTGTGAGCATTACACATCTGAAGACCACAAATGGAATTTCGGTCTTTATGAAATATTATTTCATATTAAGGAATAACAAACTGTATTCATATAAACAACAGCACAAATATAAGGAACTCTCAATGAAAGTAACTTGATGACTTCTCCTTCCTTGGAAGAGATAATAACAAAATACACAGTTTAGCAAACTGACAGTTTCAGGAAACAGAAATTCAGGATCAATTTGGCCTCTTCTGTAGAAATAACAGTACTGAAATCCCAGTGCTGCTACACAGCAGCTTTCTTAAAATGCACATGTAAGCCTCTCTGTTAACAACACTGTTATGGTACTTGAAGAGCTCCTTAACAAAAACTAAAGTTTATTTGGAATTAATCTCTGGAAATTCTATTCTATTATACTATGGTAAAATGTTATGAAAAGTATATTCCTCATTGAGTACAATGTAAATAAATATTATTCAGGATTCAAAACCATCTTAGGAACATGTCTTAACATGTACTCCTGAAAGAAATCTTAAAAAAATGGTAATATTGTTTTAAGATATACAGTGAATTAGAGTCATACTCTTGTGCAACTACCACAGTTGCATCTCTTCTGGAAAGGAACATTTTCATCTTCAATCTAATGCTGTCTAGCATAGACAGTTGCACATGTCCATGACCGAGGCAAGAAGAAATCAAAAACTGGGTCCTGTAAATTCAAGAACAGAAATATCAGTATTTCCACGAACATTATGTGGAGTGGCTATAAAATACTAGAAAACATTCAAAATTCGCTATACACCTGTAAAAACCATACCTACAATGTAGCAGCATACACAACAGACATTTTATAATGACATTTACAGACAATTTTACATAACATACAAAGACATCATACAACTAGACACACCACAGGGCTAGGATGGCAGCAGTAACAAAGAAAATATTGCATGTAAACATGGACCTAGCGATGCCACTTCGAATGTGATAAATTTACGGATAGCCTGAATTTGTGCAAGGTACCGAAACACATATTGGGTCTTTCAGACAAGTGGACACTGATTGTCATAAATTACAAGGGCTATTCAGAAAGTAACCTTCGGTGAGCTGTTAACAGAACAAGCACTGAAAAAAGAAAAATATTATGTATACACTTCAGCTGCTTCTCAACATTGTCACCACCAGAACTGAGGCACGTGTCACATGGGGGAAGAAGTCTGCTGCCTGTGAGCTCAGTCACGTTTTGACACCTTCCATCAGCTCCTCATTATTGCTGAAGCACAGTGATCCAAACCAGTTCTTCTTCAGGTAGATATACAGGTGGCAATCACTCAAAGTGAGATAAGGGCTGTAAGGAGGGTGGTCAAACGATTCCCAGTTGAAATGCTTCAGTAATGCTCAAGCACAAGCTGCATGCAGACATGCAACATCTGCAACTGACTGTGGTCTGATTGAGGCTAGCTCTTTCTAAGGGACCCAACAGAATAGGTGTCTTCCCTCACCTGAGGACGGAAACAGATCTAGTTTCTGAAATGTTGTGCTTTTTACTTAGTTATTAGAATCTGGATGATGGACAAAGTCTGAGAACCCAGATTTCTGTGAGTTACATGTGATGGTTTACAAGACAATGAGTCATGTAATGCTACCTTGCATGTGTGAGCCTCAAATTAACAGATGTTACTTTCTGAATAGCCCTCATATTTCAATTATGTGCAGACTTTCTTCAGCATCTCTTCCAATAAAATGAAATAAAAAACTAAAAAGAAACTCCATTAAATGAATACCATACTCAGTATAAAATAAATTGTGAAGGATGTTTACCAAGACAGGTGGACAGTTGACACGGGCATACCATTCAAAACCATACAGGCATGAAAGAACACCTGTTCCTGCAGACACCGTCAGCAATATAAGGATATTCCCACAGGGCATGATGTCCTTTGTCAGCAGCAGTAGGCAAACTGCAATGAAAGTTTACCATTATTTATACAAACAAAACTATGCTTCAGAATTAATGCTGTTGTTTATAGCAAACACTTGCCACCTATAAAGATTAAAGAGTCTGGAAATGGCTGAAGCGAAACCTGTATTTGCATTTCTCGCCATTCTTGTTGCAAGTCGTAGATAAGTAGGGTGATTTGAAAAAAAAAAAAGATTTTCTGCCAGGTCCGTGTATCAACCAAGTTCTTCAACAGAACAGTTTTCTCTACACCTTATGCATTCTTTGCACAAAGTATTATACATAAGTGAACATATATAGGAAGGTGATGTATGCCATCTGTCTGATAATTTTCAGTAACTTCCCAATGGATTTTGATGAAACTTGATATCCGGGAGGGGGTCCTAATAATAAACTGTCTGGTGAATTTAAGTGTGGTTTATATCAGCCTAATATTGTACAAGAACCAAATCAAAGTTCATCTGTATTCAAGAAAACAGCTAAAAACCGGAAATCTACACCTCTTTTATAAAAATATTTATAAAAGTAAAAGTAAAAGTAAAAAAAAGTAAAGCTATCCCTGTAACAGGCCATAAAGGCCCATAGGGTTGTGAGACATTGAGGGTCCCACATTATCTAGACAATCGGCTCGAAGATGGCGGTAAGGTTGTCAGCCTTATGTGCCGGCCGCGCTTTACTCCCCAGGAAAATTATTTAATTAATTCCTGTTACTCATTTCTGTTAGAGGCTGAGTTGACCCAAGGGCCATAGTGCGGCTGGAATGATTAGGTTAATTGAAAAAATCCAACGACGTCATCAGGACTTGAACCCACGACCTTCTGGCTTGTAGCATAATGCCTCACCCAACTATGCTACCACGTGCCCCTTTGCAAAAATATCTATAAAATGAAAAATATTTTAATGGGAATATTTAAAGAGATATAAGAAAAACAGTTCCTGACTGCACTGTTCTATCTGTAGAGTATGATTACCTTAGCAACAGATTTCTCTCTGAAATGAGAGGTATTTTATGCAATAAATGAAAGCCAAGGCTGACTGACATGGTCACAACCTAGAAGCCCACAATTTAAACACTCACCACTGTTAAAACTTCAAAACTTAATTTAATATTATACAAAATAGTGTTTATGATTGCATACCTCCAACTCCTAAAAATGCCACAAGTAGCATTGGATAGAAGAACCGGAGCGTGAGAGCAAGAATGTATTCATGAAAGACAGCTGACACAAAGAATACAACTAAAGTTGGAACCAAACGTTTTCCTGGTAGCACAATCTCACTGAAATCTTTGTAGATGTATGTGTACAACCAATCGTGTACAACGATATTCCATAAACGATAATAGGCTGCATGTGATGATGCAGTCCACCAATCCTGTAAAAAGACCAGTTTATTCCAACATATTCATTACATCACAAGAACTACATTTACACATCATACACATTTTAACGTTTGTTTTCATGAAATATGCAATGTTCCATAGTCAGTTTGTGATTCTGAATACTGCAACTAAAATAATTTTGGACTTGAATTTTACTATTAGGTTCCAATATTAAATAATATCAAAATACATTCATATTACAATTTTTTTTCTGGAGTAAAATTTTAGAGTTTATGTAAATTAGTCTAATATGATTTTTTACTACTATATCAGTCTTCAGCCTTATTTTGAAGCCCTAGTGTAAAATTCTACTAATAATTATTAATCATTATCATCAATGACCATCGATGAGTTTACCTATAGCATATCCTTTTCCATCCTTATCTGCTGTCCAGTAGGTACTCCTGTTGTATTTATGTCCTCAATTTGCCTAATTTCTTTTACATATCTTCTCTCACTTGATCTCACAGTCTGATTATTTATTCAATATTTTTTTAAGCATCTTTGCAACCCTTTGGAATGCCTGTTCAAATCACTATGTTCATCTATTCATATACTCAAGAGAGTTTTACAAACATGTCACATAATTCCAATTTTGATTCAAATTGGACAAAAGTAATAGCCACTTTACATCAAGACATTTCTTCAGTTTTCTCCCCGAACGTGTAACTTACCGAAAATTTTTTCATGCAAAAGCGTACAGAAAAATCAATCATACATTTTATGTCCAAAGCACTTTTTCCATAAGTCCTGTGGTTTTCAAGACAAACAGGGGGACATTCAACAATGGTCTTCTGAACATACCCAAAGATAACTGAAGTCTCTTTTTCTCAGTAATAATTAAACAAAGCTTTCTCCATTCTAAATTTATAGATTTACATGTAAATAAGTATATACCTAATTAAAATATGATTGACACAACCTCAATCATAAGATATATACATGAAATAAATGCTTCCATTGTTTCAGGAAATACTGCAATTAGAAAACAAAAAGAAGATAGTCTTGGTGGAGTTAACACCATGCTGAAACCAGATTCATTTTGTTATTTTAATACACCACTTTATTACAATGTAACTTTGAAGCATGGGCCTATATCAAAGAAGTTACATAGTGGTAAGTTTATTTTTCTTTCAGTTTATGTAACTGCGGTACATGGTAGCATTGTTGGATTGTGGCATTATGCTACAAGCAGGAAGGTCATGGGTTTGATTCACAACGAGGTCACTGGATTTTTCAATCGACCTAATCCTTCCAGCTGCACTATAGCTCTGGAATCAACTCAGCTTCTGACACAAATGTGCATCAGTAATCTTTCTGGGACTAAAGGGTGGCCGGCAAGTAAGGCTGACAAACTCAACGCCATCTGTGAGCAGAATGTCAGATGCCTTGACATCTCACAACCCTATGAGCCTCCACGGCCTGTTACATGAATGAGTTTAAATTTTTTTTTATGTAACAACAGCGAACAACAAAACCTTAATATTTACTGTTTATTCATTGTGTGTAGGCCTAAAGTTTTGACTTCTTACCAATTTCAGTACGTATGTATCAACTAACAGTGGACAGCTGCATGTTAAGTAAATGTTTATTCATTATAAATTAATAATTCATTCTAATCATCTTATGTAAGTTGATGTTATGTAACTAGATGCTGAAATAGTCAACAGACATATTTTATGAATTAAGTGGTTAATATAAAAGAATTGCCATCCTATTAGCTATGTTTGCATACCTTATAGAACATACGGTCTGCAAAGCGCAACAGCTCAGCAAAAGCATTCATCCAAGAGTGAAGGAGACAGTAAAATGCACACATAAATGCTAATGTGGCAGGCATTATGCTACCAAATATTCCCACCACCAGCAGTTCAGATATAGAAGTATTCTGGCGATTTTGTAGTCCAAAGTCATGGTACATTGGTATCAAAAATCGCTCAAAAATGAAAGCAATATAAAAGACAGTACCAATTACTTCCAAGAAGCACCAGACCACAAACTTCCAGCAAATTTCTTTTGTCCTGAAAGAAAAGTTAATTTTTTAATATTTTCAGTGACCATGACCTGCATCTTTGCCAAACAACGTGAGATGCAGACACAATGACAAATACAGCTAATTACCCAACAAGTGGAATATGCAGAATGTAAACATCCTTCAGCACTGAATTATACTATAATCAGGATTAGAAGCATTTAGAATAACATTCAGTCTTAATCAGGAAAATACCCTGTAAGATGAAAAGCCAAAGAATACGGAAACCTATTCCATTTTTCCATACAAAATATTTTGTCTGAAATAATAATTTTAAAGGGGCAAAACTAATATTTGTACTAACCCTTACACTGCTGCCGTCGACATATGTCGATCTCTGAAAAACACGGTGTCCTTTCTGCGATCGTCAAAACCCGTATTGCAAATTTAGAGTCTCAAATTTCAGGTTTCTTTGCACCAATCTCATTCAAACTTGGTGGGTGCATAGAGTCATCTATTGGGAACGTAATGAAGCATCGTTTATTTCTATGGCTGCACTCTTCTGCCTTCTAGCTTAAGAAATGTAAGAGGTTGCATCTGCACAGCGAGGCACACACTCCACAGTCATGTGACGTGGGTATTTCACGGGGCTAGTAAAAATGGCTTCGTATAGTCTGTGGTGCTTTCTATAATAGTTTTAAATTAAGTTGTTGACATTGGTCAACATGTGACATAGTGATAAGACTAGGATAGTGAATTATGTACATTTTTTTGGCCATCTTGGACAACCCTAATTTAAATGGACTTTTCCCCTGTGAAAAATACCGAATAATTTAAAATTTTTGCAACTTCTGATGTCTGTTCCCTGTCTGAGGTAAGATTAGTTACATTTTATCACAAATTTTCATACTTTGCACTTAAATTATGTATAAAAGATTTATTAAAAAAATAATTCAGCACAGAGGGTACTAAGAGTTACTTAACATACTAGAAGTGAAAGGGCTAATTTTCACTCCATATACAAATATTTTATGGCTATAGAAGTCATCCATGAGTGTGTCCTGTAACACTGCATCTTATTTTTGCATATAATTTTACCCCCTGGAACATTAAAATTTTATTATAGATAGTGAAATTATGTTCAGAAAAAAATAAATCTAATGAAGTCTTTCTAAAAAATTAATAAGAAAAATTAAGGTAATGAATTTAATTGAGAGAAGTGATAGAGATATTATTATTCTAAGATATTTATTTTCCACAAACAATCTGAAATGACAACCATTTTTCAGCTGCCTTGGAACAAATAAATATATAAATATGTAAATATTATTATTATTTTGGAGGGGGTGGGTTTCCCCATGCACTGTGACCAGTTGTTGATCTACTGTGTGTCCCCCTTTAATTATTCTACCAGTTATCATGCCCTTCCAGTACTGGCGCTCGCTATCAGCCCTGTTCTGCCAGCGAGGTCAGCCTTCTCTGGCAGTGGTCCCCGATACTTCCCCATCTACTGGAGGAATTGGAAACTACTTGGGTGGGAAACTTTGCCTAATTTTGCTCAGAGGTCTCCTAGAGACATGAGGATCTTTTACGTGCCGTAAATCTACGACACGGAACACACGGCTTAAAGTCCCTCCTGGAGGACTTGTTCCCTGAATTTTTCCACCCTTAAAAATTCCACGACCTCCACCGGGTTTGAACCCACGTACCTTGAGTCATGAGGTGGGAACATTACCCCTAGATTACGGAGGCCACTTAAATATGTAAATAAATAAGATATAAATTATAACTTCAGTACAAATGTTTATTCTAAAAAGAACAACAATCTTAACATGCCAAAATTCATACTCCTGCCTTGGATTTAGATTTCACATTCAGAACACACATACGATAATGATCACAGTTGCCAAAGCAGGAAGCTAAAAAAATGGAGTTGAATATAAAAGGTATAAACATAACAGAAAACATATTCTCACTACTACTCACCGTGGATAATTATCTTTGTATATGAGAGTTGGAGCAAATAGGAAGTACAGAAACTTTGAGAATCCAGGACACGGTGTCACTTCTTGGGAATCCCCAGATTGATGAGGTTTGTATGCTAGAGCACGAGGTACGTTACTCCGCACAAATGCGTAAGTCTTCATCATTAAGCGTACCTGTGGTAGCAAGAAAAACAGTAAAGAAGAGATAACCTGGAATTCCTGTAATAATTGATTCAGATAAGTTATTCAGAAATATTTAAACAACATGAACATTCTTAAAAATTTCCATAATTCAGTAATTTATGTTTATTTCTTTACTGATATCAACTTAGTGTTTGGTTATTTAATGTCTTTTGAGTCTCATTTCCTGACTTTTTAGGAAAGACAGGCCTTTAATATCACCACTCCTCTGTGTGAGTGTGCACACGTGTGTATGTGTCCAAATGCATGTATCTACAGAACACAGTTATTCTCCCACTGGTACAACTGGTTGCATGAAAAATATCATATGCAGCCAATTGTTTAAAACCAGTTGCACTTGATGCTTACACAATGAAGCAATCAAGAGAATAATTAGTAATAAACACACAATAAACAAAAATCTCATTACATGCTATCTCACCACTGCTGTGTGACTACAGAGCTCAAGTTGGCAAGAGACTCTTCTTCTCTGAGTGTAATATTATACCGCAGCATCCTGTTACACTGTGTATTCTAACTCTGTGTTGCTGTCTTTGTGCAACTTTGTTGTTATGTTAATATTCACACATCATCTTCTCTTTATTATACAACACTACATGTTTCAGCCTAAATTTTCATCATCAAATGTATAAGATATTGAATTGAAGGAACCTGCTACTCTGCTATTATGCTTTTCATTTTGATGTAAAAGCTTCTAAAATATTTTAGGTTATATTAGATTATCATTAGATTAGATTAATTTTTAAGCTAAAATTGCCTGTACTTATGTATGTAACCTTTTGACTTGTTCTGTATCCAAAGGTACTAACCTGCTTAGGATTTATAGAATGTAAATAAATTCAATTCAATTCAAAGATAATATAACTTACACTGAAAATAAAGTGTCATGTCAGTGCGAGGGGTATAACAAAAAGTGATGGGGCAGCTGCAAACAAACAAACAAAAAAGCTGCATATTGCACATAATCATCAGCTGTGCCAGTGAGAAATCAGCCTAACAATACTTCTGAAAAATCAGTGCTCTCCGTCAACAACTACACTCAACTCTCGATTATCTGGGGGGGGGATAAACCGGTTTGCGGCTTAACCGGGACTCTTTTGAGGCTTATATGTTGTTTAATATTCATTCACTTTTGTTTCACATGGTGAGTTGTAACACTATTTTCGCACTAGTGTGAACCGAGCTCTGCATTTTTTGGTCCCATTATGCTAACACAATGTTCTAGGGTAGGGGTGAAAGAATGCAAGGATTTGTGAACAGATACACTGCCCCAGTTAGTCTCTTTGTATCAATCTTCAAGTGCGTTAGCAAAATGTCTGGGTGTAAAAGGAAGCGTGTTGTGTTAAGTATTCAACAGAAACTTGAAATTATCAATCAGTTGAGAAAAAGAGGTGTAGTTAAACAATTAGCAATTTGGAGAACAAACTGTTCGTGATTTGAAAAAGCAAAATAATAAATTAATTTCCTTTACTTCGTCTTCTAATTCAAGCGGAAGGAAAAAGAGAAAAAACATGAAAAAATCAACATATGATCTCGACAAAGCAATGCTGATCTGGTTTAATCAACTATGGGCACAGGGAACAACAGTAACAGGAGCAGTTTGTGCTGAACAAGCAAAAGTTTTCCTGAAGCACTTGAGCTACAAGGAAGTTTTGACGCTTCTTCCGGTTGGCTAACACGTTTCAAGTAGCGTCATGGAATACGAGGAATTAGTATTCAAGGTGAGAAATTGTCAGGGGATTTGTCATCATCAGTTCAATTTTGCACCAATTTTGATAGTTTCGTGAAAAGTGAAAATCTGCTGCCAGAAAAAATCTATAATGCCGATGAAACGGGTCTTTATTGGAAATGCTTGCAACTTTGGCATTTCAAAATGAAAGACAGGCTCCAGGTCACAAATTCAGTAAGGAGAGACTGACAGCCTTGTGCTGTTCTAATGCATCGGGAACACACAAACTAACACCAGTAGTTATCGGCAAAGTGAAAAGACCATGCTCTTTTAAAGGAACAGTAGCTTCAAGTCTGCCTATCCATTATTTTAATCAGAAAGAAGCTTGGATGAATAGAGCGATATTTTAAGAATGGTTTGATCTTAAATTTGTGCCTCTAGTTCGTGACCATCTAAAATCCCAAGGCCTACCTGAGAAAGCTGTGCTCCTCATTGACAATGCGCCCTCACATCCTAACGAAAGTCTCCTGAGGTCAGATGATGGAAATATTTTTGTGAAATATTTTCCCGCTAATGTTACCGCACTTATNTGTGACTCGTGTGAGCCAGGATTCGAAATGTTAAGCAGTGACAAAATCGTAAGTTCAGTGGGGGTGCAGCTAGAAGAGCGGGAAGAAAGTGAGAATGAGGAAGAGGTGGACAGTGCTGCTCTTAATCATTTGGAATCCTTACTAGACTATCTTGAGAGTGAAGAGAACAGTTTATTAAGTGACAAGCTAATATTACGTAGGCTTCATATGGATATCCATAAAAAGGAAAATGCCGCGAAAAAGTGAATGACAATATTAAATTTTTTTAAGTGTTAAGTGTGAATATTTGTAAAAAGTGTTGGACGTTGTTGAACACTGTGATTGAAATAACTAATTCATACTTCAGTGTAATGTAAAAAAAGTATTAAATAGGCCATGAGACAACATAAAAATGAGGTTGAATAAATTTAAATACAGGTTGGCCTATAGTATTATGAAGGTACAGTATTACAGTACTACTTTTAATAAAATTTGTCTTAACCGGGTTTTTGATTAATCGTGATTTCCATCCCCCCCATTATCCCGGATAATCGAGAGTTGAGTGTACTCTCTTTGGTGGACTGAAAGTACAGAATCAAACCTGATAAACACTGTGACATTATGAAATGTACATCAAAAGCAGAACTGTATTAATTCAGTGGCTTCAAAAATGAGCAGGGTAAACTGCCAGTAATAGTAATGTCAATCGAACACATTTTAAGGTATACCACAGTTCACAGATTTCTACTTTCAACAATTATTGAATCACATTTTATTTTTTACATATTTTTCTTTTGTGTAAAATTAATAATAGCCATTTGTAATGAGAATAAAATAAACAACCCTCATCTTATATTAGGAAAAATATGACCAGAAACAATACTTCTTTGATTGTCCACATTTAATTATACAGGCATATACATGGTATAAAAATAGTAAATGCATTTCATTGCAACAAGAATAAATTCTAAGAGCTGTTAGAACTTACATTTGACATTTCAGAATTACCTCCACATCTGCCAAAAGCAAATGTAAAACATGAAAAACTGAGTCCATGTTTATTAAGTATGAGTGATATCATTATCAATATTGTGATGTTTCATGACAAATTTCCTTAGATTCATAGACATAGAACAGTAGAAACATGTCTTTCCTACCTGTTCCATTAGCAGGGCCATGGATGATGCTGGAGGAATGTACAGTTCCATAATTTTTACAGCAGGTACATATAGGAACATTGTCTGATAAAGGACTAGAGAAATAAGCCAACCATAATCCCAAAACTTCCTTGTTAATGCTACAAACAAAAAAAAACACTATTTATAATGATATAGTTTGACTTGAAAACTTAAGGCGAGATGTTCATTTGAGACAAGTAGGCACAGACAGGAGAACAATATCAGAATAGATCTTGAAAACTTAGAAGTATGACCTGAATTTGGGTCCAGTGTTGTTTCTGTGAACATTCAGATTCCAATGAAGCACAGCGGTATGAGCAGTGGTCTTCTTAACACTTCAAGTAAGCCACAGTGATTATCTTTAAACTTTTGACACTCCTTACCTTCAGGCACACTAAAAACTATATGCATACGTGCATGTTTGTGTGTATATACAGAGTGTTTCACGACTTTAGGACAGAACTGCAGGAGGTAATTTCCTAGGTCTTTGTGCTCAAAAAAGTTCATATAAACATGTGTCCGATTTTGGACGATTACGGAGTTATGACCGTTTTTTCATTTTCGTACACGTCCTCATGTGAACCACATCTGTCAGCTGGCAGGTCGCTATTTTTAGCCAGCTACAGACAGAGCGTTCTCGTTATCTCGACACTTGAGAGCTACCTAAGGCTGGGTGGGTTGGTATGTCCGGCGCGGTTCACAACCGAGCGGCAGCCTGTGTTGCAGCTGGCGGTGACATTCTCGAAAATCAGATTTAAGCACCAATCAATTCAAATTAAAGGTAATTTCACGAAGTTAACTTTACATTTATACTTTAAATGTATCATGTATTATACTGGTTCATTATTTTGTTCCGTTTATTGTCAGTAATCGTTACCTTCTATTCTGAGTTTAAAATGGTCATAACTCCGTAACCATCCAAAATCGGACACATGTTTATATGAACTTTATTGATCACAAAGACCTAGGAAATCACCTCCTGCAGTTATGCCCTAAAGTTGTGAAACACCCTGTATATGTCTGTGCATATACATGTGAGACAGAGACTATTTTTTTTGTGAAATATCTGGCAGAGGCATGTTTTCCAGACAGTCAGTATTTAAATTATTTTAAAATTAACACATCTATGGTACTGATACTTCAGAGTTCATGGCTACAGATCCAGAGGTCTGGGTTCGATTCCCGGTGCTATCAGATTTTCTGAGAAGTAGTGGGTCTGGAATGGGGTCCACTCAGCCTCGTGAGGATAATTGAGGAGCTATTTAAAAAAATGGAGGTTCTGTTCTAGAAAACCGAAATTAACGGCCGTGGAGATTCGTTGCGCTGACCACGCAACACCCTCTATCCGCTAAAGCTGGCACTAACTTTGCCAATAAGCGGTGGTCACTCGGTCAGTATAGTTCACTTGCGGACTAAAATCACAGTTTGTTTTATGGTACCCATACTAAGGGACACATAGTAACATGGTTGAGGCACTATGCTACAAGCCAGAAAGCCTCAGGTTTGATTCCCGATAAGGTCATTGGATTTTTCAATTGACCTAACCCTTCCAGCTGCACTATGAGCCTGGGGTCAACTCAGCCCCTAACAGAAACAAGTACCAGGAATCTTCCTGGAAGTAAAAGTCAGCCAGTGCCTAAGGTGGATATCCTCATCACCATCTGTGAGCCAAGTGATTCGAAAATGTGGAAGCCTCAACATCTCACAACCCTATGGGCCTCCGCAGCCTTTTACAAGGATTGCTTTACCTTTTTGGTACTCATATTGTGAAATATATTTCAAATCTGTAAATTAGGAATTAGAGAGAAATCTTGAATTCTGCACTTTTGAAAGGGCCACATAAAATAAATGAAAATGATGCAATATGAAAAAAACGCAGTTTGCTTTATGTCATAACTTCAGCAAGCCATTGAATTTGAGCATGTTTTAAAAAAGGAAGAACATACATGCAACTACACTAATACATGCCATATTATTTCTTCAACCAGTTGAATACAGTCATTTGTATATCCTTTTCCTAAGTTCTTAGTCCATATAGATGTCTCACATGAGATTCAAAAACTTTCATATCCAGTGATACACTTATTTTACTAGGACAAACACTGAGCACAAATGAAACAAGGCCGGAGTTTCTTTGAGCTTACCAAAAACGAACTGTAAATGTATAATTGGGTAAATTTCCATTGTCAGGCCTTGAATAATGGAGTGCAATGTTGGGAGAAATGTAAATTAAGTAAACATAAAATTGGTTGAAATTTAACATTGTTCACATAGGTATTTAATTGTGGTCAAATAAAAAGTGCATACAGTAATAAAAATAATAATAATTAGAGGACAAAGAATCAAAGTTCCACAGTATAGAAAGGCAAACATGTGTATACACAGTCTTTATCACATACATATATCACCATGAGTTCAAAATCCCAGATCAATTTTCCAAGGTGCATACAATAACTAGTAGTAAATCATACTTACAATTTGGTACCCATCGAATTCGCTGTGTGGCCCATAAATTGAAACAACAAAACAGTAATATTGTTGTGACTGACATTCCCAGCCAAAGAAAGAGAACTGTGGTGAACCCTTGAAAGTTCCACAAAATTAAATCAACACCCAAATTCAATCTGCAAAAGAAAGATTTTTCTCTATAAATCCACATTTTTTTATCATCTTTCAGTCTGTCAGGCTACTATAAGGTCTTTATTTTAGATGCATCTTCTATATAGAGATCTGTAAGAGAAACTTCTGGGTCCCAGTATAAAATAATTTGATACATTTATTTTGACTGTCTACTACAAGGAACTCTATAATACAAACATACTTTTGTTCACAAAATTTTTCTGTATGTAGCCAGAGGAAAAATTTATTTTAAGTATGGTCTGATCAGACTGAACACTTCATAAATGTGATCCTCTTTCCAAGTCTTTCAGCATGAATTTTGAGTTGTANGCAGTGACTCTGGAATGGGGTCCACTCAGCCTCGTGATGATAATTGAGGAGCTATTTCAAGGAAATAGCGGCTCCGGTCTAGAAAACCGAAACTAATGGTGGGGATTCGTTGCGCTGACCATGCAACATCCTCTCTCCGCAAAAGTCGGCACTAAACTTCACCAACAAGCGGCGGTCACTCGATCGGTATAGTTGACTTGCGGACTAAAATCACGGAGTTTGTTTTGTTTTGACGCAACTTGCAGCAGCATGGGTGTTTGTGTGTTATTGCGTAGTTCCCAATATGAAAATCTGGACATACCATACAGTGAAACAATTTTAGCAAATTAGAGACACCTGATGATGGCCGTGTACGGTCAAAATGTGTTGTGAGAAGGAAAAGGAGAGAATAATAAGTTGCACTGTAGATGGAAATATATTGTATAATTAAAGGATATATTAATGTAACAGGATGCTTAAATACAGTAATATGGCTTCCATTCTCAGTAACATCCTCTATTTATGCACATCTCAGCGAACATACAGTTTGTTTCACACTCTGTGCAATATTTTAATGCTTCTCAGACACAGGAGAAGTTTCTAAACTACAGAAGCAAATGTTTCATGCTTTCAGCATTAGAAATGAGAGTTGTAGATAAAGAAACAGAGAAAATCTCTTCCACATTAATACAGTATGAATGAGGGTGGGACTTGTGGGCACGGAGTGAACTGAGTGGAATGTGGGTGGAACTTCTGTGCATGCAGCAAATACTGGGTGCAACTTGCAGGCATGCAGCAAATACTGGGTGGGACTTGCATGCATGCAGCATATAGTGGGTGGGTCTTTTGCTTGTGAAAGATAAATGCTGATTGGCAATCTATTGTGAGTACAAGATGTGACATAAGTTTAAGGAAATCTTTAGGTCTTCAGTCCACATAATTCTGATGACAATTAGATGTTGAATTATGCACCATTTTAAGGTAATTTCAAAGGCGAATTTGTCCATTCTTGTTAACAATGAATATATGAAAAAAAATGTATTTTACATGTTTTCAGTAATACAGTTACAGCACAGTCAGAGCATACATATGCTTTTTTTTTTTTTGAGGTAGCGTAGTTGAGTGAGGCACTATGCTACAAGCTGGAAGGTTATGAGTTTGAGTCAAAATAAAGTGAATTTTTTTCAATTTACCTAATCCTTCCAGCCACAATATGGCTCTGGGGTTGAATCAGCCTCTAGCAGAAATGAGTACCAGGAATCTTCCTGGGGTGTAAAGGGCAAGCTGATGTGTAAGGCTGACAACCTTACCGCCATCTGCGAGCCAACTGTCTAGAGAAAATGTGGAAGCCTTGATGTCTCACAACCCTATGGGCCTTCACGGCCTGTTACAGGATTGGCTTTACCTTTATATATATATATATATATATATATATATATATATATATGAGACATACTTACCTCCCTACAACAACAAGATCATACACCGCTGTATTGATGAACAAAATAATGAGTATGACAATAAATATATTGTACATTGTCCTGATGTGCTTTATCTCACACAGGTCTGTAAGAAGGGAATTTCGAGCCATGAACTGTTTTTCTGGCAGACCTCCATGTTTGCTAGGTTTCCTGGAAATCAAAGTCACCCAATATATCAAGTTCTTACTCCAAAAGCCCCTGCTTAAAATTCCTATGAAGGACAATACAAGTACAATTAAAAACTAAACCAGACATTTTAATTGTAGGAAAATTAACATTCATATAACAAGACTGATGCCATAGAAACTGAACAGAAAAAGAGGAAAACCCTTATATCAAGTATAATTAAACACAAACTTCCTTTTATTTTTTTGTTTCTGTCAAATAAAGTGTACTGTACTGTCTCCTTTCAGTATAATCGAACTTACACAAATTGCTAGCAAGGATTCTTGCTGTGGTAAAGGAATGTTTACTCTACTTATATAGCTGGAAGACATTTTTAGGCAATTCCTTATCAGGCAAGTTTGAGAATTGTTGCCATCTCACTACAAAATGTCCTAAAATAAAGACACTATAGGACAAAGACCAATGATTCAGAATTATGCTACACTTACACTCTGTTCTTGTATTTGTTTCCATCATCAACCAGGACATACCGATGCCGTTGGGAAACACCACACAGCTCCATCTCCTTAAGCACTGTACCCACCATTTCAGATAACTTCTCGTCGACTTCTTCAACAAGATCAGCTCGCATTCTCTATATATAGTTATAAAGAAAGGAGTTATGGGAATAGGTCAATTACCTTCACACATTAAATTACGTACAGTGATCGAGTCACATTATCACATTTAAAAATAACAGTAAACTGATAAGCACACCTGTAATGATCAAGTACTATACCATAATTCAGTTCATGCAGCAGTCTTCTCGAAAGCTAATAGTCCCACATGGTTATTCAAGAAATTTCTTACATTTTATGAGACCCAAAGATGCTTGCAAACCTGCACCACTGGGCCCTATACTAATTCAGATAAATCCAGTCCACACAATCCCATCCTATTGTTTTAAGAGCCAATTATCGTTCCATCTAGAACTATGTCTTCCGAGGTTACTTGGCTTTCCGCGTCTTTCCTGTTCATCTACATGCCCTGCCCATCTAATCATACTGGATTTAATATCCCTAACAATATGTGGCTGGTAAAATTAGAATATATGTTTACTCATTATGCAGTTTTTCCACCTTCTCATACTGCCTCCCACTTAGATCCAAATAGTCTTCTTAACACTGTTCTCAAGCACTTCCAATTTACGTACTTCCCTTTATGTGACCAAGCAAATTTAAAACAACTGAATGACCAAGTGACCGACCGACCAACTCCATGGAGCTGAGACCTTCTTGAGAAGCGACCAGTTGCTCAACTACTCAAGAATTTCCCAACATTTTATGGAACACAAAGGTTCATTATCATGTTCACAAGAGCCCTCCACTTTTCCCTATCCTGAGCCATATCAAGTCCATACTACCCTATCCCATCTCTCCATGATCTATATTAATATTATTCTCCCATTTACATCAAGGTCTTTCCAGCTGTTCTTTCCTTCTGGTTTTCCAACCAAAACCCTCTATGCATTCCTTTTCTTTCCCTCTCATATTACATGCTCCGCCCATCTCACCCCCCTTGATTTGATCATTTTAATTATATTTGACAAAGAGCACAAGTTATGAAGCTCCTCATTATGCAGTTAAAACATATGAATTAGATGGGAAAACTGCAGTCCATACCAGAATGCACGCAGTTTCCACATACATTCTTACCACTCTAGCATTCTGAATATTCCTGGCTATTCCAGGTACTTCTGACAAACACATTAACCATGTTAATAACAATTTTCAATTTTACATACAGTGGAACCAGCCCCATTAACATACCCTGTTTAAGGTCTTCCCTCCTTTAACATTTGATTTCAACGATCCCAGGTCAATACTGTCAATTTTATATTAGTACATCCATTTTTCATTTTCCTCACTTCAGTGTACACTGCTACAAAAAGAAACCCTAATTTGTGGGCAGGTTCCCACTGTAGTTGCCTTTCAATAATCTGAAGATGTTTTAACATGATCAATATACATTTGAATTCTTTAAGTTTTATATTCATCATTTTGTTGTAGAATTTGTAAATGATATACTAACCATACTGACTTATTATAATGTCTGTCCATTGTACAATGTATAGACTATGTATCACCCATACCCAAAAACATATGTCATTATGGTTATTTTGGCTACAGTGGTTACCAGATTTCACGAGTGGGATTACTGTCACTTCCAGCTTACAAGTTCAGGCATCTACCACAATGTCATGCATCTGCATAAAATTAAAATATGTGAGCCTGAGGTGGCCTTCAATGGCAGAATGTTCATATAAAATTCCATCAGAATACATGCAGTGGCTCTCAACTTGAAACATAGAACTAGACATATAAAAACTCCTATAAGTGTTCTTTTATGGAGGTTATGCAATTAATGCATAACAGGTATAATCAGAAACAGTACTGGTCCTCTGGGATGTAATACTATGTAGTCTGGTAGAAGTTCACTGATATTTCTCCAAAATGTCAATGAAATTCTATCGAACTATATGGAGTTACATTTCAGATAACAGTATTCTTCATAGTCAACACTGTGACAACCTAAAACCAAACATAGACAGTCTATTGTTTTTTATTTGATCTTTGCATTTTTAGATAGGAGGTAGAAGAACAAAAGGTTCTGAAACTGAATGGTAGAAATGATTTCCCATATTTTGTATACTCTTAATTTCTTCTTTGGTATAATTTTTGTTTGTTGTTGTCATTCTTATCAAATAATATAAAAATTAAAATAATAATTTAATAGCAGATATTTTGGATAACAGACAAAGATTCATTTCAACAAATAACTTTTGTTCTATCATGTTAGAACTAATACTGCTAACACTTCGTTACCAGGATGTGTGTTAGGAAAGTGAACAAGTAGTATCATATATTACACCAATTACACCATAAAAGGAATCTGGGAAATTTCATACATATAAGGTACCAGAAATACCTTTATGAATTGGTGACAGAATATGTAATAAAGTGATTTTCTTTCCTTGGAAATACTATAATTTGATTGGACACTTAGAGTAACATGATGTAAGATTTAATACTTACTATATTTCATCACGTTTCTGTATTATATTTCAATATTAATAAAACAGACATTCAAAGCAGTGTAATTTGACATGAGAGTCTTGTTTACAACAGTATCTTGCGGTGGAATTTTCCGTCTCAAAACACAAAATTAAAGATATCTTGCTAAATAATTAATTTCATTCCTCTGCTCCTCTCCATCCCATCTAGGAGCAAATATCTTTCATTCTAGAAAAATTTACTGCTGCTTCTACCCTTGATATAAAGTATATTAAAGAATGGGCCACATATGTACTGAATTTTCATTTCATTCTAATACAAAATGTTTGTAAATGGTGCAGAAAGACCCTTTCTCAGATGAAATGCAGAGCCCAGAAAATATGCCGATTACTTGGACACATCCATCTACAGAAATCTGTTACTTTATAGAACTTGGGTAATTTTGAGTGAATATATATGGGGCAGTCAAATGAAAACGGGTCACCATGCATAACTCACACAGCGTGCAAGTTGGTAACACTGGAATTTGCTTACGGTACAAACATCTGGTGGGGACTCGGGAAAGGACAGTGACAGCGTGTCCCTGTACACTAGACGTTTGTTTATTGTACTGAAAGTATGGTTAGCGCTACGTGTGGTCATCCAACATCAGTAATGGAGGCGAGTGAAGAAGAATAGCGAAGTGTAGTGCACTTTATGATTGCTGAAGGAGTAGGATGAGAAATTCATCATCGCATGTCTGTTGTTTACAGTGAACACAGCATGTCAAGTTCGCGTGTGCTGGCATGGCAAAAGAGATTCCAAGAGGGACGTGTGTCACTGCAAGATGATGCTCGCCCAGGACAGGCTCATCGTGTCATCACTCGTGATGTTATCGCTGTGCTGGATGGCCATATCCGGGCAAACCGACGGATCACTGTGGAAGAAATTAGTCTTTTGATGGCTATAAGTCATGGTTCCATGCATGCCATTGTGACAAAACACCTGCTGTACCGCAAAATCTGCGTGCAGTGGGTTCCACATGAACTCACGGAGGAACAGAAGACTCAGAGAATGGCTGCATCACTGGGTCACTTGCAACGATACCATGAGGAAGAGTATGCTTTTCTGTCCCGTACTGCCACTGGGGATGAAACTTGGTGCCACCATTTTGAACCCAAGAGCAAACGGCAGAGCCAACAGTGGAAACACATGAATTCTCCCCCACCGAAGAAATCCAAAGCCGTACACACAAGTTCCGATAAAGTGATGATGACCTTCTTTGACTGCACGAGCCTCTGCTTGTTGAATTTCTCAAGCATGGGGCCACAATCAGTGCACAGCGCTATGAAGACACTTGGCAGAAACTGAGGCATGCCATAAAGTCAAAACTCCCTGGAATGCTATCGAATGGCATTGTCCTTCTTCGTGATAATGGGTGCCCCCACACCGGCAACTCCGTGAGGAATACGCTACAGAGATTTGGTTGGGAAGTGCTTCAACATCCCCTCTACAGCCCAGATCTCTCCCCATGTGATTTTCACATTTTTGGAGACCTGAAGAGAGACATTCGTGGACATCGGTTTGCATCGGACAAAGATGTGTGTGGCTGGGTAAAGATGTGGTTCCGTACACAGCCCACAAGCTTTTTCAAGGATGGGACTGACTGTCTTATCTCCCAGTGGGATAAATGTATTAACAGTTTTGGAGATTACTTTTGAGGTAAGAAATGTTCTTTAATATGTTTTGGCTTCTGACCCATTTTCATTTGACTGCCCCTCATACAGTGTAGAAAACCTACAGAGAGAAAAACCTGACAAGAAATTGAAACAGAAAAATTGTGGGAAGATAGAAGAGACTGGGCACTTCTCATCATTCAAACTATGTAACATGGAAACGATACCCCAAAAAAGAATAAAGACTCATTGCAGAAACAAACCTGCACTTTCTCACAAACATTCAGCAGAGCCATTTTTTCGATCATGGCAGGACCAATTTCTTCACCCACTGGACTGGATGCTAAAACAACATTTGTTACTGGTAATGATAGCTGTATATTAAACTTATTAAGACAACAATGACATAAAAATACAAATACTGTATTGTAGCAACATGCTGTGTTGTATTTCTAACTGTATTGACTCCAGTCAGCACAATTTACGTTGTGCTGACAGAAACACAAAACTAAGTTTCTGTCAGTTTGATAATACTACAGTTCTTTCATTGGACATTTAAGTGAAAGTCAAACAAACATAATTTGTTACATAATTTTACAACATGTGAACATACATGCTTATGTTAATCACTGATCCATATTATTTTATAATAGCCACATGCTACTCAACAGATATGATACTGTATTAGATAAGAGTGAATCAGGAAGACAGTAGGGTCATGACTTACTGTCAGACTTTATCTCAGCATCTGCATGGAAGAACTGACAAAAACCATACAAATCTCAGGCAAGCCAGCCTCACAGAATTCCCAAGCACAAAGCAGCAATGGTAATCACTACACAATATAACTGATTCCATGGAACTGAGTCCTTCCTGACAAGCTAACAGTTATTATTATTATTATTATTGGAGGGGGTGGGTTTCCCCATGCACCGCGACCAGTTGATCTATTGTATGTCCCCCTTTGATATTCTACCAGTACTTGTGCGTGCTATCAGCCCTGTTGAGTAGGTCAGCCCTTGGTACCTTGATACTTCCCCCCTCTACCTGAGGCATTGCAAACTACTTGGGTGGGAAATTGTTGCCTAATTTAGCTCAGAGGTCTCCTAGAGACATGAGGTTCTTTTACGTGCCGTAAATCTATGACACGGGACACACGGCTTAAAGTTCCTCCCAGAGAACTTGTTCCCTGAATTTTTCCGCACTTAAAAATTCCACAACCTCTGCTGGGTTTGAACCCACGTACCTTGAGTCATTAGGTGGGAACGTTACCCCTAGACTACGGAGGCCACTAAGCTAACAGTTACTCAGCTGCCCAATAAATTGAGAACATTTTATAGACTCCAAAGGGTTGTCATCATGTTCATAAAGAGACTGTCAATGGTCCTATCGTCGACCAGATTAATCCAGTCCACACCTTCCCATTCTATTTCTTTAGGATCCATTTTAATACTATCCTCCCATCTATGTACTCATCTACAACTAGTGCCAAGGTCAAGAAAATGTGGATCTATACATCCACTCCCCCATACGCCTTCATGGTGTAGTGCTTAAATTCGTTGAGCATAGGGATAACTTCACCTTTTACCTCCCATCTATGTATAGTTCTAGTTTCTTTCCTTCAGGTTTTCTTACCAATACTTTGCATGCACTTGTCTTCTCTCCCATGCATGTTAAATGTCCTGCCCATCTCATCCTCTTCAATTTGATCATCCTAATTATATCTGGCATATCACCTCGGTATGCTAGTCTGTTACAAAAAATTCAAACAAAATACATAACTCACAAGTTCAGTATCCCAATTACTTCTCCTGCTGTAGTCACTTCCAGGCTTCAACTGTCTTTATTCTATTCACTCATTGCAACTCTTAACTCATACTGAATACTCAATATTCAATAATCTCGTTATGTAGCTTCCGCCCTGACCACACAGAAAACGTGTTTACTGAGTGCCTAGCAACAGTCGCCACAAGGACTCCCCTGTTGCGTGATGTCACAGCCTAGCGGGGAGGAGTGTTTACCGAGCGTTTTTACACAATGAACACTCGTTGCTACGGATGTTCCTACGCAACGGTCTCAACAATTTTCATTGTTTCGTTGCTCAGCGATGGACGACATACAGCACGCCACATTACTCCCTCCTTAAGGCTGTTCGTCCCGAGTAGCCTATTGGTGCAACACCGTTCCTTTTCTTCCGAGGTTTCTGCTCGTTGCGTCTTGCGGTTCGGCTACTCCTCTTGCGACGACTGTTCTCCAACCGTTATATCCGCTTCCTCCTCGTCCCGAGCTGTTCACTGCTAAAGTGCTAGGACATCCAGATGTATCGCCATCATCCATTTTTTCTTCTCTCTCTCTCTCTCTCTCATTCACTCTCGCTTGGGAGGCGGGTGCTTCTATGTTACCGGCTCCTCCTCTGTTTCATGCTTCTTTTTTTTTTCGTTTCGGAGGGGGTCGACCCCTCCACAAGGTCCAATCCTTTTTTGTCCGCAACCCAACAGTAGATCCGACAATTCGCTTGGCGATCTCCAGTCTTGTAATTCTCGTGAAATCCATGTCAAAATTTTCCGTGCTTTCCACTTGTACTTCCTTCGGGTCTGGTTTCTTCAGATACTGCGGCTGTCCGCCGCCTAGTTCCTTCACTCCATTTCTGCCTTGTAGTTGCTGTCTCAGGCCTCGATCCCTTATGCCAGTGTTGCATTCCGGGCCTGTCCACATTCTTTTCCCGAACGTCCCTCCTTCGGGCTTCTTAGTTTTACATCGTCTTTGTTTCGTCTCTTACATCTGTGTCCTGCAGAGCGGGTAATCTTCTTTCTGGCTGCGGTCACTTCCTTTCGCGGTCCACAATTTCTTTGGGTTCAAGATTTCCTGAAGTTGTTCCTCTTGCGCCATGCCACTGTTGCACGGCGGGACATCTTCCTCCAGGCGGCAGCCAATATCCTCAGAGATCCACAATCTCCTCGGGTCAGTTCCTTTGGCTCTCCACGTCGCCCTGCAGCTTGCTTCTTGCCCCCATGCCGCTTCTTCCGTCCCTTGACCGGTTTCACTACGGAGTCTTCAACGGGGACTTCTCGTTGTTGGGCCACCTCAGGTTTCCTCTCCACTGAGGTCGGCTCTTTTTCTTGTAGACGCGCCTCCGTCGATTCTCGGCAGGCCATCGTTTCTTTTCGGGTAATCGACGTCATTTCTTCTTCAGGTTCTCCGACCGGCATCGGCGTGGCGTCTTGTAACGGTACCTCTTCTTTTTGGACCACCTCAGGTTTCGTGTCCAATGAGGTCGGCTACTTCTCTTCCGGACGGGCCTCCATCTCTTGGCAGGTCATCGTCTTTACGTCTGTTCTGGCTTGGTTCGCGGTCATCATCTCCGTAATTTTATTTATTTCTCTTCGATCTGCTTTCCTCTCCTCCCGCATGTCCTGCAGGATTCCATTATTTGTTCCATCTCTTGCTTCTCCATTTTCCTTTTGGCAGGATAATACTAGACGTACTTGTGAATTCAATAATTCTTCCTAGATCGAGGCGCGTTTAAGTTCGTATCCCACTTCTCTAACACCAGTTGTCACGTGTTTGTCAACTTACACGACAAATAACTTCACGCCGTTCTTGAATCTAGCGAATTCATTGCACACTTTTATCCACACTTACATTACTCACAAGTTCAGCATCCCAATTACTTCTCCTGCTGTAGTCACTTCCAGGCTTCAACTGTCTTGATTCCATTCGCTCGATGCAACTCGTAACTCAGTCTGAGTCTGAGTCTCATTTTACGACCGACGGTCAGTCGACCAGTCTGTCTTTGCATAAACCAACCATCTGGGGCTTGGGACCAGATAGTTATTACTGGTTGACAGTTACGGTCTTGTTTTTGTGGAGCGCCCTTACCAGCGCAGTCTTTCTCGGGTCCGAGTCCCATGGAACTCGCGACCATATTTTACTGTCTCAGATGTGAGACGTCCCTCTTCGTCGCCTCCTACGACTCGCAGGGTCACGGTGGAAGTATTGGATCCCGCCTCCACACGGGGAGTGTGGACCCTGACCACACAGAAAACGTGTTTACTGATAACAGTAGCTGCACGGAGTCCCCTGTTGCGTGACGTCACAGCCTAGAGGGGAGGGGTGTTTACCGAGCGTTGTTACGCAATGAACACTCGTTGCTACGGATATTCCTACGCAACGGTCTCAACAATTTTCATTGCTTCGTTGCTCAGCGATGGACGACATATAACACGCCACAATACTGTGATAATTATGTTACCAGCAAACTTTATAAAAAAAAACAATAATTTTTAAGAAGTGCACTGAATATGCATGGCCATTCTTTGGTGTAACAAATGGTTGCATGCTTCTCCTTTGAACAAGGATGTGATATCTTTTGCACACTCTTCCTCAGGACATGTACACAATTCTCATCAGGGATGGGGTAAGGTAAGGTAAGGTAAAGCTATCCCTGTAACAGGCCGTGAAGGCCCATAGTGTTGTGAGATGTCAAGGCTCCCACATTTTGAAGACAACTGGCTCACAGTTGGTGGTGAGGCTGTCAGCCTTATGCACCAGCTGCCCTTTGCCCTCTAGGAAGATTCCTGGTACTCATTTCTGTTAGTGGCTGAGTCAACCCCAGGGACATAGCACAGCTGGAAGAATTAGGTAAACTGAAAATATGAAATTACCTCATCAGGAATCGAACCCGAGACTTTTCGGCTTGTAGCACAGTGGCTCAACCAATTATGCTACCATGTGCCCCCCCTTTGCGATGGGTTATGTTTCTTTCTGGGCACTTTACTGTTGAAACAGTCAGACACAGATGCAGCTACACAAGTTTGTTTTTAAATTATTTCAGTATACCACACCTATAACACAGACTGTACAGTGCCGAGTAATATGTGAGGATACTTATGTATGGCACATACGGAATGTGAAAGAAAACAGTCATGAGCTACTGAGGCTCCCATAATGCAGATTTTTCTGCTCTTAATGATGTAGAATGATGGTGGGAATGGTGACCAACAGCAGGAGCTTACAAGCTCATCCACAGAGTTCTTACTTTATAAAAGGTGCAGGAATTCAAGTGAAAACTTGTTGCTTTGACTTTGTACTGGATTTCTGTAAGAGTTTCTTTTACGTAACTGGCACACCCCATTCCCCATAGAAAATGAGAAGTCTCATTCATTCATTCTTTCATCAATGGCTCTACAGCCTTTTGTTGGGCCCTGGCAGCTTTTTCAATTTCATAATCCTATACAGTCAGCAGGACTCCTTGGATTGGGGATCAGCCTGTTGCAAGACTGCTACCGATACACAGTACAGCACAAACAAATAAACACACACAGACATCCATGCCACACATAGGATTCAAACCCACAACACCAGCATTCAAGCGGGAGAACACAGTTCATGCCTCAGAAGACATGACCACTGTGATTGGCCTAATGAGGAGTTTTCTGTATAATTATTATTTCACATCCAGAAATTGACTAATTTCAAATTATTTGAACGATGTGTTTGCTAAGTTGAATAAATTCTATGAATTTTGCTACAAACAGAACTTAAATTCCTCGGTCTACAAACTGACAGTAACTTAAACTGGAACATACACAATCAATACAGAGGTGTATCTACGTTCCCCATGTTTTGCTATGAAGATAATCACACCAATCATGAAAATAAATACTTTAAAATCAACTTACTCCACTTATTTCCACTTACCATGCCATATGCCATTCGGGGAAATTCAACAGACAGTAAAGAAACTATTTAAAATAAAAATATTAGAATAAGGGCTGGTATTAAAAGAATCTCTTGTAGAGAATTATTTAATGGGGAGTTCTGTAGGATTTACATCAACTGAAAATGATTAAAATGTGTATATTTATTAAAATATTTAATGTACATAATTATTTTGTTCTGTATTACATAATTTAAGACATATGCAAGCAGCTGTAATAACTACATACTAATATATATGCCCTTGCATTATGTAATGTAATTGTATTGTGACGTGTTTTACATCTTTGGCTAGTTCTGTAAGAATCTTTGGAATGTAAATGAATTCTAACGCTGTAACCAAATTACACTCCTACCAATTTATTCAGCATCTTTTTCCTAGGCTATAAATCACAGAAGTCCTAATCTTTTCATAATTACATTCTGGTGCACAGACCCGTTGTTAGGCAAAGACCTCAAAACAAACGATACAACAAAACATGCTTCTACAATAATAGAGTTAGTATTGGAAATGGTATTATGCAACCTGTTGCTAGGAAGCTACAAAAGTTGGACTACAAAAATGGAAATGGAGGTGTTTTCTATGTGGTTTGTGCCAAGGAGTTATTTTGAAGACAACTGGGGCAACCAAGTCAGTTAAAAGTCAACCTGTGAAGGGAAGACTTAGAGGGTGTGAAATGGCTGCCAGCCTGGGAGTTACTTCAGTTGTCAGTTGGTTCAGAGTTGAGTTCTGCACATGAAGCTGTGAAGACAGAACCTGAATGTGTGAATCTAAAGAATCTTCATTGTTAGAAGCCATTACCAGGGAATGGCTGATGAAGACACAGCAGGCTGGAAAAAGGCTTAGCAGGTGCTTTAGTGAACTGTAAAGTGTGGTGATCATCAATAGTGCTGCAATTACTTGTAGTTCCATGTGGTTCCACTGTCAAGGGTCACTCAAACACTTGACAGTATCATTATTTTATTCAGTACAAATGACCCAGCTCCTCTATTTCAAACATTATTCAGTATGATAATGTAAACCAAACAATTCTAAAATACCAGCAATCCCACTCCCATGCTTTTGGTAAACAAATCATAATAATGATTGCTTATATTTGTGTGTGTAGAAATCTAACTGTAAATAGTTAATTTTCTTGGTTTTTACATTTGGGATGATACTGGGAAAAAAATCAGAATATTGAATTTGCCAGATATAAAGCTGTGATCGATGTAACTCTTCAAAATATTATTTTGTGGAGAATTCTGAATTTTCTTCTGATACAAACCACCAATCGGAAAGCAGCCAGGAGTTGGACAGTGAAATGCTTGTTTCCTCCTAAATGTCAGGGAACTTCTACCAGCCTAGATGGCATGGTATACCAAAAGATAGTACTCCTCACAGTCACTGCTGTAAGAACCTCAGATCTAACATAAATACATGTTACATTTATAATACTGAACGACATGAGATGCAAAATGCTGCCCTCTGCCATAAACTCGACAACGCCATGGCAATCAAATTAATAATTTTTAATCTTATGATAAATCTATCATACACAGCAAGGCCACTTACATCACTGATTTTCCTTCTAAGAATCTCAATCATTAAAAACGTTAACAAATATAGAGAAAGGTACAGTACATAATTATGGGAGTTTTATCTTCTGGGATATGGCCCCGTGTAGTCCCGTGAAAGCCAACTGATGTTCCAGAAGAACATCGTTTCCATCTTCTGGGGCAAGGAATAGACAAAGCAAAAAACCAGCATAGAACAGGGAGTATTAGTCACCGCTGTCAGAAACTCAAATCCAGTAGTTTATAATTATTTCAAATAAGATAACAATTAAAATTTATGTTAATATATGAACGAAGTATACCACTGTCAAGGGCATGAAAGCGTAATTATGGAAAATACATACCTCTGTTTCTGAGTCCACCCTTTTGTAATAAATTACTTGCTGGGATCCCGTTTTCTCTTTCTAACCCGCTTTGCCGATGACCTTCCATGATTACTGAACGATGTTTCGAGACGTTCACCGTAATAACTGAAATCTCCGAGTAATAACGTCATTGCACTCTTACACCACAAACCCCGTACACTATTGTGTTCCGAGTTCCGAGTGCACATGCACCCGCGTAATGACAAAACCACGTGATGTACCAGCCGTTTCAATGTCCGCGTGCTATGCGCGTAAGGAAATGAGCGTAGGGTTATCGTCATTATGCTGGTCGTCTGATAATTTGCTTATCTATGTTTGCCACAGTGATTTTGTATTTATGTATGAAAATGTTAAACGATGTTCAGCATTACCTGTGAAGATACAAAGCAATAAAAACAAATTTTAAGTTACCTGAACAAGAAGACTAGTCGTCCACCATGGAGACACCTCATGAGATTTAAGCAATTATTATGACTAGTACATTTCCGATGAAAGAGGACAGAAATATTGCACAACTGCCAGCAGTCACCGCCGCTTATTTTGCAATTCTGAACACAGTTCTCGGAGTTCACGTTGCGGAATGCGAACAACATGTGTCAACTTCCGAATGTATTTCTTACAGTACTTCATTGAGTACCCCACAGTGAAGACGTGTGCTAAAGCGGAGGAGTGGTTGGAAGTATTCTTAATTTTGATAACAGCTTCACACTTTGTACTCTTTGCCCCTAATAAAGAAAAAAAGATTCCCCGTAATCATTAGAAAGGATGCTGAGTGGACCCAAGGTCAATCTGAACATGGCAAAGAAGAGAAAAATTCCTGCCCCTACAGGGAATCGAAACCCTGGTTGTTCAGCCTGTAGCCTGTCACTGTATTGGCTTATAATCAGTTACTTCATATACACACAGTCAATTAAATAGAATGCATACAGAAGTTTAGTTCAATAACATGCAAAGGAAGAAACAAGAAGATAGGTATAGGGGGGACTATATTAAAATGGATCTTAAAGAAATAAGCTGAGGACTGCATTCATCTTGCTCGTGATAGGTACAAGTGCGCTCCTGAGAGAGAGGTAATGAATCTTCAAATTCCATAGATGATGGGAAATTTCTTGACCAACTGAGCAACTATTAGCTTCTGTAGAAGGACTCTGCTCCATGTAGTTACTTCAGTTCCATTCAACTTCATCAGGATTTATTTGCGCCAAATTCTGGCCCTTACGTTCTCACAAACATTAAAGTTTACTCTGATCATGGCTTTTGTTTACGGATATAAACTGCAACAGATACAAAGCTAGGAAACATTCTTACTAATTGGGTCATATGTACTTCAGTGGATGCTGCAGGCATTTCTTAGTTTAACTACAATAGCTTTCCAGTAGATTAAATTCATAATAACCATATATATGCCTTTAAATGGTTCTGAATATTGGACGTTAATGAAATAATAAATGAAGAAAATGGAGACGGCAAAAAACGAGTTTCTCCAAGCTGTCATAAAATACAGCATGACATCAAAAATATAATGATGTTAGAGAAGCGTTAGGAATAATATATATCAATACAGTTTCAACTCCATCACAGCAACATGAACAGGAAAAATTATATTTCTCTGATTAACTCATGAAAACCTCTTTTTCATACTCTGAAGGATGCAAAGAAAAGGGGAAGGTGCCTGCATCTACTTGACATGGCCTTCCTCTGCCAAAGTCCTCATAAGTCATATGTAGAGGCTCCTATTAGGGACTCTCGTGTTTCCCATTGACCCAGACATGGCTGTATCTCCTCTTCCCCATCCTAGCTCTGGTTGGCCTTTACCCCGATTTCTCCACAGGCAAAACTCATGACCTGTCCTATGCATAACATTCATATCCCAACCTGACTCACTTCCACCTTGATGATGGATGCAGCAGGTTTCTCAGAAACACTAGCAGCCATCTAAAAAACTATAAGTTTTCATAATCCAGGAGTCCACAAATGAAATAAAGTCAGAAGTTACTAGTTTGCCTGTGCAATAACTTACTAAAAACTGTTTCAAAATTATACCACTTGAAAATAATAACAACAAATGTAAATGGGGTTCATGAGGAATTCATATTGTAACATATTTGCCCAAAGCAAGGATTTAGGAGCCAGAGAAACTGCTATTGCTAGGCAATGGCTGTGTAACATGCAACAATAGAAGAACCGTTGAAAGCGGTGTTTTCAATGCGGTCCATTTTGAGGCTACATAAGGGCAGACTTGATGAAAGGCCGAGCGTATTCATAAGAGACAAACCCATCTTCTCGTCAGATAGGATGTTACATAAGGATTATTACCGCAACAGTTCAGTTGGAAAAATCTCTGGACGTGGGCCTCATACCAAAATGAACAGATTGGTGGTAAACTGCCAGTCGTGAAGTAACTTTGACTTTTTATGAGTTAATTTTGGGAGCTGCAGCTGAAAGGTGCCAGCCATTAAGGAAGTGAGCTCAGAAGCAGAGGAACGTCCCGCATTGGAAGCCGTTATCAAGCTACATGACTGAGAACACTAGTCTGTGTGACACTGATCTGTAAAGTATAGTCATGGGCTGTTAAAGTATGCATCAAATTCAATTTTCAATCCAAACCCCATCAACAGCCACTGAATCGTGTGACACGATTTACTTATTTGTAGGTCATGTAAGAACACCATCATTAACTCAGGCTATATAATGTCAGATTATGAGATACCAGTGAATAATAAGTTGGAAAGGACATCAAAGAAAGTGGTTGTGACCTAGGTTAAGGTCCTGTCCTGGCATTTCTCTGGAGGGACTGAGGAAAATCATAAAAAGTCTGTCAGGACAGCCCATATCTTTACCTAGATTTGAACCAGGAACCTCCTGAATACAAGTTATAAGTGTTACCACTTAAGACAATTTGCTAGATTTAATGATTACTCAGAAAACACTGGGGAATGATTGTTACTTTTCAGTTAAAAATTGTGATAATTCCATTTACTTTCCAAACACTAAAAGAGCACATATGCACATAAATAAACTCTTTTTTAAGTAAGTATGGAGAACAAGGCGGGCTGGTTACGTGAGAAAAACTCTTACAGAGACCCAATACAGAGTCAAAACAATACATTTTTGCTTTAGTTATTCTGTGGAGTCTTCCTTGGTGACACAGGTGATTGATGGGTGAAAGATTCCCAACAAATATACTGCAACACGGTCACAAGTTCAACTAGCCTCGACTGTAGTATCATAAGGGAGAACAAGCAGCACTGTTAGTGGTGACTGGGAGAACTACCATATGGGGTGGTGAGGGGTATGAGCACGACAAATTTGGTTTGAACAACTTTATAATAATGGTAAATTTTCTTTGAAACTGTTGCCTGTTCGATGAGGATTCCAGATACTTTGCTATCAGACAACCAGGAGCTTATTCGTGCATGCCCATGTATATAAGCAAGTTTCCAGTTCTTTTGTACAGTTGTGAATCATGGTCTCTTATTTTGAGATACAAATATAAACTATAAACATGTTAAGATAAAGCACACAGGAAAGTACTTAGACCTGTGAGTGATGAAGTACTGGGTATTTTCATCAATACATGAGAAACTATGTAACTTATGAATGTTACGATGAGATGGACATGAAGTTGGTGAGGATACAAGAAATTTAAAGAGTTCTGGTGGGGAAACCTGTTGGACAGTAGTCATTTGTAACACTGAGGAGCTGGGAAGATAATATTAAAATGAATCCTAGGGAGACAGGTTGTTAGAATGACAGATGGAATGAACTGGCTTGGGAATGTGTCCAATGATGGGCTTTGCACATAGAGTTCCTGAACCTTTAGATTTTGCTACCAAAGGATTAGAGTGGTTTGAGGGTAGAAGTTGATGATACTGGTGACTTCACCAGGATCAGAGAATAACATTATAAAACGGAGTACTTATGCATTAATTATAAGTCAAAACGCCGATTACGATAATTCATATATCATGCTTGGAATTTATTATGACACTCAAATTTATGTTTTGAAGATATCCTGAAATGTGTTAGATTAATTATAAAAACATCAAAACAAGAGCTACAATCACAAATACTTGAGAAACTAAAAACAAAATAATGGAATCTCATAAATACAATAACTGCTAGTTAACAAAAGAACAAAAGAAAGTCGATGGCATATGGTTCAAACTAATGACAAAAAGAAGGCAATATAACCAAACTTCTCATTACACCTGATCTGTTAATGTTTTTACAGATGTGTAACGTCCCCATTCTTTGTAAATAAAGATGTTCTGTAAGAGTAAATTTATCATTGCATTATGCAATTTCAGATTACAACAACAATAAAATGTCATGTATCAAGATGCTGCATGAAGGTAAGTTATGTAGAAGATTTTGTGCAAATTAGCATTATTTTGTTTCAGTGTATTCTGTCTGTTCTGTGAGTACTAATAGTATTTTGATGTGGTTATGTAAAGTGTAGTATGCTACATAAAGGATACAGTTTACAGTTGACTGCGCATGTTATTTGTGAGATGGTGTCAAATGTTGGCCTTGACATATCATTCAATAATATGTATGACTGGAAAGGAATATGTAAGAAAGCAGAAAACGTTAACAGCAGATAAGCATATATTCTTGACCTGTTCCATGAACTAGGATACATGATTGTCAGTTAGTGACATACATTGTTATGTCATCATTTGAAAGTCACTAGAATCTATTTTCAACATACATCAGAAAACTACTTCTATGAGGTTCCAATATTAGGTACCATTTCTAGTAATGTGGCCTTAGAATTCAAAAGGAATGGCAGTAAAATGTTTTCTGCCAAATATCAGAACACCTAATTTGAAACAAATTTTTTCTCATTTATTCCCATGTTTTCAATATACATGTCATTTGCACATACAATCATAACAATGATCATATTCTTATCAACAGTACATCTGTGAAATTTGTATCAGAACCATCTGAGTGCATCCACTTAATTCTCACACAAATGTACAGAAACAGTGCGGAGAAAACTGTTACAATCACACATCAGCAGCATGAGACACCCAAAAAATATTAGTACTTTATTTGTATATCATATTCTTTAAAACTAATTTAAGTAACATTAGAGCCTGTATAGTATACATCACTATCTACTAAAACCATTAAGCTTGCCTGCATCAGTGACACTGAAACATTTCTTACACAGTGATGACAGTCTGAAGAGTTTATTCATCTATAGTACCGTATTTACGCATGTATAAGCCGCACATTTTTTGCCAAAAATTCAAGAGGAAAACTGGGGTGCGGCTTATATTCGAAATCACACTTCATTTAAAAAAAATAATATTCATAATTAGTAATACAGGGTGTAATACTCCTGAAATAATATTCCAAGAAAATTATTTTTTTTCTATAATTTGTCTGAAAATTGTGCTGCGGCCTATACATGCATAAATACGGTATATTCAGTGCAACAGCCTGTTGACCCTATCATGTTTACAAATAAAACTGAGGTCATGCATGGTAACCCTAATTTGAAAACAGACCACAGGGAGCAAGCAAACAACTCAATATTTTAGAAATTATGATAAACAACCATCAGTTAATCACTGTGACAAATAAAAACAATGGGCTGACACTTTCATTGCTGATATTCATTTGGACATACACTTTATCTCTGACTTTCACACGACTTTCACAGGAGAACAGCTCACTAACTAGTATTACGGGATGTGGTTGCTACCATCAGTTGCTCACTCAATAGCAGTGTGGGATTGCTTACAGCCAACTGTTGCTCTATGATTTCTTGGTTATTTCAAGTGTTTCAACTTAAGGACATGACATATGAACGGGGATTTGGAACATAAAGCATTCGTAACTCAAGGATCAAGTTATTTCACGCTAATAACAATGATTAAGAGTATATCACAAATCAATATACTCTCCTCTCATCCTGCAGGCAAGAGACTAATGGACTGGGTGATAATGCTCTATATACAGAGTGGCCCAAAAGAGAGTTAACCTACAACATTCTCTCATATTGATGGGAATGCTCAGATTTAAACCAGCCACTCAATTTGTAGAACAGTATTGCAGCATTCTGAGTTGTACACTGAAGGAGGAGGATCTCACTTTGAGCAATTTTTGTAAGTCAGTAAGTAATAAAGAAATACTTAATGCATTTTAATGCACATTTTACTACTAAGTTAACTGAACTTTTGGCCACACTGTAGTAAGAATATACTTTCATTTTGATATATTACTGATTTTAGGCTTCAACAGCGATTAACTGTTGAAGCTAATTCCATTCTTGGGTTGTTACACCATGTGGATGTAGGTGAGGTTGCCAGCATTTTTGGGGTACCTGCTCCCTCCATCTTTGGGGTTGAAGGGTGTAAAGTAGGAGAGTTGCTGTGTATATACAGGATCATATTTTCAAAACACAACTTGGGAAGGAGGGTGGAGCAGGTTAGTGCCTCACTTGGGCCACTAAGGACAGTGAACCACGAAAACTGTGTAACTGGCCATTTGAATTGCCACCGAACATGCGCACGCACGCACGCACGCACACACACACACACACAAAAACCTGGCAACTAATATTCCCAACTGGTCACACATCCTAATGCTCACCAAGCATAATGTTGCTTCAACCTGCAACCGCTCACTAAGAATAAGGAGCTTACTTATTAACAAGCATTGTATTTAGACACAAGTTGCAAGATTTAAACTACATTCTTACATTTACAATGAGACTTAAGCCCATTCTTGCCATGCAAACATGATACAAACTTCTGCATTTTCCTGGAAATCTAGTTAGTTTCAACACTACAGCATTGCTTTCAAAATCTGATATTTGACAGAAAAGTCTGGCAATAAATTTAAAGTAGGAGGACCATGGACCCAAGCTTTAGCTAACATCAATAAGAGGCCTGTCAAAGGGGCATTGTGGGTTTTAAGAGCTAAATTCACATGGCAACTTTTTCTGACTGGAAGATGCTAATTATCTGAGACTTCATAAGTTTTGATCTAGGCCAATAAGAAAAGTATAAGGTGAGGCTCCCTGAGGGAAGCTGAGAGCTGTCAGCCCATTGTGTCAGAGCATCTCAGTTAAAAAAAAAAACTGTGGTCCTGACTTTCAAAGCATTCAGACACAAGATTCTGAGCTCCACTGGAGAAAAACTGTAAATCATTCAAGTCTACTGTGCAATTATTGGCAAAAGAAATGAAGTGTAAAAGTGTAACTTGTGAAGTGCAAAATTTCTGGAAAGTGAGTTATCAGTGTGAAATTGGAAGTGTAATAAATATTTACAAGAGAGTAATCAGAGTGTAATTCATCATCAGAACATTAATAAGTCATAGTACAGTATATCCAAGGTATCACTGGAGTGAGTGTGACTGCAACAATAAGGTTACATACACCCTGCCAGAGCGAGGACTGATACAAACCAAGAGAAGGGGGTTAGGCTTTACCCTGACACCTACTGGAGCTAGTCACCCCTGTCTGTATCCTATAAATCTGTAATCATTTTACTCTAGTGATTACTGGTGCCCACACTATTCTTTCTACCTTCCTGACCCATAGTTTAACACCAATGAAAACGGAAGGAAGTCAAAGATATAGCAGCACAAGCTCACCATTAAAGAATCACTATAGTTGGCACTATTAAAGTAGAATTAGTAAAGAACTAGCACAATACAAGTCCAACACGTGGTGACAGATACTATCAAACCTCACATCCCACCCCACTCATCATCCACACTAAAAAACTATTAAAACCTCCTATGCTGTGGGTTGAGTAGGCTTGAGATCACCATGGGTGAAGGGTAGTTTTCAGTGAAGATACAAAGGAAGAAACAAGTTGGGCTTAAGTGGTAGCCATCTTCTCTATTAAAGTTGCCATGCAGGTTGATTTCTACAGCTTTCTGGATAAATCTAGTGTGTAGTGGAGCAACTTGGCTAATGCCACAGCACCCTCAGAGAATATCCAGTGCCCCCTGTTGACAGAATGGTCTGATGCTGCCAAGTGTTCCAGATGGTACAGACAGAGAACCCTCTGGTGCTCCTTCTTGCATTCTTCAATTGTGAGGCCCATCTCTCCAACATTGACAGTCTCACATTTATATGACATCTGGTAGCTTTCTAGAGTTCTTAAATCCAAGGCTGTCCTTGAATGGTCTGAGAAGTGTGTGTGTGTGTGTGTGTGTGTGTGTGTGGTGAAAATATATGGTGGTGATGTACCATCACAATATTCCGCTGATGTGGTTGGGTAGGTTCTACATACATGGTATAAACGCTGAGTTCACAGCTTTCAGCCCTTTGCCTGTCTCCCTTGGCCTTCCTTTGGGCTGAAGCACTCTCCATGGACCTTAGAAGGGCTGGAGGCACAACATTACTGGTTTATTGGCCAGACAAGGCATCCCATCCCCCTCCTGATTTTATTAAAAACAGATTCCTATACACAGAAACTCACCCACTTCACACACTTTGAAATTCAAGATGGTGGCAGCATTTGCCTTCAAAACACTGGCTGGCATCATCAGCCACATCCACATGGTGTAAAATCCAAGAACAGAATTCACATTAAGACTCTGATACATTACCAAGTAGATTACTTTACTTTCAGATTTACTCTGTCTTTTATAGAGATATTCCAAACTTAAAGAAAGTGAAGAAACTAAAATATAAATAAACTCTATGAACAGAATAAGAAATAACAGCCATCATTAAACAACTTGTGCAATAAAGTGACTTAATGGGGAAATGCTGCTGTTGTTCCTATGTTGCAAAGTAACACTATGCTGTTCAAGTACAACCAGGCATCACTATATGAAATAACAGTACAGACAGTAACGCTTGCAGAGCTTCAAACAAACATGCTCTGCACCACAGTGACATGAAATTTTATTTAACATGGGCTGGCAGTATCACTTATTGTTTTACAATGTACTGGACAAGTACTATTATTCACTTTTACTTTTTGTGTTCTCTTTATAGTGCAGGAACACAATGCTGAACAAGAACACACCGGCCATCATGCTGAATGCACTCACATAATATGGATATGCACTTGGAATGAAACGCTCATATTCTGTATGTTGTAGTGGTCGTACAGAAACCTGAAACAGGTAAAAAAAAGTAATAATTTATAAAATTTTACATATTTCATCAAAGTTAATATAAACTATGATCAGTTTGTGAAGATAACATGAATTTTTTCAAAGTAATCTGTATCATGTAAGATTTTAGGTTTTCACAGCGGTGACTATGAAGAAGGCAGCCTTCTGGGATTTGGTACCGTGTTAACCGACATTTCGGAGGAACGTATCGCCTCCATCTTCAGGGTAGAAGGAAAAGTATAAGAAATCCGCAAGCGAAGAGACCATGAGAACCGGTAAAAGCAGACTGCGATACTGCAGACTGCGTATGCCAATAGGCTATATGCAGCACAGGAATTATCACTTTTCCCACAGTAGATTTCTTATGTTTGGATTAAATCACTATTAAACTATTTAAATTTAATTCAAATTGTTGTAAGTCGTTGTTGGTTGTCATTTCTTCCCGTGGATGGAAGTCGTCATTCTTGGTGGTGTGTGGGCTTATAAGCGTTATGATGTTAGGTGTGTGCTGTACAAAGGACACAGCACACACCTAACATCATAACGCTTATAAGCCCACACACCACCAAGAATGACGACTCCCATCCACGGGAAGAATTGACAACCAACAACGACTTACGACAATTTGAATTAAATTTTAAATGGTTTAATAGTGATTTAATCCAAACATAAGAAATCTACTGTGGGAAAAGTGATAATTCCTGTGCTGCGTATAGCCTATTGGCATACTCAATTATTTTACATGTTTATGTTTTTATATGACGAGTGCTGTCATAACTAAAACCTATGACAATAATACGAAACATACATTTGTGAATAACATAACTGAAAGTGAACATCAAACCAGCTTAATTAACAGTGTCTCCTGCCATATGAAAAGTGCCTCTGATAATGGTTTTAATTAAACCGAAACATGTAAGGCAAGAATAATAAAAGTGACGTGACCTCTATTGCCGCACTGGACAGAAAATTCTATTAACTTTCTTCCTTATCCAACAATCACTCACCCTCCTGATCACACCCAAAACCTTGATTCTTTACAGTTTTTCAACTATTCATACATCCCTTCATCTTCACCAGCATAGATAATCAAGAGTATACTGTGCATAACTTCTCTGGACATAAAGGAAAAGTTCTGTCACTATCTCTAGCAATGCTAACTGCTTCCATATTTTATTAAGGTAGAGACAATGTAATACAACATACACTCCACTGCTGCATGTTACACAGCCGTTACCTAGCAAAGGCCGTTTCTCTAGCTCCACAGTTCTTGCTTTGAGCAAAAAGCCACATTATAATAAGAGCAGAACCTGGAACAAGTCCATTTGCTGGTAGTGCAGGTGGTGTATGAGTGTGTCATGATTCCAACAGAATAATATACAGTAATATGACATATCTCTTGCACTTCCAAACTAAAATCTGGAAGTCAGATACTGATCTCGAATGCCTACCCATTCAAAATTCCTGAAGACATCAATTCCTCACAAATGCAGATAATTCAGACTACTGCCAAATATTTACCATTTCTAAATCATGAAATTTGTTTTAACACATTTTGGGCAAAAGTTAAAACATGTACTTGGTTGGGTACAAGGGCAACTCAGCAAGCAGCCCAGCTCACTAGCAAAAGAATAAAATTTGACATAGAGTTGGTGAATCACATTTTAAGTATACTCAAATCTCAGTTAAATCAAATACATGAGTATGGAGCTCAACGCACAGCTACAACATATTCCTATTTGCAAGCAAGCAGTATATTGGCTATGAATGGTTACCATCCCTCCTCACCTGTGTGGTACTAAAGAGGTGCGTGTATCCAACACGATTGTAGTCCACCTTGAACTGGTACACGCCATACACATCTGGTATCTTGAATCGTGCTTCATATTTACCACCTTGCTTTCTCTTGAGTGTCATGCGCACAAATGGATCAATACGAACAAATTCAAGCTGTACATCGTCTGCATCATATGGAACCCAAGTCCCTCTCTGCAGCTTCTCTATCTCAATTGTGTATACCTGCAACAATTGAAAATAATTAGGTAAGAATAATTGGAATTATATGGAATGTTTTATTTGTAACAAATGAGGGGAGCCAGGATAGCACAGTAGGTGTATTGCCTGGCTACAAGCTGGACAGCTGAGGAGTCACAGTTAAAGTCCTGGTGGGGACAAGACTTCTCTCCTCTCCATGTCATCCAGACTGGTTCTGGGGCCCACCCAGCCTCCTGTCCAGCTGGCTCATTCCCAGGGTGGGAGTAGGGATAAAGCAGTCAGGGCATGAAGCTAACCACTCACCTCCAATTAGTGCCAAGGTCAAGAATACATCGATCTATACTCCATGGCATAGTGCTTAATTAGTTAAGCACAGGGGCACTTTGCTTAACTATAATTTATGATAGAAGGAATAATTTTGCATAGAACATAAAATGATACTTCATTGTAAAGGTTCTTTCTTTAACTCTCTGAAGGATGAATTTCTTCTAAATAATAATTAAAACTTCAGTTCTTCCCTCTCAGGAAACACAATGTGTCTTCATTTTAAAGACCAAATGATTAATTCAGTTTACGAAAACAGTAGCTCTTCATTCTGAGTCATAAACACACATAAATAAACCCTACAGGCATAATACACAGTTTTTCATGTCAAGCAGGTGATACATACAGTAACCACTATGCCGTACAGGGTTAAACGAAAATAGCATTTATGTTCATGTGCCCTCGGTAGTTCTAAGTTCAGCAATAATTTCCCGTTAATTACACAAGGTCTAGAATAAAGGTGAAATAATTCTGTACATATGAGGAAATTTAAACAGCACATACTATGGCAAATCAATACACAAAGGAGGTAGAGATAACAAATTCCAGATTGCTGAGACAGTGCCTTCCTATTCTCTTTAAACTGCGAACTAGACTGAAATAGGACTAGAATTGAAATAAATCTTGAATTTCATATCACCGTGTCAGCCCCAATATAAGGCAAGGTTTCATTTCATATACTTTTATTAAAAAAAGAGGAGTCACCTCATTTTTGGGTCCTTAAGAAGTTGACACTAACTTAAACACCTAGAATTATATATAAGGCATTATATTTCAAATTTATTATTTGTCAGTAGAATAGTTTTTACATCCTTTTGCTTACAACCCTAAAAAATAATGACATATTCACTTTTGCCAAACACCTCCCGCCAATTTCTCATTGGAAACACAGGGGGGAACCTTATATTCAGGTTTATACAGTATATTCCTGTCTCCAGATGCTTTCTATAACATAATTGACTTCAAACATAACAGACAAAATGTGAATGATGATCATAAAAATTTCTGGACAACTATTGAAGTTTAGAAATGCCTGGAATCAAACTTACACAATTTCTAATACCTTTTAGAACGTCTTTTCAGATCTGGCTTTTATTTAGCCATTCCTTATTTTCTATTTTACAAAGAGAGAAATGAAGAAAGAAATGAAGGAGAGCGAGAGACAGAAATTGGATAATTTTAAATCTATACATATACAGATCAACTGTACCACTTGACATTGCATAATACATAATGCAAAAAATATGTTACACTCTGAACACTACTACACTTACAGAAATAAAAATGCAATGCATATTCTTTAAACCGACATAATACAAAATCTAACAAACAGATTCACTCCAAATCTTCAGTGCTCACCTTAGTAGTACTTTAGTGAATCCTGACATACTCACCTCTGTGGCAAGAAACCTGATATCCTAGCCACCATACTTTGAGAGATGAAGCAACTGTTGTCCCTCAAAGTGTCCATTTCTTTTGTTTCTATTCAATTCGCTGACACAATGTTTGGTTGTTACACGATACATAGAAACAGAAAACTGCCCTCCCCCACGAACACGTTACATAGATAATTATTTCAGACTCTTTCTTCATGGTACTCACAACTGTCTCCATTATAGTATAAGCTTGTGGTGGGCTGGTCTCTCCAGGACGGTGATGGGAAACAGACTTCACTCGTAACACTCCATGTTCCTTGAACACCCACTGGCTGAGGGCAATAGCCACTTGCTGATTGCCTGACACATCATACTTTTTCCCACCCTACAGAATATAAATCACCATTAAGCTGAGCTGAAATCTTGTGGTATACAGAAAGGATAAAGAATGAGAGATGAGAAGATGAAACAGGGGGGAAACAGAAAGGGTTTGAAGATTACTATCTTCAGAGGTGTGACATCATATAATATGGAACAGAGGTAAGAAAATTTTGGTGAAACATGCTGCCTCCATCATCAGGGTATCATTTAGTCTAGAGTGAAGGTCAAGGCAGCAGGTTCCTCTGAAATGTTGGTACTCATCTGCCATACTACACTGAGCCACAACCCAAAACACAGCAATCTTCAGTCACTACATGACAAAAATGTCACCAGCATGTTTCAGTAAAAAACTCAGTTTATTTTTTCAAATGCCTGTATTCCAGACGGGATATATCTAATGTAGGATTCCCATTTGTCCTGTTTTTTTATATTATGTCCCACTGTCCCAGTTTTATTTCAAATGTTCCCCTTTTAAGTGCTCTTCAGTAACATTAATTTCTATTGATAACTGCTCGGTAACGGATGCTATTCTCTGCAATTGGCATTTCTTTAACAATATTGACACTCCTGGTGGCTAATCCACAAAATACAATTTCACAAATTATTAGTCTTTCTGCTGGCAATGTGTCTCTTTTTCCAATTTTGTTGGTAATATTTTGATTTGCTTCCATAATGGAAGTTCTGTTTGTATCATTCTCTCCATTCAGCTCCTTTTTGTGTGTTTAAATTTTTCACATTATTAATTTTTTATCATGTCCCATTTTTTGCCAAATGTCCCAGTTTTTGAAAGACAAATGGAAACATCCCATTTTTTTAAATATTATGGGAACCCTAATCTAATATGAACTATATGGTAATAGTTAGAAGTATGAATGCAGACAAAAGTCATACCTAAAAGTGCGACAACAATTAAATCTCGCTTTGAGGTTTTCATGGCAGTGAATATGAACAGAATATCTTCTGGAATGTAACACTGTGTAGTTCTGAGCACAAGCTAAGCTTGCTGCCTGCTTCTCCCAGTTTCTTGGCTTACTCTGTGACCCCAAAGATGGTGATATGGTTCTTTGGAATGTTGGGCTTCCTCCAAACTACATGGTGTTACAACCCAGAAGACCATATTCTCACTATTTAAATTACATTTGTAATGTTTAAAACAAAATCAGCATATAACTGAAACCATTCTGCCTAAAAACATAAAAATTAGAATATACAAAACTATAATTTTACCTGCTGTTCTGTATGGGTGTAAAACTTGGACTCTGACATTAAGGGAGGAACACAGACTGAGGGTATCTGAGAACAGGGTGCTGAGGAGAATATTTGCACTGAAGAGAGACAAAGTGACAAGAGGTTGGAGAAAACTGCATAATGAGGATCTTCATAATTTGTACTCTTTGCCAAGTATAATTTTAAAGATCAAGTCAAGGAGGATGCGATTGGCAGGGTATGTAGCATGAATGGGGGAGAAGACGAATGCATATAGGATATTGGTCGGAAGACAATATTAAAATGGATAATAGAGAGATAGGTTGAGATGGTATGGACTGGATCAATCTGGCTCAGGATAGGGACCAGTGGAGGGCTCTTGTGAACACAGTAATGAACCTCCGGATTCCACAAATAGCTGCACAATTGGCAGCTTCTCGAGAAGGGTTCAGCTCCATGAGTGAGTGAACTGCTACCAATTAAACTGTATATATAATTATGCACAAATCACTAACAGGAACTGATATATGAAAAGAGCAATATGGCATCTGTTCTTTAAAAAAAAAAACTTATAATCGTGTATCAGTAAGCCCCATAAGAGGTAGTGGAAATGTGAATATTTTCATTAAATGATACATCTAAGACTCTCTTAAATGTAAGAGTACGAAGCAGGCTGACAAAGTAGTAACACTCTAGAATTCAGATGGCCCCAGTTCAATTCTGCCAAGGTTAGATTACCAAGAAAGTTGATGCAGTGGTAATACTATAATATTCAGGAGGCTCTAGTTCAATTCTGGCAAGGAAAGGTTACCAGGCAGGCTAAAGCAATGGTAAAACCCTAGACTTACATTCAGAAATCATTCTCGGACACACTACTGACTATTCTGGCCGAGGTTCTGTGTGTCTTTATAAGTGAATGCTGAGGTACTACCTTCAAAGTGTCACAACTACCCCCTTTCAAAATTTTTACCAATGTACATTTCACAAACATTATTCAGCCTCACTGAATGCTATAAGGCATATGCAGTTGATAGACATTGTAATGTGTCGTGCCATTGATATGAAATGACAGCAAGAAGGAACAAGCATTGCTTGGTATTGGCTCAGTAAACACATTCCCACAGAAATGATATCCAGACTATCGCTAGGCAACTGCTCATAAAAACAGAAGAACTGCTGGAGGTGATGTTTTTTGTTGGGTCTGCCCCAAGGCTATACAGCAAGGATCCCAGGCTGGATGAGTGCAGTTCAGTTGTCATTTTCAGTTGAGCTCTGCAAGGGAGCCTGAGAAGAGATGGCACTATAGTTAAGTTGACAAGTGACAAATGTTCTACAAGGGAAGCTGTGACAAGAGAACCTGAATGCAGGAAGCTGAAGAACCTCCACTGTTAGAAGCCTATTCTAGGTAACAGCTGGTGATGAAAGCAGGCTGGAAAATGCTTAGTGGGTGCTGTTGTTATTTGTGAAGTGTGGAGTTACTGACAACACCATAATTACTTGCAGTTCCAAGTGGTGTGTACAAGTATGTCAATAAATCCAATATCCAATCTATACCCTGTGGTTAAGGTACTATGCTACAAGCCGGAAGGTCGCGGGTTCAAGTCCCAATGAGGTCATTGGATTTTTTTCAATTCACCTAATCCTTCCGGCTGCACTAGGCCCTGGGGTTTACTCAGCCTCTAACAGAAATGAGTACCAGGAATTAATTAAATAATTTTCCTGGGGAGTGAAGCGCGGCCGGCGCGTAACGCTGACAACTTTACCGCCATCTTTGAGCCGACTGCCAAGGTAATGTGGGACCCTTAACATCTCACAACCCTATGGGCCTTCACGGCCTGTTACAGGGATAGCTTTACTTTACCTACTTTTACTTTTACCCTGTTAGAGAGGGGCTTGCAATAGCATAGTTGGTTGAGGCACCATGCTACAAGTCGGAAGGTTGTGGGTTCGATTCTCGATGAGGTCCCTGGATTTTTCAATTGACCTAATCCTTTCAGCTACAATATGGCCCTGGGGTCGACTCAGCCTCTAAAAGAAACGAGTACCAGGAATATTCTGGGGGGGGGGGTTAAGGGTGGCCAGTATGTAAGACCGACAACCTTACCACCATTAGCGTGTCAACTGTCTAGAAAACGTGGGAGACTTGACACCCTACAGGCTTCCATGGCCTGTTACAGGGATAACTTTACTTTTACCCCTAAATACATGATAATATTATTAAATGATTCACGATCATGAATCTAGATTGTAGTATATATGAGCACTTTCTATATACGTACCAGTACTTTTTGAACAGGAGATGTAAAAGCTTCATCAGAAAAGAAGTACAGCGAACCAGAGAAGACGACACGTGCATTGTTCCTGGCTTGCAGAGCAGCAATCAGTAGTGTATTACGACCCACAGCATGTGGATACTGAAAGAACACCATAAATGTTACATTCCTTGTGCAATAAAAATTGTATACTATTATAACTCATGTTCTGAAAAGAATGCAAATAGCCTATACAGAAGAATATCACATATTTCAGTCACACATTTAAATTTGTCAATGACATAGGAACACTCTCCTTCTATTCATGTCTGAGGGTTTCCACTACATTTTTTGCAACACCATACCTCAACTCATAATCCATGCCATCATGTAATTCTGACACCCTCATTTTCTATTGCAGAAAGTAATAAATCCCCATACACAGGTAGATTCTAAAGGGTTCTGATGATGGTATATAACACTTAGAGTTAATGGGGTTTTTGGACTTTGTCCATTATCCAGTAACCTAACAAACACAGTGTTTTGGAAACTGGGCCTGTTTCCATCCTGAGATGAAGGGGTGGGTCACACGTACTTTGTCAGGTCTGGTAGATAGAGCTAACCTCAATCACTGGACAGGTCCAGTGACAGGTCAGCTCTTTTATCATAGTCAATGTGAATATGAAAATTCAACAATATAGGAGCCCTTCAAACATGCTACAAACACAAAATTCCAATTCTCTTGAAAAAGGTGTCATCATCTTTATTAAGTTCAGTAGTTTATGGAGATTATGCCCCTAAATGAAACTGCGCAGATTGTACCATCAGGAAAATACTGCTACGCCTGCTAATAGCCCAAATGCAGAACATACATTTTATCAGATACAGCTCCAATTCAAATTAAATTCCAACAATTTACGGAGACCATCTCCCTAAATGAAACTGCACAGGTGGTATTTTTAGGAAGATAATGGTACATCCTCTAGGAGCCCAAACATGTACATTATGTACATGTACATATGTACAATGTCTTTGTACAGATTTTTTTACTTTGTACACAGTGCTTAAAAATACCTATCTCTTCTTACAACTTAACTCTATATATGGTTGGCGAACTTTCTTTCTTTCTTTCTTTCTTTCTTTTTTTTTCAAAAAAATACTTCATTCTTACAGTGTAGTCGAGTGGAGAGATAATTCTGCAAGAGAGTTCATTTTCATAGACATTCTCATGGTACTCACAAAAGCTGTTGATCACATACACAAAATTAAATCAGGAAAAATTAATATATCCCCCCCCTCCAATCTGGGAAGAATTAATCACCTACTTTCCTTGCACTATAATTTTAGTATCTGATACAACAAGTAGAGACAAAACTTTAGTATTGGTATTACGGATGAGATGGAGTTATGATGTATGACATTGAGATGGTCTCCGATGGTCTACGTACAAAGTTTCATGAAGGTTGGTTTGGGCCTTTATGTAATATTATTACTTTGGCAATCTGACAGGTTTCACTGTTGGTATTATTAATGCGAAGGATTTATAACAACTGCCACCGAGATGACCTCAGATGGCATTACACATACATACCAAGTTTCATGATGATCAGTTCAGGAATTCAAGTAACATTAAGCGTATTACCTCAATAATTTGAAGAAGCTGCAGTGTTGGTACTACTGGTGAGAGGGATTTCTTAAGTACACCACTGAGGCTGCTTCAGGTGGCATGATATATGAATACATAGTCTGCTCACAGTCGGTTCAAGCATTCAAGCAATATTAAGGTTGTCTCAGAAATTTGTGAGGCTGCAATGTTGGTACAACTGAAGGGAGGGATTTATGAAGTATGCCACTGAAATGGCTTCATGTGGCATGACATATACACACAAAGTTTCATGAAAATTGGTATATGTGTTCAAGAAATATTAAGGTTTTGCCTCAGAAACCTGAAAGACTGTAATGACAGTATTACTGATGGGAGGAATTTGTGGTGTTCACCACTGAAATTGGGTCAGGTAGTGTGACATACCAAGTGTCATAAAGATTGGTTCAGGCATTCAAAACTTGTTAGTGGGGGGAATTCAAAAAGAAAATATGTGGTTTCAGGCCGCAAGCGAACTATACCGACCGAGTGACCTCCGCTTGTCAGCGAAATTAGTGCCAATTTTAGCAGATGGAGGGTGTGGCGTGGTCAGCGCAATGAATCCCCATGGCCATTAATTTCGGTTTTCAGGTATACAAATACAGAAACACATATACACAGCAAGAAAGGTGATTCCATATGTCTATTATTATTTTTTTTTTCAAAATAAGGAAAATAAGCTGACCAATAAACATTAAAGGCTCCATACTCGAGAACGAGGAATGAACTGTATCCTCTGATACAGAAATTTACCTCCTTGATGGGTTCATCAGGAACATATGAGTAGGCAGAGCTGTGTGCAGACAATATTTGAAGTACCAATGGGTTGTCTCTATCAGCCACTAGTCCTGTGCCCTGGTATAGAAGTGGTGGCACATCATGGGTACCAGTAATCACTGCTGCCTCAATTAGGTTTGAAGGTTCAGCCACTATAAGGGTATGCTGTAATATAATTGTGAATCATTATTATGGTTCCCCCCCCCCATTATTCAATTTTCTCTGGAATTTGTAACACCAAACCAATATGCACAGATGAAATTAATGACTAATACATGAAAAAATGCATATCCTTAAAAAGAACTGCTCAACCAACCACACATGCTCAAAGTGGATGCTATATGCAGAAAGAAAATACAAATTATTACTTAACGTAATCCTTATGTTCATTCCAATCACTGGTAATCTGTACGGATATATAAAAACTATGAGAACCATATAAAGGGGTCACGCTGTAGCGTAGTTGGTTGAGGGGCTATGCTACAAGCCGGTAGGTCGCGGGTTCAAATCCCGACGAGGTCATTGGATTTTTTTCAGTTGGCCTAATCCTTCCAGCCACACTAGACCCTCGGGTTTACTCAGCCTCTAACAGAAATGAGTACCAGGAATTAATTAAATAATTTTCCTGGGTAGTAAAGCGTGGCCGGCGCGTAAGGCTGACAACCTTACTGCCATCTTTGAGCCAATTGTCTAGAGAGTGTGGGACCCTCAACGTCTCACAACCCTATGGGCCTTCACGGCCTGGTACAGGGATAGCTTTACTTTTACTATGAGAACCATATAAATATGAATCCTTTTTATTTACTTTATAAGTCTGTGGCAGACAGTGAAAATGGCAGGCATATTCACAGTAATTTATTTAAAGTACACACCTTGCCTAGATCATTGACATCATAATTGAGATGATCTATGACAGATGCTCCTTCCTCATCTACCTCAAAACCAACCTCAGATGCCAGTTCTCGTAGAACATCTCCAGAATTAGAGCTTCCAGCAACAAGAACATTGCCTGTGGAAAGAAATGTTTATAATAATGTGGAAAGTTATATGTATTCAAATTATATACTCTCATTCCATTTAGTCCACTTACCTCCACCATCAATAAATTCTGTTATGGTTTCAACACTAAGTGAGCCACCAAATTCCTCAACTGAAGGTGCAAAAATAATTAGGTGCTCATATAAAAATTCACCATATTTTGAGAGGACAAGATTTGCATCATCAGCTGATTTAAAAGTAAGTGAATAGTTCCTTTCTGCAAACAAGAGGAAAACTGGATTAATAACATGCATTTTCTGAAACTGTGACATAATATATTATCAGTTAGTCTGTCATATAGGGGGACAAGTTTCTGGTGGTACTCAATGATATTTAAATATTCCTACAACTGCACAATTCGCAATACAGATTAGTGATTCATGTTTGCGATGCAATGCAAAGACCAATATGTTGTGGGCATACTAATATAAGAAATCATTAAATTCAATGTCAGCACCTGATGGTATATGGACTCAGTACTGCAAGCATCATTAAATAACCCACAAAAAAAAAATCAGCGCATACAATAGGAAATATGCAACTTCTAACATTAGTGTAAAGTCGCCCACGTGCTTAATTAATTAAATACCACACCATGAAGACTTATGGGGGAGTGGAGATATAGCTCCAGCATTCTTGATCTCGCCACTTGATGGAGGTGTGTGTTCAGTTTCACGCCTCGGCCGCTTTACCTCCGGTAACCAAGGAGTAGGAGGCAAGGTGGTCCCGAGAACTGGTATGGACGCTGTGGCGTAGAAACATATCTTACACCGCCAGGAATCGAACCTCGGTCATGTATCCCGTCGCTATACCGGCTACATCTAATATACGTATATCCAAGAAGACCGGCACAACTTCAAAACCAACCTTGCAAAGACTTAAAGAACATCGAATGTGTTTCCTTAATTGCAAGATTATCAAGCAGCACTAACGTTTCTCCCCCAGCATTTACAACAGAAATAATCCCAACAAATATAACCAATAACTTCCACAGATTCTCACACTTCGCCATATTTTAACACATTGCCACCGTCAACACCGGTCAACACGTTGGCCAATCATTATTGGTGGGGTTGTACGTCATCTGCGGTGTTAACAGAAGGAACAGAAATGTGTATCCGGTTCGCTTGAATTTCCGCCATTCAATCGTTTAGTGCGGTTGGATTGGTTTGTAGTCTGAGTGAAGGATCAAAAGATTCGAAGGATTGGTGTTTCAGTGATCTTTTTTGTGACTGAAGGCAGGATAATGAGTGAGGTGCCATGTATAAGTTACATGGCACTATACATCCTTTCATTTCACATACTTCAAAGCAATTCAAGAACCTCAACTTTATGGAAACTGAACATCGAAGAAGACAAAATCGTGGAAGCCAGTCACTTTCCCAGGATTGTCACCTTGGCAGGGATGTCTAATGAGCATGTTACAGATGGTGATCAAATATTTAATATTATAACATCAACGATACATTATGGAAAAACTTGGACAAAACAAAGCTTGGAATACTACTGTACAGACTGCCAAGCCATAAACTACGGCATAAATGATAAGTAAGTTCAGTTTTGTAAGTTTCAGTGTAGCAGGTATGAGGTTAGAGTTAATTTATAATTTAAAATTTATATGTTTACTCTGTACTTGTTCCAGGTTTGGAAGCAAACCTTTAGAACGGGTGAACAACAAAACTAGTGTATTTCAAAGTGGATGGAATTCGAAAACCAGTGCTTCTGAAACCACAAATCAAGTCGTTCGTGAAAGTGATGAATATTTAGACTGTGGAAAATCAGTAAATTTTACATATTATGATAATCTGGTTGGAGTAGCAAATAGACATAATCATCCACATGTACCTGAACCTCAAGTAGCCATGATATTTAAAAAGAAAGGCACAAAGAATACAGAATTTGACGTGAATGCACTAGAAAGAAAATTAAAGAAAGCAAAGAGAGAGGTCTGTAACAATTGTATGTTTTAATTAGGTTTCGAGAGAATTTATCCCTAGTTTTAAACAGGAGAAAGTACTGTTTTACTGAATATGTTGTGTACATCATTGTATGCCTCTTTTCTAGAAACCCAAGTCAATCCAGCTTTATAACCAGATAGGGAATTTCTGGAGAATAAAAGGTGATGCTCAGAAATCAATTGAGTGTTTCAGGCGAGCACTTGCAGTTTCTCCACATAATGCAGAAGTGAGTAATCAGTTCATTACAACAGTGATCCAATTTGTGGATGGTGTTTTGTGTGTGTTCATTAATCAACAGTTGGTGTGAAAGATCAGATTGTGGTATGGTTCTCCATAAGCTAAGCTAATCAGACCTAACTACAAAGGAGGACTCGCACGTGATCTAAAAAAATGTCCCCCAAACATGAAGTGGGGGTGCCTACACCATGATCTTCAGCTTTAACTGATGTGTTCTTTGTTGTTTATATTAAGGAATACTGCACATTTTAGCAAAAGCTTTATTTTTTATGTATGTTTCTTTACCAATTCAACTGTGTGATCAGCAAGATGTAGGTAACCCTGTTGAGGGAGTACTCCTGTCCTTATGGGTATTGTATAGGTATGTACCTTCTATGGTGATATTCTGCGAGGGACTTCAACTTTGGATGAAATTAGAACATTTTTATGTCACAGATAACCAGTGCATCCAAACAATAGAGGTCTTATTTTTGGAACATACTGTGTCACCGATAAATATTATGTTAGGTTAATTTACTTTACTTGTTATGTCTAGGAATATAAATACACAAGATCCAAATTGTGAAATAGAAAACATGGGTGTTGAGTTTTTCACGTATGCAGAGGTACATGTAATGAAAAAAAGTGTTTTTTGTGACATCCTTTTTTCTGTGCTTTCACCCATATATTTTCTTTTTAGGTTCTGCTAAATTTGGCCAGGGTGTTATTTAACTTACAATACCTAGATGATGCCATCTATCTCACTAGAAGGTCTCTTGAAGTTCAGCCACCAGATAAGAATGCTTGGCAGCAATATTTTACTCTAGGAGAAATATTCAAGGTATTGGTACATAATTTTATGCATTTTAGCTACTTGTCAAAAGCATGGCTTCAAAATATAATTTACATACTGTACTGAATTCATTGACCTAGTTCAACGTGTAGGCCATGATTATTGTGACATTTAGACTGATTTTCTTGTTGAGTATAGGGATCTGGTGAGTAGCATGAGGATTTTCGTTATTTCAGTGTCACTCATAACTTCTTGGATATTCAGTTATAGAATTTTTCTTTTCAAGAAATTCTCAACTACGGACACACTGTCCAGTAATGTATCTGGACACACAAAAAGAATACTCACAGCCAACAGCCTATGATTTGTGGGAACTGCCCACAGTCAAGCAAATGTGACGACGCAAACGTCATTGCTTAGCAACAACGTCATTGCTTGACTGTGGGCAGTTCCCACAGATTGATTGCCTTGTCACGGTATCCTCTTGTTTCAGCTTTCCTTAGCATGAGAGAACCAAACAGCTGCTGTTGTCTTCCAAACAGGCAGTAGTGAGGGCACAAATAGAGGGATGAACCATTCTTTCCATCTGCACATATAGAACTTGGTATAATGAAGTCTTCTTGAATGCTCAATCATTTGAATGTGGTAGTATTTGATGTGTCAGATACCGTCTTCATCTCCATCATATGGGATTGATGTGATGAGCATCATGGCTGCACATTATAGTCATGGCCACAGAATATACTCTCTGCTGTCCCACCATGGACCACCGAGGGAACAGTCAGTGGTGTCCTGTCCAGGCATTGATGACTGAGGGAATGGGACAGACGCTGGCAGTCAGTCATGACAGTCTGTGTTGTTTGTTCCTAGTCCTTTATTCCACAGTTCTTTCACCAGCACACACCAGGAGAGCAAAGAGCATACTTTATGAGTGCAAATGCAGCATGTATCCATGTACATGTATCTTCATCTCAGTCCCTGATGATGAAGATGGAGACACTCTCTGAAACTGCAAATACTAGCTCCATATTCATACGGCTGATCTCACAAGAAGACTTAATTGCATTCAGTCAATTCATATTGTACATAATTTGATGTATTTATAGCATTAAAAAATAAAAATCATAAACTTATTGTCAGAAATACTGCAGGTAGTATTGATCAAAATATTTGGAATTATCTCACAGTTTACATTTTATATAATTTGCTGCAGCTCTTCTAAATAGGATTCTATAAGCCTTGCTACAAAATAATTTGGATCTAAAATAATATGTGTAGAGATAATATGAAAGAAGGGATGTGTTGTTCCCGGATTAGCATGACTGGAACAGGTCTTACAGCCCAGTGTACAACCAGAACAGGCCTCTTAACGTATGCCTTGGTGCTGATGGTGATGTATCATTATTTGTAGGTTTGTGTATTACTGAATGCAATGTTTACGTGTTTCAGGCTTATGGTCATTACCAAGAGGCATCACTTCACCTCCGGCATGCCCTGGAACTGAAGCCAGAGTTTGAACCAGCTCTTGCAGCACTTAAAGACATGGAATCCTTACCAGACACAACTATTCATATTTATACTCTGCTAATCATCATATGTCTGGTATGACTAACAGCATGGTTCTTAATAAAGAGTTATAAATTATATAAACTCGTTTTGTGTTTGTACATGCTTGTTCATTAACATTTATTTTGATAAGTTCTTTGATGCTACTACGAAACCCTTCCTTTACCCAGCACCATGGATTTTCCATGCTTGTAAAAACAGCAATGCATGATATGTTTGGCTATGAGTCAGTTGGCAACACTGAATGTTCTTCCATTTGTTTACAATCTGTAGTGCTCGTATCAGTGCCTTAATGATTGTGTTGTGTGACAGTCTGTGTGAAAGAATCAGAAAATGGGAGACTTATCCAATTTTGAAAGAGGACAGATTGTTGGTGTGTGTTTAGCTGGAGCATATATAACAGAAACTGTCACATTATTAGGTGTACTGAGAGCGACAGTTTCTAAGGTTATGTCGGCATACACAACTCATGGGAAGATAACATTAGCAAAGAGGAACAGTGGGTAAAAATCAACACTGACATAAAGAGATCATCATCCATTGAGAAGGACTGTTTTGAAAAATCACAGAACTACTGCAGCACAGGTGACAGTAGAACGGAATATGTGTTCAGCTTGAAGACCCTGTTTCCACAAAAACTGTCTGATGTGAGCTTCACAAAACCTACATACATGGTAGGGCTGAAATCACTGAACCCATGATTACTGAAAGTAATGCTCAGATGCATAAACGATGGTGTCACAACCATAATACCTGAACATCTGAACACTGGAAAAACACGGGATATGGTTAGATGAGTCATCCTTCATGCTGTTCCTTACATCAAGAAGAGTTTACATTTGGAGAGAACACTCACGGAAGCCTACAATCTGGAATGCCTGGTTCCAACAGTGAAACACAGAGGAGGTTCTGTAACAGTTTGGGTAGCAATATCATGGTATTCTATTGGTCCCAATATTACCCTTCATGGCCGAATTACTGCAAGAGAGTATGTGGACAGTTGGGTAATCAGGTGCATGCCACGATCCAGACGTTATTTCTGAACAACGATGCAGTTTTCCAAGACAATGCCCCCATTCACACAGCTGGAACTGTTCAGTCTTGGTTTGAAGAGCATGAAGGTGAACTTCAGCATCTTCCCTGGCCAGCACAATCACCACATTTGAACGTCACTGAATCACTCTCTGGTTTGTTTTGGAGACTACAGCAAGGAACAGATTCCCATCTTCAATATCTCTAAAGCAACGTGAAGATGTTGTTCAAGAAGAATGGTACAGAATTCCACTAGAAACTGTTCAAAATATGTACAAGTCCATTCCAAGAAGATAGTGACTGTACTGAAGGCAAAAGGTGAACCAACGCCATATTAATAAAGAAATGTGTTAGATTTTATTCATACTCAGTTGTTCGTAGTTTATCCATCCCAGATGGCTGTCTAATGGATCTGAACAGTCCAGCTCCTAAAATTTGGAACCTTAAGATGGCATCAAAAACACAATGGAAATTTCCTTGAAAATGATTCTGTTTTGATTAGATTTCAGTAATTTATGGAGACTATCCCTAAATAAAACTGCATAGGTGCTATCTTCAGGAAAATAACACTACATACACTAGGGGTAAACACATAATGTCAACTTTTTCAAAGTGGCTTTATCAGTCAGATTTCACTGATGCTTCGTATTCAGCAGCCAACAATGGTCTGCTGAACAACAGATAGTTTCGTTTCCAAGGTAATAGTCAAGATCAATTGCATATAAGAAAGTGTGCAATGTTTTTTCACTGATTTTTTTAAATTTCAATACTGTATTCAAATTTTGGGGCAACCAGATCTCCTTTATAACCTAAGATGATAAATTCAAATATATAAATAAATATATATATATATGCCAAAAACTTCACATAAAATATGAAAAGTGATTCATCTGAACCCAGTTCTTTTACTTTATAAGACAGAAGTGTCCGTGTCCATGTGGCTGTCTCTCCCCGTTTCCAGTTACTTTCAAACCAACTGGCAGATTTCCATTAAATTAAGTATGATCATGCCAATGGAATCCACACTGTCAAATATGTCCACTGCACCACATCAGTACTTCTCAAAATATGACAGTATCCACTTACAGTTACTTCTACAGGAACATTACTGCACCCTGACGCAACTTCAGCCTACTACTTCAAAACCCTTACTTTTATTACTCCTAACAACCTCACCGAGCTTTGCAACAGAAAACAAAAAGACTTAAACATACAACATAAAATACCAAAACTGTAAAATTTATCTTGGACTAGGAGAGTGCACCTTGAACAAAAATATATTATATAATAAATTAAAATAAATATCCCAGTACTACAGATTATTATAAAAACATCTAAGAAAATTAAAAACATTCTGCATATGACAGGCACAACTTTACCAACATACATACTCATATATATTTTACTGTTCACTGCATTAGTGTGGATTTTTAATTTATGTGTGTTACACTTGATGAAGACTGCATAGCAGTGGAAACATGCAGTGTGGAACAAACGATAGGATTTCAATACAGTTTGTGTGACTGCTAACCCAAAAACCATGAACGAAGGACACAAACAGGATGCAATCTTATATTACAAAAAGTGCATTTAGTAAGAAATAGCCTTTAAAGGGATAATATAACAGCTCTTAATTACAAGTAGCTTTACTGTATAACCATGACACTGACAAAGCTATGTATATGTAGGTACTTGGAGTGCTGTTAGTGATCTTGTCCTCTGTGGATGGGAATTTGGAATCAGACTTCTCAGAGGTGAAGACTCAGCGCCATTTCAACCGTGCCATGGCCATGCGCAGTCTCAAGATGGGCATATCACCTCGAGCCCTCCGAGCCAAGCGTTATGGTGGAACAGGGGGTGGAGGTGGCAGCTGTGGGTGAAACAAACTTGTCATATGGTTATTTGTAGCACCACAAGGATTTCAAAGTTGTTTTCAGATATTACAGTAACATATGACAGTATGTTATTTCTACCAGTACTTGAATGTTCACATAGTCAATCACAATATTAAATTGTACAAATCCATGGGTCTAGTTCAGATGGATAGATGCCAAATTCAGTTATTTTATTTTTGTATAGTGGTGTGATGGAAAATATTTGCATTTTATTTAATGATATTGATACATGTAAAAGAACAGAAAGGCCTTTAGTCTTACTGTAGTGTGTATTTAAAACACAAGTTAGTATTTGTAGGTGTAAAAAGAAACACTGGTATACAAATTAACAGTGTTGATGTTGATATTATGTGTTACCTCATTTCTGAATAGTATTTCTATCGGGGTTCTGTTCTCTGTAGAAATGTCTGTGTCTGTAATTGGAAGATATTACTGATAACACTTTTAAACCTTAATATTCATATTTATTAAAATAACTTTTATTTTCACTTTATTACTTTTATCTTAAGTAAAATTGTATTCACTTAACATATGGTCTTGATATGAGAATGGTTTTTAAATATTTTATGGATATGCATGCAGGAAGTGTACAAACACATACTCACATCACATTTCATTTTTAATTGAAGATTAACACAGAACAAGGGAAAAAGAAACAAATGGCATTCTCTGCATAATTTGTGTTCATTCACTCTGATATATTCGCACAATAAGAAGCCAAGCTCTGAGTGGTAAGAAGTGTTCTTTTTATTTGTTTCAAACTAGCATTTCTTGTACTCAGGAATACAAACACAGAAGCACTGGAATGTTTTAGGGTTAGCAATTAAAAGTAATTTCCTCAGGTTTGTAGGACATTAAAGTAAACTGTAAAAATCTAAATTCTTCTTGGCATGTAAATTCTTGACTGTCATAATTTAATACACCAGATGTGGGGTGCTGCCAGTAGGGGGGATATTTACTCATTGTGATATTTTCAAATGTGTGTACGTATTGTCTCAGACACAATGGTGCATTTCATTTCTCTATCTTCCAGTCTGCTTTAACACTGTATAGCCATAGTTTTTACAGGAAGAACAAAAAAAGTTTTCTGCATCTTTAAGTGTCTGTGATAAGAGTAATGCTATATTTGCTCATTTAATTGCCACTTGCTGTTTCTGCTCTAATAAAACTGTTGTTCTTCTAATACCTTCATAACCAGTGTAAATGGTTTGGACAGTAACTTGTTCGAGCCTGAACATTGAAATTACATGATTAGCAAAATAAGAATTTCACTATGTAAAGAAATGTTTAAAGTTTTCATTTTCAGACATGGACTGAATGTTCTAATTTATTGTAATGAAGTCTAATACAATAGATTTTACATATATCTACATCATTATCATTCTCAGATTTCCATTTCTTTGCCACAACTATTTTTAACCTAGTCCCTGTAATTCCATTTTCCGTCCATATCATTAACCCTTTCCAGTCGTTGCATTTAGAAAAATTTCCACAGCCAGGTCATCAGGAGTTCTTAAATGCCTGCTGAGCCACTAAGTGAACTGTTTTGTCTGAAAAGTTGATGCAACAAGGGCATAATGTTAAAAGGCAAATGTGTACTTACATTTTTTATTGTCCAGTTCTTGGGCTCAAAATTATTAGATCAAAGAAGGCAGGCCAAATTGCAGTGGTTACAGGATCCAAGCAAGTTAAATGGGGATAATCTGAACACTATAAGACGTGAAACCAGCAGGCATTTCAGGAACAAAAAGAGGGAATATCTGAAAGACAAAATTGATGAGTTTGCAATAAACAGTAAGAACAAGAACATTAGAGACCGGTATAGAGGAATAAATGACTTTAAGAGGGGTTACCAGCCTAGCAGTAACTTAGTGAAGGATGACAATGGTGATCTGCTTGCAGATTCCCACAACATTTTGGATAGGTGGAACTACTTCTCTCAGTTATTGAATGTACATAGGGTCAGTGATGTTAGGCAGACACAAATTGACACAGCTGAGCTGTTAGTACCTGATCCTAGCCCTTCTGAGGTTGAAAGTGCTATAGCAAAATTGAAACGGTATAAATCGTCAGGTAGTGATCAAATTCTGGCAGAACTTATTCAAGCAGGAGGAGAAATATTATGTTCTAAGATCCACAATCTAATTACTTCTCTTTGGCATAAGGAAAAATTGCCTGATCAGTGGAAGGAATCTATTACTGTACGAGTGCACAAGAAGGGTGATAAAACTGACTGTAGTAATTATCAGAGGATATCACTGCTATCAACTTCATTAAAATTTTGTTCAATATTCTTCTTTCAAGGTTAAGTCCAGACATAGATAAAATTACTGGGGATCATCAGTGTGGGTTTCGATGTAACAAATCAACTACAGATCAGATCTTTTGCATTCGTCAGATATTGGAGAAAAAATGGCAGTACGATGAGACAGTACATCAGCTATTCATAGACTTCAAGAAAGCCTATGATTCAGTTAGGAGGGAAGTATTGTACAATA